AAATAAATGAAGACATTCAATACAGTGATCGCTATGACAGTGAATACAAACGAAAAGTAAACACATGGCTGTAAACTATTCCCGATTTTATTCAAGGGGGTGACATTGATCACTTTACCAATGAAGATGATGATAAAGGTCTCGATACTTCTTCTCACGTGGAATTTCCTAATGGGTCAAGCAACTTAAGCAGCAATGTTGACATGGAATCGGTGGTGTAGGATTCATCCGACCTTTTCTTCGCGTGGTAATATTGGCGGGCCACTGGAACCCCCAGACCACGAAACGGCATCTGGAATTCCTGTATTAAACCATTCCAATTTCCGCGAACGGAGCAACCTAGTTAACAGTACCAGTTCTGGGCATGTACAGTCATTAATCCTCCAAAAACGAGACACTTCTTCCCATCTGGCGCTTGGTCCCTCGTGAACGCGGTCTTCACAGTGGTCACCCAGCTACGTGCTCAGTCCTCATCTTAGTCTTACCATGAAACTCCTTGATATCCGAGGTCGCTGAGAGCTTGATACGAGGGACCATGTTGGGCACCTGTCCCAGGGTGGCATTGGCCATTCTCGCCGGCGGTCCATCGAGGTCCATGTCATCTGGGTCGTATTCACACGACCCGACCGATTCCATCTTCACGTCTGTCATCCCTTGGTCTCTTGCACCTTGCATACCTGCACTTGGACCTAGCTGGGCTGTTGACCGCTGCGCCCTCTGTCGACCTCTGACCGCATTACCATCGATGTATGCTTGCGGTACTTGGCGTTCTTGTAAAAATTTCGCCATCGCCACGTCGAAGTATGCCTGTAAATTACCTACCGGGTGGGTAGGCACTCCTTCCCGGGAAACTTCGTCACGTGACGAGGTGTAATTCGATACTGGTCTTGGCTCATTTCTGATTGGTTGAACATTCGACCTATCAGAAGCCCGGCTTTCCCTTGGCTGTACACACGTGGCCGTTTCTTGAGCTCGCTGCTCGTCGTCCGCGCTTTCCGCTCGGGCCTTCAGCAGCGACATGCCGGTCGGTCCTAGTGGCATTCGGTCCACGTGACTAGCGACGGGCGACCTTCGCGATGATTGCCTTGCAGAGACCTGAGGATCCTGAGGCAAGGTGGTCTGTGATGGACCTCGCATAGACCATGGGTCCTTGGTCGACCGTTGCTCTTGAGGGTGGACCTCGATGTCTTGCAGGGTCATCTGGCTGTCGTCAGACGGTGCTTTTGCAGCGATAGAAGGAGGTGAGTCGAGTAGTACTGGTGTTGTTTTTGCCAGGAGACCCAGACGTTTGTGTAGGATTTTCTAACGTGGTCTTGATATTGTTGAACACCAGGGAAAATAAGTCTTCAGGCTCAAACCTTCTTGCAACCAATCCCACCTCGCGAAGAAGGGTCACGAGCGCGGTGATTGCGTTTGTCACCGTCCATAGCTTGGGAAGGGTCGACACAGGTCCGCTGAGCTGACCCAGCAGTCGGATCTCGAGGGCTCTGATGACGGGGTCACTCTCCAGAAACGCGTCAAGCCTGAGTCAGTGGTAGGTCATGGTCACGTCCTCATCCGACCAGGACAAGGGTTCTGAGGTCGAAGGGCCAACCGGCTCGGTGTCATCTGATGCCTTCATCCGGAGCTTGGTCGGCTTGAACATAGCGATCGAATTTTTCGCAGTTTTTGTATGATCTTAGTTTTGGGAACAATAGTCTATCGGTTTGCACCTTCGACTGATTGTCCTCTGGGGCATGATAGATATCATGCATGACCCAAGGTGTCCTCAACGAGGACGTAGGGAGGGCATTTCGGTTTCTCTTCAATAAGTTCAACCTTGACCATGTTGACCGGGCCCCCACCATGAAAGACCAGGTTCCACCAACGAGGGGCCAGGGTCCACCACGAAAGACCAGGTTCCACCAACGAGGGGCCAGGGTCCACCACGAAAGACCAGGTTCCACCAACGAGGGGCCAGGGTCAACCTCGAAAAGACTGGGGTCCACCTCGAGGAACCGCGGTCCATCAGACTAACTGCAGTTAACTCCTCTGAATGGAGCGCGCTTAAACCGTACATTTTCCTCATCCAACGGTCGTCCCCAGTCCCTTTTTTAACGCCCCGTCTCTCTGTCCTCTACTTAACGGTCGCTCCTCCTAGGTGGGTCCCCGTCCCTTTGTCCCACCGGTCTTCTGGCCTACCAATTCTTGAAACGCTTCACCACAGTAGCACAGCCCATCTTTTCAGTCTACCATTGATTCCAGAAGATTGTACCAGCCATGATAAAGCCCTACGGTCGATAGACTCTCGACCTCGGTCCCTGAAGGTCGACCTTGGTCCTTCGTCAATGGACCTCGGTCCTTCGCCGATAGACCTTTGTCCTTCGGTCGATGGACTCTCGGCCTCGGGCCCTGAGGTCGGCCTCGGTCCAGAGGTCCATATACTCTAGCCAATCAGAATCAAGAAGTTAGGTCTCAGGGTAAAGATAGAGTAAAGAAGTTAGAAAATAGGACCATATTGAATACTACTCAATTCGTGATCTACTTAGTACGCCTCCGTCGTGCTCACAAGGAGCTTATATAAGTCTACCCACTTATTACGGGAAGGGATGTATTTTGGCTCCCCATCGAAGACAGTTGTGTGGTAAGACTCCAGTGTGAATAGAGGTCCAGGATACATTTGGCCTGTGGGTTTGTCTGAGTATCAGCCCCCACTCGACTCGCTATCGGAAGCGGTTCCCCTACCCTAGTGGTTTGGGAGCAAGTAAAGGCCAGGCGGTTGACACCTCCATGAGATATCAAGGAAAGGCCAGGGTCATAGTATCTCCCCTGAAGAATCTGGTTATAAGTCCACCTCGACCTAGCCGACCGAGTGGACACCTACCCGCCTACCGAGTGAAGTATACCCACTCGAGGCACCCCAAGGTCGACCTCTCTCAAGGCCGACATCACATCTCAATTGAGTCCTCCGAAGAGTGCAACCCGCCAGCCGACGGGTACACAAGGTGAGAGAAGGTCCATACGCGGCATCGGGGTACCCCCTCCGACAGTCGGCAGTCTGGCACAGTGAGTGGCTTGGGGTCTCATTACGCAGTTTTGAGAACCCACTCCACCACAAAAGCTAGACGCATAACCCACAGCATACGCGATATCTGGGCGTGTTGCAGTCATTAAATGCATCAAAGCACCAACCGCTTCACGAAACGGATCATCCACCTTAATTGCGTTACTGCTGGGCACTAATCGAGGCTTTATATCGACCGGAATAATGGCAGCCTTGCACTCGCTCATGCCAAAACGCTTGGGAATGTCATCGATATAGCGTCGCTGGCACATGGTGATAGAGAATCCCCAGCAAGAACAAACGGATCTTCCGCAACCTACAGGGAACCAAGTCACATGGAATCCGTTATCAATCGAATGACAACGATGTAAACTCATTGCACGTTAAGTACGGTTACATTGAAGAGCTTGTAAAACCCAGCGTACCCAAAGTACAACCACACCAAAAAAATGGTGTGGCATGTGTGTATGTATAATACACAACTTAGCGGCACAAAAAAAGAGATATTTGCATACAACACAATTACCTCAGCTTTTGAGTTCTAACGCCATTATTAAGAAGCCAATACTTGTGCTTTGTAAGAAATTAGTATAACACATTCTTAGGTGTCGTTAGAGAAAATCCTCTTATATCAGGCCTTTATTGACCACGTTATTAAGCTTTTCTGTGTTGTATCGATGTCTTGCCTTTTTCGCCATAAACATACTGAAGGTAAGCTTATTTTTTATATGGCAACTTTTTAAACAGATACTTTAGTAAATGAGTTCGAATTTGAGCAAGAAACACATAGCAAAGTGACTCCAAAGAGTCTTCGCCTTCCTGTAAATTACTGTGGCGGCGCAACTACATGACGCAAGCGTAGGATTCAACTATTGACAGCGATGCACAGAAAAGGTCGAGGCTTGTGCTATGTCGTTTTAGCTCCCATCGCGTTTTAGCCCACGCGATAAAACCTTTTGATTACGACAGGTATGTTGTGCTTCATCTACCTGCAACTTCACGTCAACATCTGTAACTAGACAGCATGCACGAAGTGGGAGACAAGAAACAATGTTACATACAAAATGCTTTTAATAAGCAAGGTATCGAGTTTGAATCTGTTTCACTAGCAATTGATACTTCGTTTATCAAGAATCAAAATAAACAGCGGGTGCAAAGCAAGTAGCATCGCCGGTGCTCTTTGCCATGCTAGCATAGACCAGACAATGCTGTAGAGTATCGGTTTGGGTGACGCAGAGTTAAAAGCTGAAGAAGGGACGCAAAGTGCGGGAAAAAACACTGGCTTCGAAAATGAGGCGAATGACCGTGTTGTAATTTTGTTACACTCTCTGTACGTACAGAGGACAGTTATTCGATCAAATGTAAAGTGTATCAGCACCAAAACTTTTATTAATCGTTCTTGAAAGGTCTTGAGGTAATGTATGCTGCAATGTAGTTGTGCCTTTACGCCATTCAATTTCACTCTCACACTTGTTAGACGCCGACATATATGAAAGGTTTGTCATAGTGCATCTGAGCTAATCAAAGGTATTATCAGAAAACAGCTGGAAAAGACAGGGAAAATAAGTGGGACGCATTATATCCTTGCGCCTATACTATGGTACGTACCACTGTTTTTTTCCTATCATTCAATAATATTATTTAGTAGTAAAAATCAGAGCAACTTCGAATTGGCGTTACATAAACTTGTAATGTGTAAAAGTCACATAAAATGCTAAGACACAAAACGTCTGTGATGTAAACGTCCATCACTCCCATCTTTCAAACGTCCATCACTCCCATCTTTCAAACGTCCATCACTCCCATCTTTCAAACGTCCATCACGAATCCCACTGTACAAAACTGTTGCAAGCACTGGTCTAACTTTCCATCTATACAGTTTCTATACATCAACTGAAGTAACGCTACCAAAACGAGTCATCTAAACCTACACTTTTGTTTTTGCTTGTAGTTTAACATGAACTACAATAGTCCTGTGAATCACATTGATGCTGTACAGCGCATTACGCAACGCATTGATGCGATTGGTGAGCGTGATCCAGGTATTGTCATGGGACTGTCGTGGTATTATATCAAGCTCATTCTACTCACGGGCTTTGGTTGGGCTATGGACTCGATGGAGACCTTTATCTTTACTTACTGTGCTGCTCTAATTCGAGAGGATATCCCACAAAGTTCACACGAGGCCTCATTCCTAGGCGGTGCTGTCTTTGTTGGGTCTTTTATTGGGTCTTTTCCCTTTGGCACATTGGCCGACATGTACGGACGCCGTCCTATATTCATGCTCACGCTTGTACTCTTCCTCAGTGGCCTCTGCTTCTGCGCACTGAGCTGGAACGTCACATCCATCACATGCGCGCGCATTATCTCAGGTATTGGTCTAGGTGGAGAGCTGCCCGTTGCGTCCACGCTCGTACAGGAGCTTTCCCCGAAGAAGACGCGCGGCAAAATTATTGTCCTGCTTGAATCTTTTTGGGCCATTGGTTGCATGATGGCCGTCGTCATGGCCTTTGGTGCAGCACCCAGGATTGGTTGGCGCGAGACTTTCTTTATCTGCTGCGCTCCCGTGCTATACGCTATTGTGATCCGTCTGTATATCCCGGAGTCGCCAAAGTGGCTCGCCAGCGTTGGTCGTTACGATGAGGCCGTTGCTATCGTTGAGTCGATCGAGCGCGCCCACGGTCTGGAACCATACGACCCCAAGTCGGAGAACGATAGCACCGAGGTGCAGTCAATTCCCCAGCTTCCTGATTCCCACATCAAGCGCGTTGGCATGCTGTTTCAGCGCCAGTTTCGCGTGCGCACTACTGTTCTGTGGACGCTCTGGTTTATTATCTCAATGTCGTACTATGCCATCTTCATCTACTTGCCCAACCTGATTTCTCTCAAGGGCTACGACATGAACGGTCAATGGGAGACTATACTCATCATTACAGCTTTCCAGCTTCCAGGCTACTTTGCTGCTGCGTGTCTAGTAGAAGTCATTGGCCGCAAGCAAACGCTCGTTCTTTTCCTTATTGGTGCCTTTGCGTCCGCTATTACTATGGGTTATGTCAACGCGACTAAGACGCTTGTGACAGTAACGGGATCGTTTACGTCCTTTTTCATGCTTGGTGCGTGGGGCTGTGTGTACGCATACACTCCCGAGAACTATCCAACAGCCATCCGTGGCATGGGTGCAGCGTATCCGTCCGGTTTCAGCCGCATTGGGTCTTTCAGTGGTCCGTACCTCTGCGCCTCCATGTTTGGTGATTGGAATGTATCTTTGCAAGGTATCATGTGGGTATTTGGAGGACTGCTTATGGTAGTTTCTGCCATTGTATTAATCTTCGGCTATGAACCTCGTGGCAAGAATATTGAATTATACGACGATAATCACAATGAAAAGTCCATTATCTTTGAGGCCATTAAAACGCCCGAGTAATGGAATGGAAAAGCGAGTATTTGCTAGTGTTTTTCCTCTTCTAATCCAAGTCCACAAGACAATTCATTGTTATTTCATCGTGTAAGAATATCCGAGCAAGTAGCTTGGTTCATGTCGTGCCATTTACTCGATGATGTTTCAATCATTTACTTGCTCGAGATGCAATAAGGTGTTGCATCCTTCAAAACTTCTACCTACTTAGCTACAAGTTGTACCTTTGCCACACTAGTAAAACCAGAGACAGACAAGCGGTCTCTTGAACTAAACTCTACAAGAGAGCGGGAACAACTCGATACAGATGGATAGAACCAGCTTTCATGCAAGTATATGCGTAGGCATTGACAATAACGATCATACCAGATCATGTCGTCGATTCGCAACAAAACGCACGTGGTTTGAAATTCGTTGACAACATACAATCCAAGAAAGCCAGGTATTGCTAGCAAAGCTCACAAAAGGTCGAGTGCGTCGTCGTCTTGTTGCTTGAAATTTGAACGGTTCGAGGTATGAAATACACAACCTACGATGGCGATTTGCTATCATCTCAGCAATTTTCAAGTTAATGACATTTTATCATCCACTTGATCTGCTATGAGATGATTTCGTGACAGCTACCACGCGCTAGCAGCATGTTTGCTAATCACCGACTATTGTGTATCCGAGCTTCTAGACCCTTGTCTCTTTTGACTCGAACGAGATTCCTTAAACCTATAACATATCAGTATCGTACAACTACTGGCTCATCTTGTAGTAAAAAAACTATAAACCACACCATTTCTAGCTATAGTTTATTAGCTACGAACTGGATTTTACTATTTGGGGCTCTCCTCGGTTCATCTTGAGTTTGGGTACATTCTGGATTTTTCGTGGTTTACATGTCGTACGTAAGATCGAACGTATGTACAACAGGCGATTAGGATATTTGGTTTTCGTCTTATCTTTAGTAAAAGATAGTAACATGAACCTTTTTCGCTATATTTGCACCTATTTTAACGTTAAATTCAAGATAAGATGTTATTGTGGAATCTACAGTAATGATTTGGCTACGATTTTAAACTTCCCGTAATCGTTTACTCGAGACTTTACAATTGTCACAGTTTTCACTCCTTCATACAAACATACATACATTCATCCATACACAACAACACTGCGACGGAATCCATTATAAATACCCGTTTCACAAGAGCAAACCACACTAAAAAAACCTCAAAGGTTTTTTCCTCCTTCTCCTCCCGTCTGTTTCGCATATGTAGGTCGTAATTTAAAATAGTTTACAGTTAGCAGGCAAGAGAGAGGAGCTAGAAGAATAGAGCGAGAGAGAGAGAAAAACCTCTTGTTAGTAATACGATTGTTCTCTTCGCCACTTTCATCGAATAGATATAGAATCACACTGAATTGGATTCACTTCCTTTCATCTCGAATGGACGTAGATCTTCCCGAGTCTCAGGACGCGTATCATCAATTACAGACGTCACATGAATCATTCAATACTTTAAATACGACCCAACCCATATCAAGTGATCCGACGAATCCGAATCAGAATACGATTATGACTAATAAGAAGAAGAATCTGGTATTACATGAAGGACCGGATCAAAGTAGTCATCCAAAAGAATTAAAGGATTATCGGATTGTAGCTTTACCTGCTACATATCGGTATTATAAACAAGAACAAGAACAAGAACAAGAGACGGATAAAACAAGCTCTTCTTCTTCTTCATATCTCATGACGGACTATTGTTCCAATGTGGTGATTACGTCGAAATATACGACATGGAATTTCTTACCACTTTTTATGCTCGAGAGTTTTCGTAAATTAGCAAATGCTTATTTTCTTCTTGTTTCAATATTACAATGTATACGTAATATTAGTAATACCAATGGAGTTCCGACGAATTTACCAGTGCTTGTATTTATTCTATCAGTGGATGGCATACTTGCAATTATTGAAGATCGAAGACGACATGTGGCTGATAAGGAGGCAAATTCAGCACAATGTCATGTACTGACAGACACATTTACAGGATCAAGGAATGCATTGAATCATCCTCATACAACAACAACGAGGCCAACGACTACGAGAACAAGTAGTAGTACTCATGACTCGGATATTGTTATCATCCATTGGGCTTCACTTACAGTTGGGTCAGTTGTGAAACTCTATAATCGTGAAACAGCTCCAGCGGATCTATTGATATTAGCTGTTGCTGAACCAAATCCAAGTGAACCTGCAGGTATTTGCTATGTGGAAACCAAGAGTTTAGATGGTGAGACAAATCTCAAGTTACGTCATGCATGTGATGCGACAATGCATGTGCAGACTACAGCACAGGTAGCTGCACTTACTGGACAACTACGATGTGAAAATCCTAATAAAGCCATTGGTCGCTTTGATGGGACTTTGTCAGTGACGGAAGAAACAAAAATGGGGGAGACACATCCACAACCCATTACAATTAAGAATGTACTGCTTCGTGGCTGTCAATTGCGTAATACTGAATGGATTTACGGTCTTGTCGTAAACACAGGCCCAGATACAAAGATCATGCAGAGTGCAACAGCCACGCGTCCAAAGTGGAGCTCCATTAATGAGACAGTCAACAAGATGATCATTTGGCTGTTTCTGATGCTGTGCGTTTTTTGCAGTGTTGCTACGACTGTGCAAGTGAGCTGGCTTAGTGATAACGTCGAAGCGAGCTGGTATCTGAACTGGTTGCCCAACCTGACGAGTCAATGGTTTGTTGGATTTGGTTACTACTTTTTGCTGATGTACCAGATGATTCCTGTGTCGCTGTATGTGACTATCTCGATGGTTATGTTTATCCAGGCTATTTTCATGACTTGGGATTTAGATATGTACTACGAAGAGGCGGATGTGCGCATGATAGTGCGTTCTATGGGATTGAACGAGGAATTGGGTCAAATCTCCTATGTGTTTAGTGATAAGACTGGCACGCTGACGTGCAACGTCATGGAGTTTCGAAAATGCTCTATAAACGGCGTGTCGTACGGTACAGGAACGACAGAGATCGGCCGTGCCGCGCTCCGGCGCAAGGGTGTTGCTATACCAGCAGAGATGGAGTCGGACCCAGCTTCGCGTCATGGAAAGATTCCGTACGTTAATTTTGAGGACGCACGGTTGTTCAGCGCGCTTGAGCGACCGATTGCTGATGACGCATCAAACCGTGAAGCTGAGTTTTTCCTGCATTTGAGTTTGTGCCAAACCGTGATACCGGAAGCAGTGGAGGGCAGCTCCGAAGTGCGCTTTTCAGCCTCATCACCTGATGAACAGGCACTTGTGTCAGGTGCGAAGTTTTTTGGCTTTAGTTTTGAATCCCGCGGTCTGGGTGTTGCTCGTGTGCGGGTGAAGCGTCCGGAGATGATTCGTCGCTTTGCGAATGATTCTGCCGGTGCGAATGCTTTGCTAGAATTTAAAATCTTGGACGTCTTGGAATTTACTAGTGACCGTAAGCGAATGTCGGTTGTGGTCCAATATCCCAACGGAGAGTACTGGGTGCTCACGAAGGGTGCTGATAACGTGATTTATCCTCTGTTGTCTAAGAGTAAGAGTGACCCTGAGATTTTGAAGGATACAATGCATCACTTAGAGACGTTTGGTGATGATGGTCTGCGTACGCTTACTATTGCGCAACGATGCGTGAGTGAGAAAGAATATTTGGACTGGAGGGCACGTTTCAAGGAGGCAAACTCTTCTTTGGAAGAAATTGACAAGCGTAAGAATGGCCAGCCCAACAAGATCGACGAGCTTATGACAGAGATTGAGCGTGACTTGGAATTGTTGGGTGCTACGGCAATCGAGGACAAGTTGCAAAACAACGTTCCCAGTTGCATCGCGAACCTCATGCGGGCGGGTATGCGAGTCTGGATGCTTACGGGTGACAAGCAGGAGACCGCCATTAACATTTCGTATGCGTGTCAGCTTATGGATAATGACATGCAGCAATTTGTCTTCAATTGCGATCTATACCCGACTACAGACGCCATTCACAAGCAACTGTCAGATGCAAATGCGCAGGTACAACAAGGCAACGGTCGTCATGCCGTCGTAATCGACGGAGAATGCCTGGAGTTGGCATTGGCAGACGTTCGGTGTCAACAAGAGTTTTTGTCGCTGGCTATGGCTTGTGAGTCTGTGGTGTGTTGCCGTGTGTCACCCAGCCAGAAGGCTGAGGTGGTGACTTTAGTGCGCGCTACTAACAAAAAGATGCGAACGCTGGCGATCGGTGATGGTGCCAATGATGTGGCTATGATTCAGCGTGCACATGTTGGTGTTGGTATTTCGGGCCAAGAGGGTATGCAAGCTGTGAATTCGAGTGACTATGCCATTGGCCAATTCTATTTCTTGGAGAAGTTGTTGCTGCACCATGGCCGTCTAAATTATAAGCGCATGGCCATTCTCGCAGGATACATGTTCTACAAGAACATTGTGATGGTGCTTGCGCAATACTTTTTCATGTTTTGCACGGGCTCGTCTGGCCAGAAGTTTTATGGTGAATTAGGATTCCAGCTGTACAATATTTCGTACACTTCATTTCCTATCATCGTGCTGGGTATTTTTGACTACGATGTGCCTTTTGAAGTGAGCAAATACTTTCCCGAGCTGTATTTGGTTGGACCGCGCATGGAACTGTTTAATAATTACACCTTTTTCAAGTGGATTTGCAGTGCTGTGTACGAGTCGGCTGTCATCTTTGTATTTGTTATTTACGCTTTCAATGAGAACCTTTCTAATACGGGCAGCGCGCCGATGGTGCAGTACGGATTGCTTGCGTTCACAATGGTAGTTTTGGTGGCCAACATTAAACTATCTATGATCCAGATGTCTTGGAGCACTTATGGTGGACTTTTGTGGCTTGCTGGCGTTCTTTCGTACCTTCCGCTAACGCCTCTCGTCTCGAGCTACTGGATCTCGATGTTTTCAACGGAATACGGTAGTTTTCAAAACACGCTGGCACAAGAAACATACTGGTTGGTGATTCCAGTCTGTCTGGTTGTGTCGCTGATCCGTCATTTTACTTGGACCGCTATTTGCCGCCGATTCTATCCGCATCCGTGGCAGATTGTCCAGGAACAGTATGTTTTGCAGAAGGATAAGCATTTATTGCACAGTCGCTCAATTTCTCGCATCGACATTGAAGCTGACGGCATCCCTGTGGTGAACAGTATGACGCAGGATGATGAAGGCGCTTACATTAATTCATCGTCTCCTAGCCGCGGTTACAATGCAGTAAGTATCATTTTGTTGCAATGCGTCGCCGCATGGATCGTGTCGTCTAATAATGTCTTTTGTTTGTTTGATGCAGCAACCGCACGAGTATGTACCGGAACAGGCTCGACATGTCGGTAAATCTCATGGATCTGGTAGTGGCTTTGCGTTCAGCTACGATCCTCAGACGTCTCTGGCTGAATCGTACATGTCAACGCACGATGTGCGTCAATCGTCTTCGGCAATGAGTGAGGCAGAACAACGTAGCAGGAGGTCTCGAGAAGACTCACGTTCGTCTGATTACGAGACTGCTCGCTCGGCTGAAGTCGTTGACTCTACGAAAGGATCATCCTCAACAGGACTTTTTCTCTAGCTGCTGCAGGTGGATGAATGGATACAATTTCATTGCCGACGTTTCGTCTATTGCCATTTTACCAGAGGAACTCGAACAGAAGAATCGTTGCGAGCTGGAAAAGTTTATTTTCGCTTTGCGGACACACACGACGACATCAGCGTGCGGATCATAGAGTGAGCAAGAATGTACAGTTACAAATGTTAAAGCTTAATTTTACACATCAATCAATATGCTGACTACACTGCACCATGTGAATGAATGATTATCCATCAATAGCTACTAGCTACTTTTCATTCATTACGAGTATCCATCAATAGCTACTAGCTAGCTGCATTGCTCCAATATGTCTTTTGAACAATTGACTGGAACTATGTGGCCATCAGCAGCTTACTGCAAAATGGCTGCAAGGCTGCTGCTACCTCTGCTCAGACAGTTCCTTGGCTAGCGCCACATAGTCTACCTCCTTCCTAATGCGCTTGTCTCTTGAATGCAAAAGAGACGCCGCGTCTTTGGTGCGCTTTTTTGTCTGCAGTACCGTCACAACAGAGCTTGAAGCTGCTGGAGCCAAGTAATTTGCCAGCAGCGTCTGTTCATGCGTGGCCTCCTTGGCAATTTCTTCCTCATCCCAGCGCTCCTGCGCCGGGTTGATGAGCGCACGCGTATGGGCCGCGACACTGCGCGCGAAGGGCGAGACCATTCGACCGTGAAAATTGTAGCCTCCTTCCAGCACTGAGATTAACCTGCCGTTGCAGCAAGTATTGGCCACCTGTTTAATGTGCCTCACAAGCCACTCATAGTCTTGCTCCAGCAGCGACACATATCCCCAATTGACCAGCTCTTTCTTATGTGCGTCAAAACCTGCCGATAGGAAGATGAGGTCCGGATTAAAGTCTCGCAGTTTCGGCAAAATGCGGTCACGGAATGCGCTTCGCCATGTAAGGCGTGAAGCGGATGTGCCTTCACGACAAAAGGACAGGCCTTCGTTCCAAATGAGTGGAGCCTCTTTTACATTCGAAATGCCGGAACCAGGGTAAAACCAGCCCTGAGTTTCACCCTTAACCAACTCCTCCTTATGCTCAGGATCCTTGTGTCCGTATCCGTGCACCGAACAAAAAAACACGTTCTCCGAGTCATCGTCACTGCGCCAAGGCTTGTACTGATGCACAACCTGCTTACCAACACCATAGGGTGTCTCATACGTTATTTCTTTGGTGGACGGTACAAGCTGTCGGACAATCTCTTCAGTGCCGTTGCCATGATGCACGTCAAAGTCCAGGATAGCTACCCTATCGATACCGCAATGTTTCAAATGCGCGCGTGCATACGCTGCTCCGATAGCCACGTTATTAAAAAGGCAAAACCCAAGACTTCCCTCTGGGTCGTTCTCACAAACCACCTTACCCACCGGTCCGGCATGGTGTCCAGGTGGCCGTACAATGCAAAACGCATTCCTGCACTTCCCTGCAACAACCTCGTCAACAGCCTTGCACACTGCTCCAGCAGCACGGGTGGCTGCGTCAAAGGAACGAGCTGACAACGCAGTATCTGAATCCAAAGATAACGTGGAATGACACTCCTTCGTGTCATCAGCACCGCTAGCTGATGTCAAATCGAACGGGCGCAGGAACTGGTCGTGACTTGTGCCATCCATGCCATCGTTCTCCAAATTATCATGTCGCTCACCTACAACTGACGCAGCAAGAGAGGAACACTTCTGGCGGATACGATTGACATACGAGAACTCATGCACTCGCAAAATGTCGGCAATATCAGCGCGTTTTATTTCAAGATCCCACTTGACATTCGGTTGTTGAAACTCACGAGATTGAAGGATGCCAAAAACAGGATCTACTAACGTGTCAATTCGTTCAGGATTTTCAGGTGGAGGGTCAGGTCCACCGCGACGGTGATACGTCATAGGCAAATGCCTCCAAACTTCGGGATGGAAAAAAAGTCGTGTCTGATCTCGCTCCAGGACCTTTTCCTGATGAACAGCAGATTCCTCAGCATAAGTTCCTGCTTCACCAGCCAATATTTGCATCTCAAGAGTAGTAAACGCACACCTACGAGCCACTTGAGCTGGTGTCCGTCCATGTTTGTCCTTGATCGTAAAATGTGCAGCTACATGCCGAGAAGAGTTGCGCAGGATCTTTACACCCTCAGTAAAGTCTACAAGCGCAGCAATGTGCGCTGGTGTTTGATGCAGCGAGGTCATGGAGTTCATATCAACGTTGTATTCGTTTACCAATTTTCTTGCTGCACCAACTGCTCGATACTTCATGGCTTCATGTAGTGGTCGAAATCCCACTTTATTGCCCTTTTCTAGCAACGTTTCAAGTTTCATGGGCTTTTTCTTCTTTATTGTCTTCTTTGTCGTCGTCTTTTTATCTTCTTTTTCTTCATGATCCTCTCGATCAAATTGTTCACGTTCATAAAGTTCCCAAGCAGCAAATTGACGTTTATAAAACGTCACTAGGATATGTAAACACATGACAAGATCATAGCGAGCACATAGATGAAAGACCGTATTTCCTTCTTCATCTCTAGCTGCTATCTTTTCCAATAATAATGCACGTACATCATCACTATAATAATCAAAATCATCGTCATCATTGTCTTCCTTCTTTTTCTTCTTCTCTGAAAATAATTCTTTGATTATTTCTTCACTAAATGAAGCATTTAAAGCTCCCACACGTAAGATTAAATGTATCAATGGTGTATTAAAATCTCCACCATTTAATTGAATCATTGCATTAGTAAGTGCTGAGGAATAACGCAAGACATGGATGACGCAATCCACTTGTTGATGAATAATAGCGACATGAAGTGGTAGAAAGCCCATATCATCTTTTTCCAATAGACTTGTCTCACATGATAAGATTGTCAATTGTGACGGTCGAGATACCATCTGGTGTTGAAAACGAGGTGGAAGGAGTTGACGTAAACAATTGAAATCGCCTTTTTCAGCAAGATTATGTAGTAAATACATATCTTCTTCTTCTTCTTCTTCATTCGAGTCAGTATCATTATCGAGTAAGAGAGTCTTGTTCTTTAATGTTATTGCATATTCAGTAGATGGTGGTGCATTCACTTGGTTCGTCATATTTAAGGAATAAGAAGAAAGAGTTTTTACCAATAAGAAGACGAGTATATCAATTTTTGAGAGGTTTTTGTAGCATTATTAGTAGTAGTAGGTGATAGGATAGAGAGATAAGTGTCTCAGCAACAAAGAAGATTGTTGCAACTTTGATGAGTATAGAAATGAATGTATTTACCTGAATGAGCAACTACTTGTGATTCGGTCATTAATGGCTTTGGTAGGATAACAGTGTCATAGGAATGATTTGTGAGCGCTTGAATAGGTTGAGTATACTTTGATCTACCAACTACTCTTTGCTTATCGTTAAAAGTTGCTGCCATTGTGGATGAAATCGAAACACATGGATGTAAATGGTCACAGTGATAAAAGACCGTGATAGAATAAGATCGTCCGACTTCAACTGTGACACGTATTGATTCTGTATGATTCAAGCAGGTGCCCTAGTGCAATTGCAAATCCATTCGATATAGGTAGTTAGTAAAGTACCAGCTGTACAGTTGAGCGAACTGATTATTTTCTTTTAAAATGACGTCGCGGGTCGATATCATAGTGGAATGCACTCGCTGCCGCCGGACACAAAATTTGCATTTGCCCTGTGGCGGTGAAAACGCCAAGGCGTTTTTCTACTACATATTGGTGCAGTATTTTACGCAATGAAGACGAAGTGCTAGTACTAATGATATTGTGGTCAGTTTAATCGTTTCGCCGTCGGCGAGACGGGAAGTCACGACTAGAATGGAGTGATTGACTTTTTGAATGGATCCGTGCCAGGTGGATATTTTCACCTACACTTTTGGACACTAGATTCACACAACCTGCTGGCTAGCGACGAAATGATTGGATGCTTGGAAGATTTTACGCACAAATGGTACAGCATGCCTTTACCTGAGCAGCGCCACATCTTGGTACTGCGTAATCTCCATAGGAAAGCCAGCCAGTCAGTCCGTGCCGTTTGAGTGTGGATCTCGATGTAATCAAGGTGCATGATGATAGATGTGTATGTGGATGGCAGACGTGCAATGGATGGAGGTTTCATCACGCGCTTTTGGTCTTTGAGCTCGTAATAGGTCTTTCACTCATTCATGCATTGTAGCCATCACTTCAAATTCAAAGCATAGGGTCGGAAGTTACCCATCTTAATGAATGACTTAGTCGGACTATTGTTGTGCCTGCTGTCACATTGGACCTAACCCGCATAGAATGATGGTTTACACGAGCTTTTAGTATGTGACAACATCAAGAATGAACCAGTCTGGGAAAAGGCAGCACGAGTGAAGGGGAACGTATTGCGATTGGTCACCTATTCGTCCAATCTAAAAAGGGCACGGTGCAATATCAGTTGTTGTCCATGTCGCAGACTACATCCAAAAATACTGCTTCAGATTGGTTTTAAAGACACTGAAATAGTACATTTCAGGCTCTAAAGTACTACAAAATAAGTTAACAATCGACAAAAGGTCATCTAGATCTAATAGAACTAGACTGGCTCATACTTTTCCATCGCTATAGCTGCAATATTGAATGAAAACTCCTTCAGCTGCAAAGACTTGTTGCGTGATGTGCTACTATCTGTATTGCAAGATTGCTCAATAACAATACACATATTGTTGTGTACGAAGATCCCAACTGCGCACAATCGTGACGCTTAGGACGACTTCAACTTGATCTTCTTTGATGGATTCAACACTTGATACCTGTAAAAGTATTTATGCACAAATCACTTTTAGCCAGCAACAGTAGACTCTGCTACCTGTAGTTGACGTAATAATGTGTATATTAGTACCTCTTTTTCTGTCTCTTTGTATACATTTATCAAAATCTCACGACGACGTTTGACATTTAGCGTCACAATGACACTTTCTATCACCAAAAAGATCATCACGCCATCGAACCCTAGCCCGATTACTATTTTGAGCCGCGCCCTCTCTCTTCAATATGAACATTGAAGATGGGTGATCTACTATTACGATTGGTTGAAACGCATATTGTTCGTTTTGATTGGTTAAAATCATATTTTATTGTACCAGCTGCTCACTGAATTTTTACCAACCTTGGCTTCAGTTAGCAAAAAGACAGCAACAAGTCACTTACTTACTGTCTCAAGTTGACAACACCAACACCACTTCTTGTCTCTCCTCTCCTCTCTCTCCTTCGCCTTCATAGTAAACACAAGACACAATTCAAGCAACGTATCATATTACAATAAAAACAATCAACAATCACAGCAAGTTGAACGCTATGAAACTTGCCTCACCCAGTAAGAACAGCAGCAGTAGTAGTAGCAATAGCAACAGTCACACACCCGTCGTACCAGCTACACCACCAGTGAATCGTCGTCCACGTGCTCAAAGCATGCATCATTTTGGTGAGAAATGCACTGTATCTCGCGAATGTTGTAGTTCTGGCTCATTTGTGAGTAAACTATATCGTATGGTTGACTCAGAACCTTCGACAATTGTCTCGTGGTGTCGAGGTATTGTATTGGATATATCTATATGTATTAAAGGTGTCGTTACTCTTGGACTCATGAATATGTTGTGTTGTTGTTGTTGTATACAGGCGGTAGTGCATTTTGTATCGTAGACCCCAAGATAATGGCAGAGCATTGCTTGCCTAAATACTTTCGTCATCGACGTTTTTCAAGTTTGATTCGTCAATTGAACTTTTATAGCTTTTATCGCGTTCAGGAAGGCCAATTGACTATCTACCAACACTCATTCTTTCGTAAAGGTCGTCCTGATTTGCTCGTACACATTAAACGTCGTGGAGCTGGTAAAGCGAAGGATCCATGGTTTGATCCTCTAGCCCATACAAGCAGTAAAGCACCGGAACTTCCAGTTGGCAGCCGGACGCTGACCCCCACGAACAATGCACAGACACCACCTACGATAACCCTGAGTTCTTTGGGTCTTGCTTCATGTTACTCACCGATGGCTAAGCCCGTCGCACTAGACAATATGTCACCTGCACTAAAGCCTGCTATGGTACAGGTCAGTCCACCTTTGGTTGATCTGGGAAACTCATATTTGGGGGATGGCCTGGTGAAGAAGGATGTGGACAATGCATATTTGATGTCGTCCTCGATACTTAATACGAAGAATGATCTCGTGTTGGGCGATATAATCGACCCGAACCTGTCACTTTCTAAGACATCGAGTGGTTTGTCCGCACCGTTGGACATTGACATTCAAGACTTTCTTACGGATGACTGCAATATTACACCAGGTCAGATTGACGACCGTCTATGCGGTGGTATGAATTTGAACAAATGTGCGATGGTTTCTCGAGACTGTCTTAAATTTGATGATCCGGAAAGCATTGAGTCGTCGCCTGTACTGACTAGCGAAGAGGATCCAGAGCCGCTGAATTTTGCGAATGAAGTGCTCATGGATTTTGCTAACGTGGAACCGGATGCATGGGAGGCACCGTTGTCGCCGTTGAACGACGAGGAGGACGTGATGCCGTGGTTGGACTTGTGTTTCTAGATTTGTCTATGGTTTTAAGTTCGCCCACCGACCGATCGACCGATAGACCAAGCCAGTGACGCTGATATTTATGCGAAGCTCGCTCAGCCAGTCCGTCCCATCCCAACACGTCAGTGAAGCCCTTTCAGCAAAGCCTCTTTGCAAGGTTCAAGAATTTTCAATCATCATTGTTCTGTTACGTACGATGTAGACAATTAAGTTAGCAAGAGATACAAGACAAGGGCTAGGATGAAGTAGTATGTAAAGTAGGATGTAGGCGCAAGAGCAGCAGCAGAGCAAACGAAGCATGATGAAAATAAACTGCGGTAACGTTTGATTGATGTGAAGAGAAAATGGGTTCATCATACAGTGCAGCCTGTCAAACATGCAAAGTTGCGGTATACGCACCAGGATAAGACGAGCAGAAGCGGCGTGAACCACCGATAGGTCCCCCCTCATGATCATGTTCATTGCTAACTTCTTTTGCTGGTGGCTATTTTACTTCAGTACCTAAAGATGGAGACGCGACCTGCCAACATTTGCGTCGATTGTCGTGCTTCTTCCTCCTTGAACGCCAACTTGGTATCTCTCTTTTCACTGCGTCGAATCACCTTTTCCATCTTGACGGCAGCCTTGCGTGCACGTTTCTGCTCCGTCGTCTCGCCCTTCTGCCTCCGACTCATCTCCGGCTCCTGCTGTTTATTGCCTTTGGCTCGAAACGGTGCTGCTGCCTCAAATACACCAAGTGGCATGCCTGTCTTACGTGATAATGTCACCTTCTGCTTGCATATTTCGTCACCCATCGCAACGCTCGCCATTACCGGCTGTTTCTTCTTCTTGCGCCGAGTCGGAGCCTCCTCTCGCAAAACTGTCGGGTGGTTGTCAAGTGTCGAGTACGTGCTTACAATAGTTTCGCAGTCCCATCTCTCGCGCTCTTCGCGCTGCAGATACAGGTTGCGCTCGTAGAGCTCCTGCAATTCCTTTTCCTCTCGCTCGGCGCGCGCCACCTCGTCTTCTGGGCCCTCCTCTTCCTCGGTCTCTGCATCTTCATCGTACTCATACGCGTGCCGTTCTGCGTCACACTCTTCAAGCACTTGCTTCAGACGGTTGCCAGCACGCAGCGGGTTGCCCAGCTTGCCCTCTGCATCAGCAAGTTCCTGCTGCACGGATACGTAATCCTCTAAGACGACAGCAAGTAACTCGCCATCGAGCGTCTCCTTGCCGCGCGTCTCCGGGTCGTCCTCCTCCAGCTCGCCCAGCTGCTCGTCGTCGTACTCCTCGGCAAGCGTCTTCTCAAATAGTTCGTCCAGCACGCGTTGCGCCTCGTCACGATCCTCCGGCACCTCACCTTCATCGCCATGTTCGGCTTCCTCATCGCTAAACTCCTCGTCATCCTCACTAAACCCGTCATCCTCGCTATCCGTGATATTGCCACGGTACAACGGCGTAACGCCACTCGCTGCATTCATGAGCTTTGCAATATGTGTATCATAGTCAAAGTCATCGGCTGTACCAAATTCCAAATTCTCCTCCGCCGCCTGGATTACAAAATTGTCATCAAGTTGTTCAAATGCCTCATCATTCACAAGCGCTTCTCTGAGATCCTCATCCATGACGTCCGTTGTCAAAGTAATTGCATCCAATAGTCGATCCTGCTCCTCCATGCTCGGTAATGCGTCCTGAGGTAAGTCTACTTTTCTTGACAACGCGCGAGCGTCTTCTCCTGCATCAAAACGACTTGTAGCCGAGTAAAACTTCCCCTTTCCCATCTCTTTCATATGCTGCAAGTAATTGTATCCATCTCTCGGTAGTCCATTTTCATCGACAAAATCCTCAGCCTCAACGTCACCAAACCGTACTTTGCGTATTGGAAACGTGACATTGTCTCGACTCTTTTTACCAGCTACAATGGTCTTTGTAGCCACTGCATCAACAAGATCTGGCATCTCATCATCACTTTCAATCTCCACATCCTCTTCATTGTCGTTTTCTCCGTCAAACTCCGAGTCTGAGCGTATCTTGACGTGTGGATTCGATGATAGAAGAACGTATTTCGAAGCATTCGGGTCATCGGCCTTAGGGTCTCGTTGACTGCGATGTACGACATGAAAATGTTGTGCCTTTTTCTTATTGATGAACTGTTTCTTGCGAACCTATTGTAGACATAGAAATAAAAGCATTAGAGACTGCAATTACCACGTAACAAACAACACTTTAAACAACGCTGACTTTCCATTTTGACACGGTTTTCGAATGTTTTTGATTCAATGGCTTCCAAACGGTTGGGAGTCCAAAATCAATACAAATACGGTAAGTCGAAAGTAGGACGTAAATCGATTGAAATTAGGCAGTAGATATCGGTATACCGATATAGTACTGCCCATAATATCCTGCTCTCTGAGGATTTAGAAAAAAACTGAGGGATTTTGTGAGACGTCAGATAAAGTCTTCCATGAAGTAATTCCTCCTACAAAGCGTTATCTCCATATGAATATGCAATAAAAACACTGTAGCTACTATTAGTATCAAAGTATTCATGGACTACAATGTGTTTATAACTTGGCGAGTGCATCATTGACGGCAGTTAGGCCTGAAGCATCCAGTTTGTCAACAGTTCCTCCACAGACCGTGACAAGCGTTTGCAGTGCTTCCATGTCAAGTGATTCACACAAGTCCTCGGTCTTGATAATATCAATAGCTCCATCCAATTCCTGTTCGCTAGCAGCCACCATGAGCTCACGAAACGCTTTCTTGACCTTACGAAAGAGCTTCTTTTGCTTGTCTTTGGCCATTTTGGCGTCTTTTCGTGCCTCTTTCTCCTTTTCTTCTACCTCGTGTGCAGCGCGTTCCGCTTCCTCTTTTTTGCGATTCTCTTCGTCAATGAGACGCTGCGCCTCTGCTTCCTTTTCACGTTTTGCCTGAAGCTTACGGTCCTTCTCTGCCTGCTTGACACGACGAATACGTGGATCAACAGCAAGTGCACGATCCACAAGACTCGCAAGACGTGCATACTCTTTTTTCTTCTTCTTCTTGGCCACAGCATCATTCTTTTTGGCCATCCAGCGCTTATGATCACGATGTTCCGCTGATTCGACGTCATGTTCCGAGTCATGCGTGAAATCACGCCATGAATCAAATTTATTCCAAAAGTCGTAGAACGCATACACTTCATCAATAGGTGATTCGTCAGTACCAAGCATTGGTACAGGTTGATTCACACTAAAGCGTGCATTCGCTTGAAACACAGGTCCATATACTTGATAAAAGCTTTTGCCATCACCATTTGGATCATTTTCAGCAAGTTTCTCATTACCCGATGGAATCCACTCATCAAAATCACATTGAGAATCGTAGGCCCGTTTTTTTTGAGGATCCATGAGTGTTGCAAACGCTTTTTGTACGGCCAAATAGTTTGGATCGTTTTCTGTCTTTCCTGTCTTATCGGGATGATGTTCAATAAGGACACGATGATAGGCTTTCTTCACTTGATCATCCGTGACATTAAATCCAATGTCACTTAAGCCCAATTGTTGATACATGGTCAAGTCGAGAAAGTTTTTTCCACGAATACTACGTCGATATTTGCGTAAGATTGCTTCTTCTTGTTTACGTACTGCATTACGTGCTGTTGCTGCATCATCCACTTCATCACAACTAGCAGATCGACCACGTGTGATATTACGTACACGTTTATGAAAAGCACGACCGACAGACTCGATACGTTTTTGCGTGAAATAACCACCTAATCCAACAATAACGTTAGACTCGAGTGAGTCAGAAGGAGGTGTGGGCAATGAAAGTAGTAAGGAAGACATGTTATATGCGAATAAATTGAAGTCAAGGAAGTCCGATTGATTTCAATTGTGACGGATGAGAATCGAGGGGTGAGTGGGGTTCCTTTGATCGAACCTCAAATGAATTGAATGGTTGGTAGTGCTTGTGTTAAAATTTGTGAGTATATTCGAGGATTTGTGGTAAAGTTTGTGAACATTTGTGAAACAATACGTACGTCTCTATCATTCATTATGTGTTGTAATATGAGATAGTGGTAACACATTACAATAGCGTTGGGAATGGATCGAATGGGCTGACCGATACTTGTTTGGCTTCAAGTAAACAGGATTTACAGCATGAAACAGTGATCGGCTGAGGTCGAGCAAATAATCGACGCTTCACGTAACATTTGTTGCAAACGCCTTGAAGACAAATACCACAAGTACGATGCGTCGTTCCCATGATTGAGGCCATTGCTGGTTTCTTTGAACATACACAACAAGGTTGAGCAAATGGTTGACGTCTTGATCGAGATCCTAGATAACTCCCTTTTGACGATGCATTTGAAGGTAAAGTAGTAGTCGCAGTAGTCGTCGTCAAGAACGTACCATCGGCTGATGGACTGGACGCTGAATTCGAAACACTTGACATATTCGTGCTTCGAATGAGTTCGTGATATTCTAGATCCAAGGTAGATATCTCCTCAATTGGTAAAGACATGATACTTTCAGCCTTTTGCAATGCAAGGAGCGTCAAACGCTTAGACTCTGCACTTTCCACTGCATTCATGATTGAATACATGAAAGAACACGATGTGCTGTAAACTAAAAAGGACGGAACGTCACCGCCCAAGTCAAACATTCCTTTTGCGTATACGTTAACGACATTCGTTCCAGGTGCCTGGCGAAAGATGCAACAAGACATCAGGTTTGCTCGAACCACGTTGCTAGTTTCGGGGGGAGGAGGACACCCCGCGACGTCAACACTCTGCAAAAGACAGTAAGCATATCGCTCGCCCTGTGCGTCAGTACTGATGCCCATGGACTCGAGCATGCACAAATCGCGAAGTTTCATAATCTTTGGCTCTGATAGCGCATCGCTTTTATGCCACTTTAGAGCGAGTTGACGGTATGGATCAGTCGGCAAACCTTCCTCAAGCTTTGCCAGAAAAGCGCAGTCCACGTGATTTTTACTCATGTAGGGTAGAATCAACTGCATTTCGTCGTGATTCTTGGCATGCAAACCATAGAGAGTGTCTTCAAGGTGTCCTGCTATGGACCCGACACAAAGAACCATTGGCCGCTTGGAATTTCCAGTAGCGTGACCTTGTTCGTGTTCTCTCGAAGATCTACGCTTATATATATTAAATGTGTTGTGACGCTTTAGCAGCTTCCAGTCACGCTGACTCAACTCGGGACGTTTCATACGGTGATACTCGCTTTCATGAGCCAAAGTTCGCGAAACAATGCTGTGGGCAAGGTGACGAAATGCTTGCGCCTCGCCATCGTGCAAGTTTATCATCGGAATTTCTTTCGGTGCTCCATTTGAAAAGGGGGCACGCTTTATTTGATGTGCTAGCTCTTGCAGCTCTTTCGGTGCCGTAGCGCGACGTGTCATTCTTGATGCAGCCATGGGATTGTGATTCAGTCGTGACTCTGCCATTGTAATAACAAGGAAAAGAGAAGGTCGTATTGTACGCAATGAATCAAGAAACTGAGTAAGCTGGAAAATGACGGTTCAAGTCAACCTCACTTCCTTCTAAGGTGATGGAGGTGCTAGAGATCAATATAGACGACAGCATCTGCTTCCAAATTTAGCTGACTTAAGTGATATGGACTCTAAAGCATAGGGTCAGAGACACCTAGCAGATGCAAATGAACTATTCGATGCTAGTATGCACTCAAGCTAAACAAATGTTGCGCCCAGAATCGCCACGTGTGTTTTCAAAACACCTGGACACACTGACAGGTTGAAACCTAGTAGAAACAACATTGATACAATCATATTTAGTGAACCTATGACTAGTTCTTACTTACCGCGTGTCTATCGCGTCTGTCTGTGCGTTATATCGTCGTTAAACTCAATCCTTATGCATGCACCTGGTTTTCTTGTGACTTTGAACTGTTTCGGACGCTCGATTCAAAAATCATAAGGAATGAACAAACAATACTGAGTCGATATCGATTCTGTACCTCATCTGCATAAATGTTTCGATTTTTTTATCTTACTGCTTTGAGTGTTACTCTGACTGCCATGTACAATAACGTCGCATAGGACGTCAAATGAATGATAATACGCTTGAATCACCCTTGCATTGTCAAAAAAGTGGCCATCTTTGGTATGCTAGTCTGACATCGCCTTTGCGGTGCATAAGGTCATGCGCGTCAATTGAAGCACCAGATAGCATTCTGGTCTTTGAATGCACGACATGTTCCACATACAGCACCTCACGTTCCACGCTTTTCGCAAGAAGTCAGCTCCAGCATTGCTCTTTGTATGAGGAAAATCTCGTGGTTTTATCTCCTTTCAGCTACGAAAACTTGACTTGACAATTCGTGGGTATGTTGCATTGTAGTGGCCTTAAAAACAACGACATGATTGAGATGTCCGCTTCGTTTGTACGACCAAGAAAGCATTAGCAGTATATTCCCACCGTAAACATCGCGGGGTTCAATGTGTATGTATCTTGTCGCGGATCCCAATGGCTAGAGAGTATAGTATGAACATCTTGTTTGCGGGAGTGCACTCGTCAGTGTTACACACGTCTGCTCTATGCTTTCTTTGTCGCATTTCCATTTGCGTGCATCGTAGCGCACACTAGTCACTATTAATATCCACAGAGGACGATCCACAGTTTGAGTATGCAATCCTTTCCGGCTTTTGATCTCCAAGTCCGCTATTCGGGTCGTGGATCGCCGGTAGGTTGCAAGAAGCGCCAGTGCCTAGCGCATTGCTCGGCTTTCTTACGTGATACGACAATATTGGCATGAAGTCGTCTGCTGCTGCATGTTGAGATTTTAACAAGACGGTGAACACATTTCGCATTCATCCAATTGTTGAGTACGCGAGCGTCGATTGAAACAAACACACTAAGGATGTAGAACTCATCAGAAATATCTCCGCTGGCTGGAAGCCCCACAACTCAGTGCGCACTAAATGACACGATAGCATCCTGGTCGACATGCGAAACAGACGCATGATTGGCATCGTTTCTCAAACTGATACTCACGAAGCCCTCTTTCGATGTAAATTCATAATCTGCGGGGCATTTACGCGAGCATTCCATGATGCCTTGAACAGCATCAAGAGAGAACAGGAACGTCATAAGACTGTTTAAGAGCTTCACCCACTCTGTTTATCTGCCGCGCATCACAGCGTTTACTTTTGAATCAACGCACTCCACGTTAAAAAGCGTCACTCCTACTGGCACAGCAGTAAAAATGGCAGAAATGAGCTGTTCATTGCTCTGCTTCAGAAGTACGCCATCGCCGTCTCACAAAGTCGGAGATAACAAGATACTGGACTTTTCCTCAACAACCTTGTCGCTTCTCCATGTTCATAGTTGTGTACTAAATCTTACTCATCGCTGCAATTATGTGCTCCATACATCAGTAGCTAAGCAGAAATAGAAAGTCAGCATCGGTTACTCGTGCTCTCCGCCACTCGAAAGTGCCTTTTGAAATGGGATTGCCTAGCAGCAGGCTCTTTGCTTCTTAGCCAAAGAGGCTCGGTCCTTCTCTCTGTTGCTTGTGCTCGCCAAATAAGTCGTAGGCTGCATTGCACTGGCGTCGGAAGCGCACTACAATCGGGCGCGGCGTTTTACTTACAAGCGATTTGAACTGAGCCGTATTCGCGACGCTCATGCCATTTACTGCAAGAACGCAATCACCCCCAGCAATACGTCCAGAGAGAGCAGCAGCACTTGAGGGGATACAATCGCGCACAATCACCGAAGTCCCACTCTGCTTGGCGATCAGGCCCAGCGATGCGCCCTTAAATTCAACCTCAAACTCATTGCTGCTATCCGTAAAGTCTATCTCCTGACCATTTGCAGCCCGTGCTTCCCCAAACAGTGAGACCGAATCAGTTGCAGATGTGAGGTTATCGTTGACCTGCAAGTCGTCACCAATAATGATCACGTTCACAGACCACCAGTTTTGAGTCTCTTGGAGCGTGAACGTTGCTGTGTAACCTCGGTTGGCCTGAAGTCGAGCTGTCTTGCGTGTTGCGTACACATTGCAGGCATTTGATTGCACCGTGAAGTACACGTCACCCGATGTCAGTAGCGTCGGCGTGTAACCATATGCAAATACAACGAGGGCACGGTCTGCTCGCCAAGCCATCGCACTGCCTTCTCCGCCTAATGCCGATCCAGATGCGGTTGGCGCATCCAATACGCTTGCAAGGTGTCGTCTTCCAAGTGGAAGAACACACAACGATGCTCCATCGTTCAACTTTGTGTTAACCACTAATGAATGTCGCGAGCTATTGATTAGTGCAAGGACAACACATCCACGTGCCTCCAGACCTGTGTGGTTGGCATCCCAGTCGTACACCAGATGACGAACTTGGCGTAACAACTCCGTGCTACTGCGGCACTCCTCTAGCGCTAGTGAATGCTTTCGCATGATTTTGCCATTCGACATTTGCTCGTAGCGGAAAGGAACACTCAGCGAGCTATCACCATTAACATTAGAAGAGCTTGACGTCAGTAGCCCAGGAGCTCTTGCACCAGCTGCAGCGGCTGGGTCAGCCTTGCCACGAAGCGTAGATACGAGTGACGTGACACCACCTGTCACCATACTCGTCACAAGCGACGTCACCTCAATCGACTCGATCAGATTCAGTGCTTGTGACTTAATGGACTGCTCGTAAAAGCGCGCAATCGCTGCGCCCACCGACTCTTTTGAAGCCAGTGCTTGAGAAAGCCGGTAGCCCTCTAACGTCACACACGCGTTCTCAATCTTAAGCTTCAGGTTAGAAAGCCAAAAGCCTTCGTTTTCTCGCTGCCTCGAGTCACTTTTGTTGCGCGTGAAATTTACGACGACACGAACAGGTGAGATCATGCCCGATCCAATGTAAAGCTTTCGGCCAGTCATAGCTGTCATGCCAGCCGCACTCCTTCCATCTTCTCTTTCTTCGTTTTGAGGCAAAAAATAAGCGAGCAAGTCGCCTTCCTCGTCGTCCTCGTCATTACTATCCTCTTCACCCGGAAAAACAGAAATCAGCGACTTGTGACGAAAATGTGCACTCGTTTCTTGCTTTAACTTATTGAGCCGATTGATGAAGCGCATCGATGTCGATAGCTTCATATTCTGTAGTTCCAGGTGAAATCGCTCCACCCACGTGTGCTTCGCATGTGGCCTCTCGAGATACGTCAGCTCAAGAAAATGTTTGTCCGTGTTTTCCTTTATTGAACTGGAAGCACTGTCTCCTTGTAAAAGTGGTCTCAGCACCACACGATTTTCTGATTTTGGAAGCAGGTCCTCTACTTTAAGTCCCATAACGTTTAACTTCGCAACAATAGCTTGCGGCGACCAAGACGCCTCCACGCCAATAAGTGTGAACGTTGCACGTGCTACCGGTTCACCGATACCCTCATAATTACCGGAAAACAAATTTGGAGGCTCCTCAACTATTACACCAGATTTCTGATCAGTGACCGTGACAATCACGCCAGCCAACTGAGCGTGAAGACTGAAATTTTGCCAACCAGCCGCTCCTGCGCCTTTTGCCGATTCCCTTGCAGACGAAGACATCGTTGAGCTTGCCCTTAAGCGCCTTGGTGACATAGGATTCGGAGACTCAGCGCTTGTGTCTGCTGTCACTATCACCACGAACGTCGCTTGAGACAAGCTACCTCGCTTTACTACTACCTCTAAGCGAACGCCACGTCCACTTGAGCGTGGCGGCACCAACAAATCCGATGTACCCACGCGATCAACAGCAAAGGCTGTACTCCAGTCGTAGCCTTCACCACACGATGTGCCGCATGCATCGGGTTCCAGTAGCACGGATGCACGCAGCAAAGCTCGAGTTCCTTCCACCCAGTAGAGCGCATACATGTCCCCCGCACTCAATACATGGTGCGCAACGTTGCCGTTACTGACGTCTTCAAGTCGCTGGTGTTGGCGATTTGAACTCTCAAATAGTAAGAGCGTGTGCGGTGATCGATTAAAGATAAGATAACGAGGTATTATGCTCACAAGTGTCGTGACCGAGCCAAAATGCCGGGTTGCGTAGTCTGCTGATACGCCCAACTCATAGAGTACGCCTCTAGAAGACGTATTGCTTCCCGCTGTGCGAAGCCTGATACATTCGTCTTGCCAGCTGAGTCGTTTTGGATCTGCTTCAAATCGAGAGGACCAACTGCACCCACGCAATCTAATACGAAGCACAGGCACCTTTCCGCTATTGTCACTTGAGTATGCGCTAATTTGAGCATTGCCCACCTGAGCACGTGCCGCGTGAGGTGGTATGTAGGCTTCACTATCCGCGGTTGTCCCATAAACCAACTCTAGACCTGTGCGATTGATGACCCATACGTCTGCTAAGATTTCCACGCGCACAGGTCGAGCTGCATAATCGGTGCCCCCCACGACACGCAGAAGTAGTCGAAAGGGACGTCCATCGTCCACGCGAGAAAGTTGAACAGATAATACAGCTCCACTAACTGTTCCACGGGGTGCCAGCTCCAACCACTTGGATTGCGACGTGCAGCCGTCTACAAGCAACTGGAACAAAGGTCGCTGAGCAATGTCGGTCCACCAGATACTAGATTTGGCTCCTACAGCAATGCTTTCCGGCTTTGACGGACTATCACTTGTTCCCAAACCATAAGCAGAACTTAGTGCCGACCGTACACGGTATGTCAGTGGCACTGGCAACTTATTGACGAGTACAAGCGGCTCAGCAATGGACACCACGCGCATCTCCTTCTCGCTCGACATCGAAACACAGTACACTGCATTACGACCATTACCGTCATTGCCATTCTCACGTGAGACCGAAGTAGAAGAGACTGCTGCCTCCACCTTTTGCTCTACCGCAGATCGTGTCTGAACTGGGATAGGAGCACTCCAAGAATATATGCCCTCGTCGTCCACAGGCCGCAAACGCAGCTCTAACGCCAGAGAAAGTAGCACAGGTACGGCCGAGTCTTGATTTGGCCGTAAAATCCCAATCTCAACTGGAGAGTGCCATGTCGGATCGTTTACGAGGAGTGCAACAGAACGGCGAGACGCTAATCGGTTAGCTAGCTTAATAGGTGACGAAACAATGAGCAGGATACGACCTTCAATAAGCTGCGCAGACAAACTTAGTGTAAAGCTTGTTCTCTGCCCGTGTGTATCCACTAAAGGAAATGTGCGCGCTCCTAGCTGCTCAAAAATAAGTCCCTGAATAGATTGAAAACGTGCTGCACCGTCACCTGTGTTTTTTGAGTCCATTAATTGAAGGCTGAGGCGTAGGTTTGCTGCGTCTCGGTCCCCAGAAGCATAACGCCGAACTACACCACGTCCTCGACCTCGGGCATGAACGTAACGAACATCAGCCAGACTCCCTGTCGACACGACTTGAGGCTTCGTCATGAAGGACCCATTTGTGAGCCAAAATCTCAGCGGTAGCCCGGTCTCGTTGCGAATTATACACGGGGCCATTTCACGTCGCTTATTTTCGTCATCTTTATTGTCTTCAGCAAGTTTCTTTGCCGTGATAAGAGCTGCACGACGCTTCCACGCGCCACCCACAGATGCCATGACCTCCAACAACCCGTGCGTAATAGTGAGGTCCAGTGATTGTAATGCTGTCAGAATGACGTGCAACTCACTTTCGCTCGAGACGGATCCCTGTATTGACGTGTCGAGTGCCCACTCCGTGCACATGGGATGCCAGTCGCGGGTATCGGGATTATAGTATGACATAAGTACTACTAAACGTCCTCCACCAGATATTGTAGTTGTCACTGGTAACGCAGATGAATTTGACTTCGAGAAGAAAGCAAATGAGTCACCAAGCACTCCCATTCGCGTGGTATGAGTAACATTCAAGAAAACGTAGCAACGCTCAACCTGTAACTGCGCAAGCCCCATATCACATCCATCGCAGTCATTGACAAGCGTCAGGCTCAAAGACGGCAGCTCGCAAGTAAAATATCCGTGAATTTCCTCTTCATCCATTGAAGTATCCATAATGCTCCTTGACGACGTACGTGACCTTGTTCGCGGACGGAAGGTCAGATTATCGTCACGCGACAGATGCCTGGTTTTTGAGGCACTACGACGCTTCTCACATTGTGCGATCGCTTCGTTCAAATGCTCCATTGTGTCCATTGCCATACAAGCGTCATCGTAAGATATGAACACTTCAACAGGAGTGAATTTCAGCGCTACAATCTGCTGTCGCTGGCCAGCATTAGGAAACAAATCGCTAACTTCAAAGTACAAGTCACATGGTTCCAGCAATTGTATCAATGGTGCAACATCGATGGCATCCCACTGCGAAGTCGAAGATGATGATGCCACACAACAACCTGGCCTCCTAGCATTTTCGAGCACTACTTCCATATTTCGTGCATCAGCAAGGATGCTGCTCTGAATGTTCAAGTCATTGTCATTTTTCTGTATCTCTACGTCCGGGTGTGGCCTCCACGTAAATTGGAGCGTAAAATCACCTACAAAGGCCACTCGGGGACTCTCCGGATCGTAAGCATTACGCGGTAAAGCAACGCCCACTCGACTAGCTTTCGCACGAACTGTAAGCGTCAATTCTGGTTCTCTTCCGTCACGCAGAATATCCGAGATACTTTCGCGTCGCGTCACCAAAGATGGCGAAGGTGGGATTGGTGGCAGCGCATATTCACTTGTAGCAACGGTATAACCCTTGCCTGTCGCAGTGTCAGCTCGACTTGGCTTCGATGGTAGCGCAAAGAAGCCAAACAGTTCAAACAACGCTTCCGGGATAATAGTACCCGTGACATCGGAGAATGACAAGTCCATTTCACCCGTCAGTGCAATATCGTCCCATGTGTATCGTACCTCTAGCGAATGAGGTGAGATCAAGAGCGTCCCGCTTTCAGCGCCGCTCACTGACGGGTTATAATTTCCCATAAGATCCCGAACCTTGAAAGCTCCGAGACACAAAGCAAATCGTGGTTTTTCGTCCAATTCGCTGCTAAACACCAGCGAAAAGTCAGAAGCGACAATCTCGGCAAAAGCTTTGTTGCACAAGGTTTTCGCGCTATCCGTAAAGGTCTGTTGCACAATCGAATCAAGCGACATGTCCTTGTTTGCAAGTGATTCTACTTTCTCGTCTCGAAGCAACAAAATTCGAATATTCTCCATTGCAAATTGCACATAGAGTGTTGCTTCATTTGCATCCGGCTGAAGGTACGAATACGTCACAGTAGGGCGCAATGATGGCACTCCCCCAATACCAGCACTACTGCGTCTTCTGCCAATATACCGAACAGAGCCGGGTACTCGGTCAATATCGTCTGCTGCGGTAGGAACCATCTCAAATTCATCAGCGCCAAAATTCTCTAAAATCAAAGCGACTGTACCTAAGTAGCTGGTACGCGACAAGTGCACTTCTAACGGTGGTAAAACCGAATGCACCGTAATTCGCGGGAGAAAAACGGTTCGTAATTCGCTGCCACCATCTACTGCTTCTTCATCACCTAAAGAAATGGTTGATGAGACAAGGTCCTCGATGCTAAATTTCAGGTCAGCAGGCTTGGCAAGTAAGTCTTCATATACAGGTCCTCCGTCGGCACCTTTCGTCCTGTTTTTAGCATGCGTTGTCGTGCAGAAAACACGAACCTGGTCGAGGAAGACATCTTTACAGTCAACGCGCAACGAAATGCCAGTTCCCTTGTCGACAGACGTACGAGTCATTGGACGTGGCAGCGCTCCATCATGCATGACACGCTTGGTTCTTGCTCTAGGGAAGCCTTCGTAGTGCACTGTACTGGATGGAAAATGAACTAGCCGCAGCATATCTGCAGTAACCTTGACATGGGGGGCATCTTGTAAGCTCAACGGAAGTATAATGATAGGCTTCTCGATGCTCAAATCCAGCACAACTTCAGCCTCATCCTCGCTGAATAATAATTGCGTTGCATTCACCAGCGTCTGGCTTACAATAGCACCAAGAACACCCTCAAAAACGAAGTCTACGAACTCTAAGACCTGCTGATGGTAGTATACACCGCGGATGGGTTGAAAAGCCAAGCGCAAAGAGCTCTTGTCGCTTGCCACCGGATCGCTTGCAAACTCAAAAGTCAATAGTGCTTCAAAGTCTTTGCCTAGGTCGCAACGACGGCGAGCTTCATCTTCGTCTAAACCAAGTAAGGTCGAATACAAGGGGTGCTTTGATGTACTCAAGTCGGTCCCCAAAAAGTTTCCCACGTAACCTGTTACCTCAAACGTGTCGTCATCACAGGAGGTTCGACCCTCAGCGGTATAGCTTGTATAACAAACAGCCGCATTGCTCATTTCAAGACGAGCTAGCTGCCGGTCAAGCTGATCTTTGTTAAATGTCAGACTGAACTGAACTAGTGATGCCCGCACCACGACAACAGCCTGTCCTCGAGACCGCAAGCTAGACAATGAAGCAATTCTCTCCTTCTTTTCGTCTCGTTGTAATTCACCAGCAGTCTCTAAGAGGTATTGCTCGTGAGGCGATGGCGCCGGTCTCACTAGTGGTATCGTAGCATCTTCAGAATGATCGCCATCATCATGTACACGAATTGCAGACGCATAAGCGGAAAGAATGCGATAACACAAAGCCACGGACGACGGATTCCACTGTACATGCAGCACATTGAACTGCACATAAGCATCCAGCTGCAAAGGTTTTTCTCCCATATTCTGCTCTTTTTGTTCCGTATACTCCGAGAAATATGCAGCAACGTCAACGGCAATCAAGTGATTACTCTCACTTTCGTTTTCGCCTGTAGAAATCAATTTATAGTACCGTGAACCAGGCGAGTAAAGCTTGTCTTCCATCACGAGTGCTTTGAGTCGTGAATGGAATAACTGATGAGCCGAGTATGTTTCAACGGCAAATGAAGTATGTGAAGCACGCAAGACAAATGCATCCTTAGCAGCTGACTCGCGCAAATTGAGCTCGACGCATGTAAGCAGAAGTTGCATCTCTAGAAGATACTTTTCATCCGTTGAAACAGCCGCGCTGTTGTCACCTATGCTGTCGGACTCGGTCACACTTTCTTCACCACTGCCTACATCTTGCCCTTCAAAGTATGACAAACGCTCATCATTGCCCCCAGCAGCAGTACGCGCCCGCACGATAGATGAATAAATCTGCCCTAATGCCACAAGTTGATTCTCAGCTAGCGATATAAGAATTGTAGGAACGGCAGCGTAGATGCCTACTTGCGGTAGTGGCTTGGCTGCAGCAATATTCTTTCTAGTCCGCGAAGGAAGTCTCAGACGGGAAGATGATGACTGCGTATACAAGGAGAATTCAATCGATAGCTCCTTCACTATTTTAGCAAAAGTCCGCAACTCCTCGTCGGTCCATTCGGTGAGTTCCTCCTGGCAGCCGAGCAATACGTGGATCTTGGTCATCTCAAGTCGCCAGTGCACGCGACGCAAATCGGTTACTACAGTACCAACATCCACATCGAAAGACGCATTGATAGCCGACGTATTTTCTTCATTATTGCTAATGCTCAGCATACCAAGATCGACAACCAGAACAGCACCAGTCGTATGGGCTACGTTTTCGGGCAGTATAAGCACAGGCGCATTCATATTCACTAGCACGTCGTACTCAACACGGCCTTCGGCTCTTTCCAGTGAGCGCATTAGCTCAGCTTCTTCAACTTGCTTCTGTGTGCTAAGCTGCGATGACCCCAATTGCTTCTCATCATCTGTATAATCTTCAGCAAACATCCAGTCGGCCACTGAAGACGTAGCAAACTGCCAAACTTTTTCAAGCTGACTCTCTGGTAGCAGGCTAACGAAGAATGCGTGCAGGAACATTACAAATGACGGATCAACCATCACACGAATAGGCTCTGAGCTTACACGTACTTTCAACGTGGCTCCGATGCTATCGTCAGTCTGTACTCGATTTTGTACCATTGCACGTCGACTAACATCGACACTGACACAGGCCGTGCTCTGGGTGTCGTCGAGAGATCTCAAAGACGATGGGCTGCAAAATGAGCGGAATCGAGAACTGCTTGCTAACCCATTAAAAATGTCAAAGTGCTGAATACGAAATCTTGCGTCCCACTCATTTTCTGGCTGGATATTCATGGCTAGAGAGCCATGGAGTATACCAGTGACAAATGGACTCTTGTGGACGTTCGACTGATAAAGCGACATTGAGCCATTTAATAGCTGGATCTGGACCGAAAAAAGGTTGCACCCTATTGGCACCTCATGTGCACTACTGGCCTTCTCCACGGCACCATTGTAAGCTTCACGTAAGTTTTCGCGCCCTTCAGCTGACAACACCTGACTTTCTTCCTCACCCTCTTCAGCAGCAAGAGTATCACCACCGAAAAAGTACGAATACCACGAGCCACCACTGTTTTGTGCATCCTCAGCCTTTGAATGTGCTTTTGCAGAAGCTATTGTCTCTTCACGTTCCTCCGCATCTTCTGCGACATCGCGTAACAGCAGCACAACATCTATCGGGTATATCTCTTCATAGCGCTGTTTAAACTTGCCCTTTGTAGACAAGGGATCCAATGGTGTGTTATTGCGTAACTCCGTGCGAAAAGCCTCCACGTACAGATGCTGCTCAAGCAAAGCTTTGTGCATAGAAGACCACCGCATTTTGCGGTGATGAGGCCGTCGATGATACCGGTGCACATTATCCGTATTGTAATCGTCTTTACTATTTGCTCGAAACTTCGTCCTGCGTTGCTCAAGTACAAGACGAGTAGCATAATCCCACCACTCTCGAGGGCGCGCTTCAGGTGGATGCAACGGTCTACCTCTCGCCAGTGCAAAATGAGCTTCTACTGCGCGTCGACCTAAAAATGCCCGCTGTAAGAACAGCACGTCTTCATACTGTTCGCGCGTCAAGCTTCCTTGGAGTGCGCCTACTTCGGCTTCGACTGTATACTTGGCCACTGTCGAGTAGTCAGCACTCTCATTCTTCGTAAGCTGTGCCATAATCAAGCACGGACGTAGCACCCATCGCCTGTTTGTATCAACCCGCCATTCTTCCTGTTTGCTCACTGCCTGTACCATATCTCGCATCGCTTTCGGGATATTTGAACACGTCGCAAGTCTTGCATGATTATCTTTTACATTCAATCGATCCCAATACATTCCAAATTGTGCAAGTTCTGCTTTTTTGTATGTAAAACCATTATAGACTGATTTTTCATCAACAAAAACTTCTCGTCCTGTTCCATCCGTTGTCAAAAATCGAAATTTCTCCAGCATAATACCACATGCAAATGGTGTCTCTGGATTTGCTACAACATCTTCATATCGTAAATGGATATCTAATAATGTCACCTGTAAATTATCCACAATACGTGCAGTCAGTCGTGATACAAATGTACTTTCATCTTCACGCTTCATCATCATCATCTGCTGCTGCTTCAGCTTCTCCTCATCTTCATCTTTTTCTTCCACTCGTGCAGCAAAACGACGATGTTGTCGTATCAATTCTCGTCTCTCCAATTGATTTTTCTTAATTTGTAACAGTTCGCCACGTGTTGGACGTTCTGTATTTGGTACAATGAGTGCGGAAACACCTTCAAGAGTGATGGTCACACTTGCACTACCTAATTGATTCCATGGGACATGAACAACTACACGTGCCACTGATCCACTGGCGATTGTTACAGGTAATTGAAGCTCTGTGAGTGCATGTGGCTTCAATATTAAGTCACGTAACTCTAATTCTCCACTCCATAAGCCAATTTCTAACGAGTCACTGCGTAAACCTTCCACGTATTTGCCTAATTGAGCTTCTAGGATCTAACAAAATAGGTAGAAATAGAGACAAGATGATGAAGATTAAGTCATAGATAGATACATGTAGATGTATAGATAACAAGAGAGAGAGAGAGATGAACGTACAGATGTGATAATAGCTTTAGCCATGGAGAACGACGAGTTTGTCGTAATTTATACGGGGGAATCTAAAATGGGTGAAAGAATGATGGTAACGTGGATATATTACGGGAGTGTTTGTTTTGGATGAAAATAAGAGATGAGGAGGAACGTGATGGACTTTTATTGTAAATATTGTAAAATACGAGCCAATGACAAAAAAGTGGAATTCGTACTGATGAGGTTATTTTGAATAAAGTTGCAGCAAGGTTGATTGTTTTATTTGCCTCAAATAGTTATTTTGATAAACCAGGATTGATTGTTGACGCATCAACAGATGCCAAACAAATGTTTTCCGAGTGTATATGTAGCCAACTTATGGTCAACATTTTGGCATCATCATTTACGATTGTCAACAAAAAGGTATAAACCGTGACAGACAAGTGCATTGCAAAACAATAGACAACATGAGTGTACAGCATTCGAAGCAATGTTGTTTGGTCACGATGAGACCGTCTGTATTCCATCGTGAATTTTACTCCTCCTATCTACTATATCCTACAAGTCTTCCTCTTAGTTTTCTATGAAGACGTAAGATTAACAATAAAGCCTGTTTTTTCGTTGCATCATCTTGTGTCCAGCAGCAGAGTTTTTACTTGTTCTTTGTACTATAACTTGCCACCTTAGGCGAATAGCTTGTCATACAATACTAATCGTTGGTTCCACTGTTGATAAATCAGTGCACATGAATGTTGTTTTTGCACGGATCGATTCAATATCCATTGCTTAGCATTGAATCTCACGAATAGCACGAAAAGGACAGGTCGGTAAGACTCTCGATATGACTAACGTTCCAGAAAGTTTCGTCTGAGTGAGCTCTATGAGGCCAGAGAAGAGCTACATCTCTCCTGTACAAATACCTAGGCATCGACTTTAGTAGCCATATCATGTGGATAAAAGCCGAACAGAAGTATCTGACGCGAACGATAGAAGTCCAGTTTTGTAACAAAAGCGTCAAGTTGAATTGAGGGTTGAAGCCAAGCGTCTGAAGCATTGTGAGTGGCTCCGGATACTTGATGCAAAGCCATTCATGTTGCATACGTGGAATACACGTCGTACAAATCTTTGAAGCGGATAAAGAATGACTTGAATGTTTCAAGTCGTAGACGACGAACTCAACGACACGAATTGACGCATCAATCGATACGTAACGAATCCTACAGACAGGACTGGAAAATAGGAATTAGCTCAATTTGAATGCAAGATGACAACGAGGGAGTTACAAAGGGTTGATCTATACTGATAAAGTGTTAAACAAGATAGAGTGAGAGCAAGAGAAGGCTGATATGCTACCATCGTGGAAAGCATCAAGTTCTGCTTGGACATCTGCTTCGTTTTCGATTCGGTCTGTCCCAAATTTCAAAGCGTAAATTGAGAATGTATCGATTTCGTTATTAGTTCTAAGCCTTTATATACACTACAGCTGCATTTATGCGTATATCTCATATATCTGCATCCTCTTTTCTTTAATACTCTGTAAGATCTGTTCAATCATATCTTGTACTAATTCGAAGAACACCACACACATCCCACATTCTGGACAGATGTCTTGAAAGTCACATGACATCGACTTCATTGTGTCTTTTGCCTTGTTGTTGTCGTATTATTTTCAAGACCACCGTTTGTAGATAGACAAAGTATTCCAACAAGTGATGGAAAATACCTCACATCGTCTTCGTCGTATTCCATTACCTCGATTTGGACCATATAATCGACAACCCACAAGAATGGCAAGAGATATGGTCGAGTTCGAGACCCTTTCAGCTTTCTCGGCTCTTGAACAACGAACTGTTGCCCTGTCTCAGGATGAAGCACAGGTATGTGTTCGTTTAGCTGAGTTACTGCTAGCCGATGCATTAAGAGACTATGATCAAATGGACTATCAAGTGGCTACTCAACAGTGGAAACTAGTCAAGAAAAAGGATCAATTGGAAGTTTACAAACAGCGGAAGGAGGCAATTAAAATTGTTGTCTCTACTGGTCAAACACGAAGCCAATCTGCAGTCAATGAGACAGAGTTACCGCGAATTCTCGTCACTGGCCGTTTAGCGGGTCATGTGGATGACGCAATGTACGGGCTGTTCAGTGCTAACACACGGGCCATGAAGATGAACTCGGCCTATGCCGGAGACTCATTGGCGGACGCCCATGTACTGACCACGATCGAAGGACCGACCATTGAGAAGCCCTTTCGCTTCCTTGGACTGAAGTGGGCTGTGCGCCACGACATAATGTCTGCCTCGTCCTTCTTTAAACAACGAGATTTACTCTACTTGGAGGCCACAGGTGTTACCAAGATGACCAACGGCGAGCGGGTAGGATACCGCATAATGCATTCGGTGAGTATCAAGGCTCTGGCTCAACTGGCTGCAACAACCATTTCATCCTCGGTAATTCGTGCAAGGGCGTCGGTCGTGCAATTATTCCATCAGCAGCCGTCTTTGGAAGGATCTGGGGGACTTTTAGGCATGCTGGATGTGTTCACGAGGGGTTATTATGACCCTCAAGGTGGAATGATGCAGTTCTTAGCGGTTAATGCAGGTGTTGAGCTTCTGCTTCATATGACATTCTCGGTGGTGGACTGTGCTCACCTCAAGAAGATTGCATTTGCGGCGCAACGAGCAGGACGGCGGCGGAGTGTCACGAGTCAGCTGCGCAAGACGAACTACGTTGACGAAGGCATGGGAGGGATTGAAGAGATTGGCGATGAAAGCGCTGATGTCATGGGAGACAAAGTTTGGTCGACAAACTGCTCGCTATGCGATCGACGAGTAGGCAGTTTGCTCAATCGAAGTGGTATGCCTTGCACCATTTGTGCCAAAATGATCTGCTGGCGCTGCAGTGTAGTGAAGAAGCTACCCTTTTTTCGAAGCGATGAGAGCAGCATGCCAGTGGACAATGGCGTGGATCTGGATGCGATCATGGGTTTGCAACACTTTGAACATGAACAGCCCGAGGCGTCCCGAGCTTCCACGGAAAGAAGTTGCAACGGCAGTGGTTCTGTCATGATGCACGACATTTGCCAGAAAGCTCTTAAGTTCTGCTTACCTTGTGTGTTACGTGCCAACCATAGGAATGCCTCGCAGATCGTTGAGGAAGAGATTCTAGAGCAGACCACTTTTGGAACAGTCACTCCCTGTCGTGCTATGGATTGCCCGAGCAACTATGCTCGTCCATCCTCGATGCGACGGCGATCGACTCAGACTGGACGATCACACAATTTTTTACATGCTTCGTACGGGTCGCATCAGATTTCTTCTTACGCGGCATCTCCATATTGTCAGCCGCGTCAAAAAGCTTATAGCAGTGAAGCATATGCCCAACATGGAGTCTTTCGCTCATCCTCAGCTTCACCTCGTGTAGTACTGTACGTTGAAGATCCCGCATCAACTCGTCGTGATGCGACGCAGCATCACAAGACATAGACACTAATTGAGTCATGTAAAAGTATTCAAAGCAGAAAGCTCTCATTAGTGAGGTCAAGTGTTCAATCAAATAATCCTGTAACCTGCATGTACGTCTCATTTGCATGCATTGCCCCAGCCATCCATTGAGGTTTAGACCTTGTTTCGAATGTACCGTCCTCCAAAACTAGTTCCTTCAGCAAGCAATGCTTCGATACCCAGGCCACTTACGGTTTCATGACTGCACATGGAATAATAATGAGTATAGTACTTCATGCTCTACTGACCATGCTCAATCAAATTGTTATACGCTCATTTCACCGTGCAATGGTGTTGGTAGCGGTCCTTCTGTCCAAACGCTCTTGCATCGTAGATACAAGTAGTATCTAACAGTGATAGAAGAAAGAGGTAGCCGCTATACAAGTGACCTGTACAGGCTATCAAAAAACACCTGACCGATCTAAGACAGTCCAGTCCGTCTGTCCAGCTAACCTTAAAAATCATTACAAACTTGTGTATCTAGTTTCTACAGATGCTTGTTCCAGTGGCGCGTGTATTGATAGCAAGTCTGCTTGCTGGGGGTCTAGGATATCGTGGTCTTAAGAAACAGTCACTAGATGTGACGGGTGCAATTTCTGCATGCTTTGTAGGCTTCTTTACACTCGTATCGGGCTATCGCTTTGGTACTTATAGTCCAACGTATTGCGAATCAGTTAACACTTATCACATCTCTCTCACCATCCTTCATCTTGTGTCAATGCAGGTCTCCTACTTCTCGGCTTTTACTTCTCTGGTAGCAAGCTTACCAAGGTCCGAGCGAAGTTAAAGCAGAAGCTTGATGCCAATTACAAGACTGGTGGCCAGCGGTCGGCACGTCAAGTGCTGGCATGCAGTCTCTTGGCTACCATTATAGCCGTCTACTCCGTCCTCCAATTTGGAGACGATAGCGCAATGCTCGACTTCCATGCCGCTCCAGGACGCAGCTATCTGTTAGCTAGCTATATTGGCCACTATGCTTGTTGCACGGCTGACACGTGGGCCTCGGAGCTCGGCGTGTTAAGTAAGAGCGAACCGCGGCTCATCACGACATTGAAGCGGGTGCCGCCTGGCACTAATGGCGGCGTTTCTATGCTGGGGATGGTCGTATCAGCTCTCGGAGGAGCCTTTATCGGAGCTCTGTACTACATGGCAAGTTTGGCGTCTGGCACGGCACAGCTTCAGGTGGTTACGCTGGGCGTCGTGACCGGCCTCTTTGGTTCCGTGCTAGACTCGGTCATTGGCGCAACGATGCAAGCCACGTATTTTGACCGAGCGAAGCGCAAGGTCTGCCATGAAACGGCGAACGTTGAGCACGTCTCTGGAGTCGATTGGCTGAGCAACGAGCAGGTCAATGCTGTGTCGACGGTGGTGACTACAGTTATCAGTGGGACTGTGGCGAGCTATTTGTTCCCGTAAAGACAATGCTGAGGACAGTTTGCAGGAGCAGGGATTCCGCAGTAGCACGCCATATATGACACACCAAACCTTTGCATATCGATGTTTGTCACACGTGCCTTAAGCTCCTTGAAATGCAAAGGTTGTTCTTAGTGTTGTCGGGGCTCACCCGGCCTCTTCTTGTTACAGACCTCACGAAATCTACATCTGCTTTTTACGGCATCAATTCTCTCAGACCAAAGCATAGCTACCATCTCAGCGCGAAAGAAAGACAGCGGCAAATAACGACTGTGCATTGATCGTAGACTTGCAAGATTAATCATGGACTCGGACGGAAGCCAGGTCAAGCCATGGCCTCGTCAATGTGGCATCGTGCACGTTCATATGCTGCCGGCTCTTCATGACGTGGTGATGGATCGAAGTAATGTTTGACATCAGTGATGCTTAATCGGATCCCGTTTGTGACAGTAACCTACTTTTTCAACTGTGATGAACCATCAGGTTCAAAAGCTCGCAGGATCTACAAGGACGACCCATGAAGAACGCTAATATTTCCACTTCATGCACCCAGTTGAGCTTGCTACATTCTAGCATCCTAAAACGCCGAGAGACGCCGCTGTCAGCATTACTGGCAAAGAATGATGTCGTCACATCTTGACACGAGACATCAACTCTGTTTGCTGTTGCAACATGAGTGGCATGTCCTCAGTCAAAGTGCTCAACTGGCTCACAATTTCAGACTAGGCAGTTGCAAGCAGCACGCCAGGAGGACTTTGACTGCAGCACATGTTAGCAGAAGAAAACTTGTCGGTGACGCGTCGCTCGTGACATACAGCTTTCAGCGCTGTCATCGGCACTTGGTGCTGCAGGACAGAAGAAAAAAGGTCTGCAAACGAAATTCTGGACAAGCTTCATAGTTTGCATTTGAGCAAAACACCGGGCGCTTGTCATGTCGGAGTACCTTCAGCTTAACAATTAATGCTCGCACGGCACCGACGTTGCCAAAAGACAAAGAGTTGTCCATTGTAGGTAGGTAGCTCCAGAACGCAGTCTTGGTTGATCCCAATCCGTCCGTCACGAAAGGAGTACTCGACAAGATCACAACAAGCGCTACAAGTACCTGTGGTTGTACCCCATTGTATTCGCACCAAGTTTACATCACTCACGCTCTGAACTTGGAACACCTGCCACCCGTTGCATTTGCAGCTTGAGGTCGTCTTAGGATTTGATCTGTTTTCAGCACGCCATGATCATAACACTCTGCTAATCGAACGGGAGTTTTGAATCTTCCACCGTATGCCTTACCATCCCGGTCATCATGTGCTTGCTTTCCTGCCAATTCCTTAACCCCGACGGCAGCATCCACGACAACGAGAAGCTCGGCACCATCGCTTTTCTTACCCATTGTAACCATACAATGGCTAGGCACGTTACAGAAATATGTCACTCCTAGATGAGATGAGACCCGACCAGGTCTCTTTTGCATTCATACTGAATAGGACTTTTCTAGATAAATGGTGGAGGCCGCAAACCTTGACACTAACTAGAGACAAAACCCATACTGCTTCAGCTATACAACACTAAAACGTCGCAGCGAGAGTCTGTTAGCGTCTAGCTACTAAAGCAGCGGGTTACTAAAGCTATGGTAAATGCAGGTTGTTGTAGGAAACATGATGAGACCTAATGCTAAAGAACCATGTTCATGAAGGCATAATATAGATAGCTAGACGACAATTGCGAGTATTTGTGGAAACAAGCGGTCTCAGGCACCAGTCAAATATAGAAGAGCTTCGTGTCCACAGCGTTAAGCTCTAGCTACGCTCTTAATTACTTGTTATGCGGAGCCATAAGACGCCTGCCTTTACTCCAAACGCAGCCGGGTGAGCTTCGAAAACCGAGCAGGTGCTCACACCAAAAGGATCAGATGAGACGAGGAAGCTAGAGACTAAAGATTCGGTACAGTATCTTCTTTCTTTCATGATGGGACTGGAAGATGATTATTTATTCAATCACTTCGAGTCGTATAATGAAGATGGACAGCCAAACATCAACTAACGTTCCGAACTTCGCCGTGGTAGCTGCACTTTCTCGGAATCTTGTTCAAAATCGTCGTAACAAAAGGTATGAAGAGGTTCTGTGTCATGTGATGCTGCACTTGGTCGACTTTTTAATCGTCGAGGTACAGCTCATCTACGCGCTAGCGTCAGAAGTCGTTCAGGTCTCTTCAATGCTTGGCTGTCTGGACGTATCGTATCGGACATGGTCATCCAGCCTATTACAGAGACACATGACCCAATACTTATGTTGCGCTCGTAATACACATACTGCGAACATTGGTTGGCTGTCATGGTACACTATCACTATGACGCTTGCCAGACTTTTCAAGAAGCGCTCACGACTCGGCTATAGTTTCAAGCTATTAAAATTGCAGACTAGTCGCTTGCTCAAGCTGCGTGGACACTAAGAGGGTCTATATCTACCATAATTAAGGCAAAACCTCTAACGTGCCTATTCCATCTTTAGCGCCAACGAGAATCTGCATCAGCCGCCTCTGATCCCTCTTTCCTCCTCAATTTGAATCTTGCAAACAGTACCATATACACTGACGAGTCAAGTCAACGTCGTGGAAAAGCCCCAAAAGTACACGCCTGCGGTTGCTCGGTGCACAGTTCGGCTCGGCCGCTGCAGCCACAAATCCGGACGTCCGTGTCAATCCATACACTTACTACATCCAGCTCTTCGTCTGGCGCCTACTCATCAGTCGTCATGGCATCCACTACTGCCTGGCCAAATCATTTGGCCGACCAATTGAGCGCCTCAGACGTACAACAAGAAGTACGACTGGTCAGCCACTAGAAACCTTGATAAGGGCCTGAAGGTTCTTGTTGCTGCACCCAAGGCAGCGAGCAGAATAATAGCAACGAGGGGAGTACCCAAACCTGTTTGTTGTCCGTTTTAACGGCAATGCGAGGTGGAAAATTGATGTGATCATTCGATTGCAGCAGTCAAAGCTTGAAATTTTGGTAGCTCGTCTCAAAAAGTTAAATACGCTAAAGCTTAACATCAGATGAAAGCGTTGAATGTGCTTTTGTCGATCGGGAAGATTATTCATGTGATTTAAACATTAGGAGACTGTCACTGCTTAGTCTTTTTTTAAAAAAAGATATGATCGGTAGGCGGTACGGAAGACGACACAAGTACACATCAAATGACGATCGTGTCACATACAAACCAATGTTTGGAAAGCCTGGCTACATACAGCACATCATCATCATCATCTCTTTATGACGCAATGGCATCCAAATGAGCCTCTTGGATTTGAGAACTTGTAAGGAGCCATGGCTGACAAAGTTACGATCAGAATTTGCGTGGACAAAAAACCGCATGATGGTATCCGAGCTATTGATAAATCTACTTACATTCCGTGTCCCAACTCGTTCGAACGATGAGACATAACCAAGGTTGGTTGAATCGAATACATTTCAAACCGACAATGACGTTATAGATATGATACTACTTGCTCCCATCTTGAGATTCACCAAAAATTCCGCAATTTTCAATCGTGAATTCTTCTTCCTCGAAATCTGATCTTCCCGCAAAGCATTTCATGTTCATTCTGTATTACTTTTCAAATAGCAACAACGTGCGGTGATCGCATCCAAGATATAGCACTTTGCGCTCAATTGAATTGAAGGTCAATGAGCCAGCGTTTTCCAATCCAGTCAATGCCTCAGTTTGAAGTGACTGAATTAGAGCATCAGGCTAGCAGGGAATTTATGCAGCAACTACTACATCACACGATTCGAGAGTTTGAGTTTAATTCTTATCACAATAATGGCATCGTAGATGCTAGGCGGTGGAAATTGCAAACACACCGTGGTGACATTGAGTTGTACCGTGAGCGCAAAGTTGGCGTAACTGGTGGCAGTTTATTTAATTCAGCGCGTCATTGCCGACTTGATCTACCTCTCTTTTCGTCTACAGTTGAGACATTGGCGTCACCAACCATGCTACTTACAGGTTATGCCCATGGACGTGTTGAGGATGCTATGAGCGCAGTAGTGACCGAGAGCCAGCACGATATGGCTCTTGCAGTCAAGTTCAAGCACCAAGATGTAGCCGACTGTGCCATACTCAAGACGTTGGAGCCGCCGACTCAATCCCATCCATTTCACTACCTCGGCTTAAAATTTTTTGCTCGAAAGTCTCCAACCGAAGGGCTCTTGTTTAAACACCGACACAGTGTCTACCTCGAGTTTAGCGGAATTACCCATACCAGCAAAGGAGAGCAGATCGGCTTTCACCTAATGCATTCGGTCGAACTTCCGATGTTCCCTGACTTAAGTGATTACAACTCGATCCGCGCACTGCAATCGACTCGGTATATCTACCGACAGAAGAGCAACAAAATGGTCGAGCTGTTCATGCTAGGCAATATGAACATCTCTGGTCACATCTTCAAGCCGTTGGCCAACAAATTTACGGTCGATCTGTTCTTCGGTGTCACACGGCTGCTAGAGCTGGCCGAAGTGCGTCGTCTTTCCCAGATGGCGCATAAGCAGCGAAATTTCGGCGTCAACATCGCCACTGGGAGCGGAACACCGGCGTGTAACGTGTGCACTCGCAGTGCTGCTAAGCACAAATTGGTGCGCTGCCACTTGTGCGGAAAGGATGCGTGCAGGAAGTGTACAAATACTAAGCGCGTCTTTGTGAGCGACAATTCTGGTATTCTTGGAAACTTCATGAAAGTGCCGGCATGCCAGACTTGTGTCCGGCGAGCCAACACCGGCACCTTTGTGTCCCCATATGAACGCGTCCTACGTACTCCCGTCAGTGAGCTAAAGTTTGACTTTCACAAGCCCAAACCCAATAAACTGCTGCAATGTACCGATCCGAAACATTCCGTGCGCGCTTTAGAAAGGCATCGCGGCACCTACCCATCTGAATCTCTCTATGTCCGTGAATCTGCGCACTACGCGTCAAGTTTACCGATGGCATCGAAGCTCACCCAGCAAAATGAAGAGGACATTGTTGACCCATTTCTCACAGCCTATCAAAGGACGAAGCGCATCACAGGAGAAAATTTCGATTTCAGTCAAGATTCCAACCATGTCGAAGCCCATCTGACCCGACCTCGCTCACGCACACGTGCTTCAATTTCATCTCAAACCGATTCTTGCCTCTACAGCGTACTGCCCCCCAAACCAAGAACAAGCAAGGATCCGCAAATGTCATCGAATATGTCGTCTGCAGAATGTGCGATGATGACTCGCCTGTTTGAGTTAAGCAAAATAGCTGCAGACACATCCGCGACAGCACGTCTGAACGGCATCTACTGTGAGCAACATTGGCAGAAAGAGCTGGAGATGGAGGCCAGCCGCTCTCAAAGTCATCGCACTACTGTCACCGCATGGGTCTAATGTAACTTCTTCAGCAGCATTGCTCCCTCGTTGGAAGGGGAGGTAGCCATTCGAAGAATGAGACTTAAAGTAGAAGAAGGCAGCATGTACAATAGGCAAGTGAATTGAAGTTATGAAGAGCACAAATGAATTTATTGCATCTAGTCCATCCTTTGACTGACAACACGCAATCAAGCTTAGTCGCATGACGTCCTTCGAGCGTCTCAAACAGAGGTTCAAGTGGAACGGGCCTCTGCGTGATATGGCTGCGTCGCCAACGAGCGATGCAGCCATCTCAGACAGATTCGATTCGACCAGTCAAGGAGAGCCGGCAGGCAGTTAGTGCTAAGACCAGGTGGATCCACTCAAAGCCAGACAAGCAAATCTAGACACTGTAGCAGTAAGGAGCGGTCTTTGCGCATGATTGATGACAAGCACGGCAGACGAATCCTAAAGAAATTGGTGCTAGCGACAGATTAGAAACGAATTCCTGACTGGTCCTGACTGGGCAACTTGCTGCTGCAATTCAGCGAGGCCATGACGAACTCTCGTGAGCATCGCCTTGGCTGGTTGCGGCACTCACGATAGAGAAGAATATGCTATGACGTTGCATCACTCGGTGGGATGAATGACCAAGATGAACGCTGACATGGCCAACACGTCTTTCTCGGTAGATGGTCGATTCCTCAAGGTTAGTTTCCATCTTCCAGAGGTTGTGCCCACATGATCAATTGGTCAAGCGGCCACAGCACTAACGACCAATTGCTAGTAAATGGATATCCGGCATGTTCTATGGTAGTGGTATGCTAATCTTTCGTCCATTCAGGCAAGGATGTATGTTTCGTCCTAGGTTGTTTGACACAGACAGAATGTTGTCATATCTCAACAAAATTTGAACGCACCAAGGCAAGCACCTGAATCCCATTGCACAACTTGGTTGGTATTACCAAGCCATAGCAAGTCCTGTCGGGTAGAAGATTAATGCTTCTGCTCCTCACTTGGAGAGCGTCAGGAAAATTCGTGATCGTATTAATAGAATACATGCATTTGGCAGAGGACTACCACTGCTCATTGCTGTACTGCTGCCTGTAGTAGTAGATGATGTTGCCCATTATGATGCACATGGTTGCATTATGCGCTTACCTAGGAATTTGTCGTCATGATACCCTGCTTCAGCTCAACATCAAGAGTCAGTGACATGTCCACAGCTAGACAGGTATGACTTCAGTAGAAGGTAGGGCACACACAGAGAGAGATGTAGTATGTAACTTCGGTGCTTCGGCTGCATGATGTGATTGCCAAAATATTTGCCATTTTGCAAGAGCAGACGCCATGAGCACTCAATGTAAATACTATCGTCACCTCATGATGATTCGCGTATCGTTGCCAACTTTGTCACGAAGAACTTGAAGCCTCGGAAGTTGAAATTTTGTTCACTATGAACCCTTTCATGGCGCTACCGCGTAGATGAGCTGTACCTCGACGATTAAAAAATCGACCAAGTGCAGCATCACATGACACAGAACCTCTTCATACCTTTTGTTACGACGATGTTGAACAAGATCCCGCAGCTACCACGGCGAAGTTCGGAACGTTTAGTTGATGTTTGTCTGTCCATCCTCATTATACGACTCGAAGTGATTGAATAAATAATCATCTTCCAGTCCCATCATGAAAGGAAGAAGATACTGCACCAAATCTTTCGTCTCTATCATCCGATCCTTTTGATCAGTGCGTGATCGATACCTCTAGACTCCATGCCTAACCAATGTGGCTATTGCATTACCCCATTAATGCTCTTGGTCGGTACTATAGATCGAAGAGCCAAGCTAATCAATCGCCTTGAAAGTTGGATAGGTGTCTAAGTATAAACGTTTTATGAAGAACCCTTTCGACATCATCGAGAACAATGGTATTGTGTACTCAATATGTGCCAAGTCTTGCGGTTTGGCAACAAGAGCCAGACTGGTACGAAAACTTCACGCATAAACGTCGCATGAGCAGCTAGCGACATGCAAGTGCCTACGCAGTAGCTTAAAACACACGGCGTGTTCGAGTACAATAGTATTGTAACCCTTCGATTTGTGCTTGAGAAAAATTGGATGGACCACCACAATTAGCCATAGACAGACCTTTCCATGAGGTCTAGACTGGGCACCAAGAGCCAGCAAACGCGGTGGCAACGAGCAGCTCTCGAGGTCTCGCCGGGTCATAAATGGGGTCACAGACACGCGGTGACGGAATATCAGCTATGGACACGATACCGCCACGCTACCAGTCAGCTAAACTTTTGGTATCAGGACGGGCCTCCGGGCGGGACTTGCCCGTATCGAGAATGTGTCGGACAGAAGGAGACCCGAGAGCATCTCTTTTGGGGATGTCCCCGTGCTGAAGCACTTTGGGCCCGGCTCATCATCAGTCATTGGAAAAGCACACCTCGTAAGCCTTACCACCTACTAAGGCGAACTGCGCAAACCGTAGCGTACCCCGCCTTTCACCGTCGGTTACAGCAATGCTGGTAGCCAACTACCCCGACGACATCGATCAATTCGCCACGGACTGGAAGACGATAAGGGAGGTCGCAGGGACCGTCGTCATCACAATGCTCTGGCAACACCGCGTGGACTGCATATTTCACAATGCGGATATCCCAATGCAAACCTGTGAAGCCTTGATTTGAGGAAGGATTCAGCTTCAACTGCGGGCGCTCATTAAACGCCTCCATTGCAGGGCTGACACGGCCGTGCGAGGTGCCCAACCTTCTTCATGTTACGACATATTTATATCAGAACCGAGAGGGCAGTCCGGCCTTCATAGCCAGGCTGCCAGCCGTGGGCAGTATCTGGACCCTCTAGCGTTGCTAGTGTGGTTTACTACCAACCAGAGATCTTGCACCAACTAGTAAATAGACAATCTGTGCTCTCTCTAATCATCTTCCAGTCTCATCATGAAAGGAAGAAGATACTGCACCAAATCTTTCGTCTCTATCATCCGATCCTTTTGATCAGTGCGTGATCGATACCTCTAGACTCCATGCCTAACCAATGTGGCTATTGCATTACCCCATTAATGCTCTTGGTCGGTACTATAGATCGAAGAGCCAAGCTAATCAATCGCCTTGAAAGTTGGATAGGTGTCTAAGTATAAACGTTTTATGAAGAACCCTTTCGACATCATCGAGAACAATGGTATTGTGTACTCAATATGTGCCAAGTCTTGCGGTTTGGCAACAAGAGCCAGACTGGTACGAAAACTTCACGCATAAACGTCGCATGAGCAGCTAGCGACATGCAAGTGTCTACGCAGTAGCTTAAAACATACGGCGTGTTCGAGTACAATAGTATTGTAACCCTTCGATTTGTGCTTGAGAAAAATTGGATGGACCACTACAATTAGCCATAGACAGACCTTTCCATCAGGTCTGGCTTTGCAGCTGATCCTTGATCTTGTGCGAGGATAGGATATAGACAAGAGTGAAGTGTCTGCATCATGATCCAGCGGACAATATCCTGCAATTAACCCCGTGTCCTGCTGACCACATCACTTTTTAAATTGCTGTCAACTCACCGTGCAGAGTTTCAACATGGGTGTCAAGCTAAACACAGTTGAGCCTTCTCACGCAAAGACGCTGCTTCTTTTCACGCTACTTGTATGGTTAACTACGACCATGTCCAGCGCAGAATCGTCGTCTAAGGCGGTTATCCGCCGCTTAGACGCTGGGAGTACGCTCAATGCGGCCAAGGAGAGCGCCTTGATCAAGCAAGTCTTGCGCTCAAACGTGGAAAAAGCCACGAGAGGTAAAGCAAACGCACCTGAAGAAAGGGTTCCCTTTTTTTCTTCCTGAAAGTGAAAACTTTGCTTCCGTCCTGCAATTTACTAAGTTGAACTTGATTGATAAAGTTCGTGTTAATACCTGGCGAATAATGCAGTATTCCGCGGAAAATTTGTTTGCAAGTCTGAACCTCCGGGAGGAAGGTACTCGACTCTTTGAAAGCAAAGACTTTGCTAAGTTGGTTGCTTATGTCGCGTCAAGCGAGCCAAAATCTCTGAAAGATGAAATTTTTTCAATCTTGCATAAGCAATACCCTAATGACGATGTTCTGGCCCGTGTTCTAGTTGCCGGAACAAAGGTAAAAAAATATGAAATCGTTTGCTGGAGACCTGCTAGACCTCCAACTCTTGCGGTGGCAAGAAGCCAAGACAAGACAAGATGAGCAAACAATTTTTATGCTTTGGGAACTTAATCTGATAGGTACTGAGCTATTTGAAAGCATGGCATTTTCCAAGTGGGTAGAGTTAGTCAAGTCAAGGAACGAGAACAATTGGAAAAAGGAGGTGTACTCGATCATGGCTGAATACTACCCCGACGACGCTGAGTTGGCCCGTATTCTTGTTGCCGGAACAAAGGTCGATAAGCAGAAATCCGTTGCTGGAGATTTGCTAGACCTTCAGCTCAAGAGGTGGCTAGATCCTGCGACAAAAAAGTCTCCGGAAGAGATTTTTGTGCTGTGGGAGCTACACAAGATAGGTACTCCGCTTTTCGAAAGCATTGCTTTTTCTAAGTGGATAAAGTCCATCACACCTGCCAACGAGCAATTGCCGAGTGTGGAGCATGTGTACTTGCTGTTAAATGAGCACTACCCCGACGACGCTGAGTTGGCCAGTATTCTTGTCGCCGGAACAAAGGTTCAAGACGAAAGAATGAAACTGTTTGCTGGAAGCGTGCTAGACTACCAGCTACAGACGTGGGAAGATCGTGCGATCCACAAATCTCCTCAAGAGATTTTTAATCTTTGGGAGCTAGACAAGGTAAACACTCAGCTTTTTGAAAGCATAGCTTTTTCAAAGTGGGATAAATTCTTCAAGTCAAGGAACGAAAATTCAGAAGATTATCGTACCGAGATGTTTTCGATCTTGGCTTACTACTACCCCAAGGACGCTGAGTTGTCCCGTATTCTTGTTGCCGGAACAAAGGTCGACGAACAGAAAGCTCTTGCTACATCCCTTCTAGACATGCGAAACTCAAAACGTAAACTTAAGCCAGACATCACTCTAGAAAAGGTGTTTGTGCAATGGAAGCTCCATCAGATAGGGACTCAGCTATTTGAAAGCGGGTCCTTTGAATCGTGGGTTGCTCAAGTCGTTTCACAAGACAAGAGAGACTGGGAAAACGAGGTGTTGTCGATCTTGACTAAATACTACCCCAACGACGCCGAGCTGAACCGTATTCTTGATGCAGGGACAAAGGTTGAAAAGTGGAAAGATTTTGCTACGAAGCTGCAACATCAACAGCAGATGGGAGGGCAAGCTTTTAAGAGAGAAAAAATTTTGGAAGAGAAGTTTTTAAGCGAAAATCTTCATCTGATGGACACTCAGCTTTTTGAAAGCAGAGCCTTTGCTGTTCTGGTCGCTTCCATGTCAAGGGACGTGGAATCACCGGCAAAGATTATGTTCTCGATCTTGGTGAAGTACTACCCCGACGACGCTATGTTGGCCAATATTCTTATTGCAGGAACGAAGGTTCAAGACGAAAGCATGAAACTATTTGCTGGAGAGCTGCTTGACCTCCAGCTCAAGAGGTGGCGAGATCCTGAGACAAGTCAAACTCCGGAAAGGATATTTGAGCTTTGGAAGCTACACAAGATAGGTACTCCGCTTTTTGAAAACGTCGCCTTTTCTAAGTGGATCACTTTCTTCAAGTCAGGCATCAAAGAGTTGCCAGATATGTTCCTGGTCTATTTTGCGCTGAAAGTTCATCTTAAAGAAGATGGTTTAACCCGTATTGTTGAAGAAGGAAAAAAGATTCCCAACATGAAGTCCGTCGCTGATGAACTGAAAGAGTTCATGGATAAGATGAAAAAAGCCACTGAAAAGCTAAAAGAGTTTGGGCTCGAAAAGATAAAGATAGTCGATACACTTTTCAAGAACCAGCTGTTCGAAAAGTATGAAAGCTACATGAGATCGGCCTTCGGTAGCAAGTCGGATATGGTCATCATCAAAATGTTAGAGGACAACCTCGGCGACACGATTGTTGCAAAGCAGATTGCCGCGGGAGATGAACTGATGGCGGAATGGCGAACGAAACAATTCAAGCTGTGGCTGATAGAGGGCAAACAGCCGGACGACGTCAAGTCAAAGAGTAAAACCAACGCTGCCGACGAGCTGCTGAAGCAAGTTTGGCGTACCTACGAAATATTTCATGGCAAACGTAAGGTGACGTAATCCCAGTCTTCGGAACAGTATTGAGCCTAGATAGTTAGCATCTTTGGTTGTTTCTTAAGACATGGTAATATCAAATTCTTGGCTCGATTTGTTTCGTCTTGTGTGAAGAAATGACCATCACTGCAATTGATCAATCGCATGGTACATTTCAGCAGTGCGCACCATGTTTTTTATGCGTCCTTAGTACATGACAGTAAAGCTGTAACAAAAATCAGCGAAACCTTTCGCTATCTTTTGCAAAATGTCCTTCCTTAGCTAAACTTCTTTATGAAGTGATATCCCGAAACATCTCAAACAATGCAGTTAGAGCCTTGTTCTAATGCATGATACCTATCATCCAAGCTCAAGTTATATCTTTCACTGACCTTCGTTACACATACGAGGCAATAGAAGAGAAAAAAGAAGCCGCAGCATGGTGAGAAAGGATTCGAAGACGTACCATCAGTTTGCAATCATAGACGCAATGATGTCGCAACGCCGCAGCTATATGTGTGCATTTACTGCCACTCGGCAAGTATACGCGCAATGATTCCGAAGGTTTGCGCGATTGGGGCATTCGTGATGCTCTATGAATTGACTGTGTGAATGGAAAAGAGTATCGAGACTTGCGGGGGGTGTAGTCTCAGAGGTAGTGACATAAGCACGAGTTCGTGACTGTTTCTGGATACGAATGCGATCGTGAAGCTATGATAATGGTAGTAGAAAGCTTGGCACATCCGGATTGGCTTTGACGTGTTCGTCAACAGATAGTTGCAGTTAAAAGATCCTTTGACACTCAATGTCGCAAGATGCTTCTTTGTGTCTGTAAGAGCGACGTTCAGGGTAGCGTCATTTACCTTTTCCTGTTGTTTCCTTGGAACGATGCTTGAAAGTCGCTTCTGGATTGCAAGTAATGCTGATAGCTTGAAATTCGGCATTCATACGCAATAGTTTGCTTCAGCAAGACCAGTTGTTGAACAAGTTAAACAACGACATTGTGAGTCAAGGCATTTTCTAATTGCAAGAGTCTCGAGGTTGTGAGATCTCCTGCCATTCATGCATCGACTTTATATAGCAACAATGTCCTTTGTCACTTGCATCACTTCTTTGTGTCATCTAGAGAAGATGCAATGCAAAACTGATGCTTTTACCATGACTACGGTTTTCTTTCTCAAAAGTATCGTCATGTAGGAACTTGACGTTGTATGCACCTACAGTTTAGTACTCAACACCCCAATGCTTTTCGATTGCCAAACTACTTTTTTTCTGCTGATTCTTACGTTGCATACTCATGACAAAGTCCAAGGTCATGAAAACAAATCCAACAGTGATAAGGACGAAAGAACGGCATTTTTACAGATTCATGCAACCGATCCTCGTCAAAATAAACACCCCAGTGTCATTGAATCGTGCCTATCACTCAACGATCAAGTGATACAAGAAATGACACGGCAGTTTTGTATGAAGTGATGAGTTGAATCCATTGTCATTACAGAAAGGTTGCACATGTTCAATGAGGCTCTTTCATTTTCATGATGTTCAATACGACGTTTACGTCATGTTGTAAGTAAGTAGCCAGCTCAAAAACAAGAACGTCAAAGCATGATGGTATACCGCTACCGTCCGAGCTACTCGGTTTTTGACGCGAACATCTCAAACTGCAGATTTCTTATACCGGTCTTGACACCACACTCCACGAAACAGTTCCCAAATTCCTCGGTTAGCACCTCAGACCTTCTCACCATAATGCGAATGCGAATAGTGAACTCAATTTACACTTTCCTTGCTACTACTTTTGCCAGTGCTACTGCTTCCATTCCAACGTATATCTACAGATTTAATGCTGCACATGCTGCTGGTGTCAATGGCTTTATTCGCGTGCAATACACTGGTGAAGATTCATCCATTGCTCTGATTACGTCTGCACTTGACTTTTCTGCAGTCAACCAGACAAAGCTTGCTGCCTTTGATGGTAATTGCACCGACACTGTAACAAGCTATAAATGGCACATTCATACGAAATGGAACTCGACGCTCTCTTCAGACTCGTTCAAACAATGCTCAAAGGCTGCGACGGGTAATCACTACGACCCTTTGAAAGCTTGTGGTCCTGCATCCGAGTATATCACTGAACCCGACTGCAAGGCCAAATCGTTGACCTACTCATGCAATTCAACTATCTACAAGACCGACCCGTTCATGTGTGAAAAGGGTGACATGTCTGGCAAGTTTGGTGTCTTTGATGTCAGAGTCAACTCCACGCTATATCTGAATTTGATAGATAAACACTATCCAGTGCCGTACGAGAATACTGACACGTGGAGCATTGTGATTCATGCTGTATGTGGCAAAGAGACACCACGAATTGCTTGTGCCGTTGGATACGAGTACAACGAGAGAGAGACTGAGCAATATGGAAAGAAAGACAAGCACGAGCACGCGCAGTGCCGTTAAGTTGTATTGTGTAGCTATTTCATCGTGCCACGACCGGTTTTATCCACACCCAATCACTTTATAACTTTTTCACTTGTAAAGCTGTTTCCAGGTAGATGCTGATGTCTCTACAACGTCTTTGTCGCTCTCCTGTGTTGTTACGTACAGTTCTTCCTCGGCCTTTCTCCACTTTTGAACAAGCTCTAGATGTTGTGTATCGAAAATTGTTCGAGATAGACGCTGCTGACACCTATCAAGTCACGAAAGCTCAATCGACCGCAATCACGATGGCTACAAAAGGCTATTCGGTCTTCTTACACCTTCCCACTGGAGCTGGCAAGAGCTTGGCTTACCAAGCACCCGCTCTTTTGACTGCAGTTACTCAAACAACACTTGTAGTGTCTCCACTCATTGCTTTGATGCATGTACGTACGACAAACCTTTCAAGCAGTAAAATCGTCAGGGAATCGGATTGAAATGATCAGTATGAGTGAACATGTGTTCATGTTGTTTACGATGTTTAGGACCAAGTTGCTGCGTTGAAACGCAAAGGAATTGATGCAATTCAGATTTCAGGCAGTGAAAAAAGCTCAGCAGTGCCTTTGCGTCAACTTTTGACTGGACAGCGACTCGTTTACACGACGCCAGAGTTCTTACAGATGAACGGAGAAATGAGTAGCTGGGTGCGGACAGCAGTAAAGGAACATCGACTGGCGCGAATTGTACTGGATGAAGCCCATTGTGTATTGGAGTGGGGAAATACGTTTCGACCGTTGTATTTGCAGCTAAGCCAGTGGAAGACGCGGTTCCTCAGTGAAGTGCCAATCACACTGGCAACAGCGTCTGTTTCGGATGAAGATATCGTCAGGTTGGCGGAGCTCTTTCACTTGCAGCTGCTTCCAGCCGACCCTAGTGACGATGAAAGAAGAAGAAAAGGATGGAGTTTGAAGCGACCTCGTCACAGTCAGTTGGTCCTTATTCAGCAAGTCGTGGATCGTGAGAATTTGCGGGTGGAAGTTGTGCGGAAGAACCCGAGCGTTGCGCAGTGGATAGCAAACAGGGTCGGTAGGAATACTACTATAGTTTACTGCATGACACGGCAAGAAGCGGAGGAAGCGTGCTTAGCTCTTGTACGCATTGGATGCCATGCTGGTGTATATCATGGTGGTCTTCCGCGAAAGCGTCGCGAGTTTGTTCGTAAGCAATGGATGATGGGTGAATTAACCATCATATGCGCCACCAGTGCGTTTGGAGTACGTTTTTATTGTTATGGAGATGTATATGGTTGTTGGTTGAGTATCACCTTGCTTTTAACGTTGTTATGTGGAATCGTAGATGGGGATTGATCGCTCAGACGTGCGCTTTGTGATCCACCACTCGATTCCATTGTCTCTATCCGCATATTCCCAACAAATTGTACGTTTACTACGGGAACATACTGCGGCTTGCAGTGAAAAGACTAACTGTGGCAGTATGTTGATATAGGGACGAAGTGGTCGGGATGGAAAGCTCGCAATCTGTGTTTTGCTATATTCAGAAGCAGACAAGAGCCGAGCGGATGCATTGATAACTGACACATTCGAATTTGACGACACAGGGTCAGGTGCAATGTCAAATGGTAGTTCTCGGAGAGAGCTGGACGACGTCACTGCTTTCTGCGAAATGACCGTTGGCTGTCGTAAGGAGTTGTTATACTCACACTTTGGTTTCGAATTCGATGCTTCTCGGTGTGTTCGTAATTGCAACTGTGGCATGCCACTTGAAGATGACACTGAGTCCTGGCATGACGACGAGATCAGTAGTGCCGAACACAAGCGTAAGGGGATAAACGAGAGTAACACGGAAGACAATCTCTCCAAAGGAGCTATTGAGTACCAGTATCAAAAGATTCTAGCAGAATGTAGGAGGTTGAAGCTTCCAAAGCGGGAAGCGCTGTCACGCCGTCTTATAAGGGTACGCATGTTGTTTCCATGAGGATGCTGAAGTTCCAGATCATGGTTTATTTGTTCACTGGACGTTGTGATTGGCACAGGATGTTCTTGTGGCTAAGCCTTCGTCTGAAGAAGAAATGTCGGGTATGCGAGGCATCGGACCAGCAAAAGCTTGTCGATACTTTCGACTTTTCTCGCTTTGACGAAGCAGCGAAATGTCATTCGCATGCATTGCATTGAGAATGGACACCGTGATTTGGCTTGTTTTGCATGCGCTGTTTGTAAATGAATTTAGTCTTGTTGGACGTGCCGCTTGTAGGTTGTTAGAATGAGAAAAGTAACATGGTTATAGTTCAGTCTGGTGTTGTTAACAAGCCCGTACATGTCCACTTGATCGTTTGGCATCAATTTGATGGTACAAAGTAGCTGTAGAAAGAAGCATGTCCTTAGTTACACTACAGTAATAATAGATGGGTTGCTGTCGCCGAGACTCATATGACATTTCGCTGCTTCGTCAAAGCGAGAAAAGTCGAAAGTATCGACAAGCTTTTGCTGGTCCGATGCCTCGCATACCCGACATTTCTTCTTCAGACGAAGGCTTAGCCACAAGAACATCCTGTGCCAATCACAACGTCCAGTGAACAAATAAACCATGATCTGGAACTTCAGCATCCTCATGGAAACAACATGCGTACCCTTATAAGACGGCGTGACAGCGCTTCCCGCTTTGGAAGCTTCAACCTCCTACATTCTGCTAGAATCTTTTGATACTGGTACTCAATAGCTCCTTTGGAGAGATTGTCTTCCGTGTTACTCTCGTTTATCCCCTTACGCTTGTGTTCGGCACTACTGATCTCGTCGTCATGCCAGGACTCAGTGTCATCTTCAAGTGGCATGCCACAGTTGCAATTACGAACACACCGAGAAGCATCGAATTCGAAACCAAAGTGTGAGTATAACAACTCCTTACGACAGCCAACGGTCATTTCGCAGAAAGCAGTGACGTCGTCCAGCTCTCTCCGAGAACTACCATTTGACATTGCACCTGACCCTGTGTCGTCAAATTCGAATGTGTCAGTTATCAATGCAGCCGCTCGGCTCTTGTCTGCTTCTGAATATAGCAAAACACAGATTGCGAGCTTTCCATCCCGACCACTTCGTCCCTATATCAACATACTGCCACAGTTAGTCTTTTCACTGCAAGCCGCAGTATGTTCCCGTAGTAAACGTACAATTTGTTGGGAATATGCGGATAGAGACAATGGAATCGAGTGGTGGATCACAAAGCGCACGTCTGAGCGATCAATCCCCATCTACGATTCCACATAACAACGTTAAAAGCAAGGTGATACTCAACCAACAACCATATACATTTCCATAACAATAAAAACGTACTCCAAACGCACTGGTGGCGCATATGATGGTTAATTCACCCATCATCCATTGCTTACGAACAAACTCGCGACGCTTTCGCGGAAGACCACCATGATATACACCAGCATGGCATCCAATGCGTACAAGAGCTAAGCACGCTTCCTCCGCTTCTTGCCGTGTCATGCAGTAAACTATAGTAGTATTCCTACCGACCCTGTTTGCTATCCACTGCGCAACGCTCGGGTTCTTCCGCACAACTTCCACCCGCAAATTCTCACGATCCACGACTTGCTGAATAAGGACCAACTGACTGTGACGAGGTCGCTTCAAACTCCATCCTTTTCTTCTTCTTTCATCGTCACTAGGGTCGGCTGGAAGCAGCTGCAAGTGAAAGAGCTCCGCCAACCTGACGATATCTTCATCCGAAACAGACGCTGTTGCCAGTGTGATTGGCACTTCACTGAGGAACCGCGTCTTCCACTGGCTTAGCTGCAAATACAACGGTCGAAACGTATTTCCCCACTCCAATACACAATGGGCTTCATCCAGTACAATTCGCGCCAGTCGATGTTCCTTTACTGCTGTCCGCACCCAGCTACTCATTTCTCCGTTCATCTGTAAGAACTCTGGCGTCGTGTAAACGAGTCGCTGTCCAGTCAAAAGTTGACGCAAAGGCACTGCTGAGCTTTTTTCACTGCCTGAAATCTGAATTGCATCAATTCCTTTGCGTTTCAACGCAGCAACTTGGTCCTAAACATCGTAAACAACATGAACACATGTTCACTCATACTGATCATTTCAATCCGATTCCCTGACGATTTTACTGCTTGAAAGGTTTGTCGTACGTACATGCATCAAAGCAATGAGTGGAGACACTACAAGTGTTGTTTGAGTAACTGCAGTCAAAAGAGCGGGTGCTTGGTAAGCCAAGCTCTTGCCAGCTCCAGTGGGAAGGTGTAAGAAGACCGAATAGCCTTTTGTAGCCATCGTGATTGCGGTCGATTGAGCTTTCGTGACTTGATAGGTGTCAGCAGCGTCTATCTCGAACAATTTTCGATACACAACATCTAGAGCTTGTTCAAAAGTGGAGAAAGGCCGAGGAAGAACTGTACGTAACAACACAGGAGAGCGACAAAGACGTTGTAGAGACATCAGCATCTACCTGGAAACAGCTTTACAAGTGGAAAAGTTATAAAGTGATTGGGTGTGGATAAAACCGGTCGTGGCACGATGAAATAGCTACACAATACAACTTAACGGCACTGCGCGTGCTCGTGCTTGTCTTTCTTTCCATATTGCTCAGTCTCTCTCTCGTTGTACTCGTATCCAACGGCACAAGCAATTCGTGGTGTCTCTTTGCCACATACAGCATGAATCACAATGCTCCACGTGTCAGTATTCTCGTACGGCACTGGATAGTGTTTATCTATCAAATTCAGATATAGCGTGGAGTTGACTCTGACATCAAAGACACCAAACTTGCCAGACATGTCACCCTTTTCACACATGAACGGGTCGGTCTTGTAGATAGTTGAATTGCATGAGTAGGTCAACGATTTGGCCTTGCAGTCGGGTTCAGTGATATACTCGGATGCAGGACCACAAGCTTTCAAAGGGTCGTAGTGATTACCCGTCGCAGCCTTTGAGCATTGTTTGAACGAGTCTGAAGAGAGCGTCGAGTTCCATTTCGTATGAATGTGCCATTTATAGCTTGTTACAGTGTCGGTGCAATTACCATCAAAGGCAGCAAGCTTTGTCTGGTTGACTGCAGAAAAGTCAAGTGCAGACGTAATCAGAGCAATGGATGAATCTTCACCAGTGTATTGCACGCGAATAAAGCCATTGACACCAGCAGCATGTGCAGCATTAAATCTGTAGATATACGTTGGAATGGAAGCAGTAGCACTGGCAAAAGTAGTAGCAAGGAAAGTGTAAATTGAGTTCACTATTCGCATTCGCATTATGGTGAGAAGGTCTGAGGTGTTAACCGAGGAATTTGGGAACTGTTTCGTGGAGTGTGGTGTCAAGACCGGTATAAGAAATCTGCAGTTTGAGATGTTCGCGTCAAAAACCGAGTAGCTCGGACGGTAGCGGTATACCATCATGCTTTGACGTTCTTGTTTTTGAGCTGGCTACTTACTTACAACATGACGTAAACGTCGTATTGAACATCATGAAAATGAAAGAGCCTCATTGAACATGTGCAACCTTTCTGTAATGACAATGGATTCAACTCATCACTTCATACAAAATTGCCGTGTCATTTCTTGTATCACTTGATCGTTGAGTGATAGGCACGATTCAATGACACTGGGGTGTTTATTTTGACGAGGATCGGTTGCATGAATCTGTAAAAATGCCGTTCTTTCGTCCTTATCACTGTTGGATTTGTTTTCATGACCTTGGACTTTGTCATGAGTATGCAACGTAAGAATCAGCAGAAAAAAAGTAGTTTGGCAATCGAAAAGCATTGGGGTGTTGAGTACTAAACTGTAGGTGCATACAACGTCAAGTTCCTACATGACGATACTTTTGAGAAAGAAAACCGTAGTCATGGTAAAAGCATCAGTTTTGCATTGCATCTTCTCTAGATGACACAAAGAAGTGATGCAAGTGACAAAGGACATTGTTGCTATATAAAGTCGATGCATGAATGGCAGGAGATCTCACAACCTCGAGACTCTTGCAATTAGAAAATGCCTTGACTCACAATGTCGTTGTTTAACTTGTTCAACAACTGGTCTTGCTGAAGCAAACTATTGCGTATGAATGCCGAATTTCAAGCTATCAGCATTACTTGCAATCCAGAAGCGACTTTCAAGCATCGTTCCAAGGAAACAACAGGAAAAGGTAAATGACGCTACCCTGAACGTCGCTCTTACAGACACAAAGAAGCATCTTGCGACATTGAGTGTCAAAGGATCTTTTAACTGCAACTATCTGTTGACGAACACGTCAAAGCCAATCCGGATGTGCCAAGCTTTCTACTACCATTATCATAGCTTCACGATCGCATTCGTATCCAGAAACAGTCACGAACTCGTGCTTATGTCACTACCTCTGAGACTACACCCCCCGCAAGTCTCGATACTCTTTTCCATTCACACAGTCAATTCATAGAGCATCACGAATGCCCCAATCGCGCAAACCTTCGGAATCATTGCGCGTATACTTGCCGAGTGGCAGTAAATGCACACATATAGCCGCGCCTTCCTAGTGAAAAAACCTTTCTTCAGATGCGTTTGTGTTGATCACTTCTGGCTATGTCTTCGTTTGAGCGCAAGACTTGCTCGATTGAGGCGATTTTCTTGGCCGCATTCAGCGTACTCACAGCGTCTAAGCGGCGTATGCTTTAGACGACAATTCTGTGCTGGACATGGTCATAGTTGACCATGCAAGCAGCGTGAAAAGAAGCAGCGGCTTTGCATGGGATGGCTAGACTGTGCTTGGCTTGACAGCCATTCTACAACTCGTGCACGATGAGTTGACAGCAAATTCGCAAGTGATGTGGTCAGCATGACACGGCATCGATGCAGCGTAGGTCAGCTCGATTATAGAGACACTTCGCTCTTGTCTACATTTGAAACTGACAAGGAATCATAGAGTCGATGCAAAGCGAGACCTGATGGAAAGGTCTGTGGCTAATTGTAGTGATCCCATAAAAAATTGAAACAACAAGGGATACTGTACTATTGTAGTGCTGGACACGCGGTCGTATGTAATCTACTCCGCAGATGCTTGTATGATCTCGTTGCACGTCGTGACGTTAACGAATGAGCTTGCAGTCCATGACGCATCGTGAAGTACAAGTTCTACCGTTCTCTCGTCTTAGCTGCTATTTATTGCCAAACCGCACGTCTTAGCTTGCTTGTTTGTTAAATACGCTGTGCACATCAACATAACACATCACACAACCAGTGTGTGATGTATTGCTGCTACTGTGATATCCTTTCTCAAATGTATGTCAACAGAAGTTGGTTCTTCATCATCAAGCAGCCTTCAGAAATACATTTGTATTCACGGTGCACCATAACACATGAATCATCAAGACTTGTTAGAGCAGATCAATCATCATTCACAATTGTTCTTGATGCCGGGTATCCAAACATGGCGAAATATTGACAAAAAAAGAAGCACATGTATATCGATATATCAAATTCATCTTTGTCTCGGCAAGTACCCTCTTGATCCGAAAGCTGTGCTGGTAAGCAAAACATGTTGCAGACTTGAAAATGTTGACGCCATCTCGCTCATCGTCCTTTCAAGCCGCTCACTGCAGCATCTTGCAATCGTCACGACACTTTCTTTGTCATTTGCTTACAAGGACATGACAATTTTGATGTTGTTCTCTTTTTGCGACCCGTAAGATTACCTGAACTGCGTCAGATAGAGAGCATTCATGCGTCCCTCTCAATTTTCCTCGCACTTGTGTGTAGATTGGTGAAAAGGCAGTCTAGTTGGGAAGAAAAATGCAGTTACGGTCATGTCGGCCGTATGTCTGCAAATTACAAACGCAAACCTGCATCGAGGTCGGAATTTTCTGCTTTCAAATCACGATCGAAGCATCATTGAGTATGCTAAGTAAGACACGGATACTATATATCAAACACACGTCGTGATCGAATGGAAAATGCTGCTCCTGAAAGGTGATTTCAATATTGATTCCATTGACGTAGCTTCCGAATCAAAACTTCCAGTTGAACCTAGCACCACTCCCGATCATGATACAGGATGCTGCAAGACACCGTAATAATCCATTCTGTGACAAGTTTACGGGCGCGCAATCGTGTTGACTGTATTGATCGTGCCGCAAAGCAGATGGCTTACCAGCTGACTCATCCATCCAGCTGGGCCCGATCGCGAGACGATGCCAATCATTGCTAATGGTAGTCTAGTAATACAAACAAATGCAGGGCAACCGCTGCGGACCATGAATCGCTCGTCCTTATTTCTGTCAACTACAAATGACAACAAGAGCTACGAGCTTGTGCGATTTGGTGCAAGTGCTCCGTCAGCGATGATGCTTACACGTACATGATTGAGCAGTCTCTACTACTTTTCTATTAGATACACATTTTGCACTCATGTAGCTGACAAACAGAATCTACGAGCGACAGAACAGTCGCTTTTCGTCGTAATGCACGCGCCTGCCTCTTGTCGTACTGCTGGCAAAAAGGAACGGACACGTAGAGTTTGAGCGACACGCTTGGTAGCTACCCACCAGATGATCCTAATCCGCGCAACCAGAGCAGCAACCAACGACGCCTCCTTGGCCTCAGCAATCTATATATCGCATGCACATCTCGGCGCTTCAATGTGGCATTATCTATCTATCTGCCTTGCAGCCCACTTGTCAACTCGAGGAAAAACGCATAGAGTCACTCCATGCAAGAGCCTGTACGAAGAGCTACGGTACTGGTGCCTTTGACTGGGCAGGATATATCCACCCAGGCTATTCCAAGACGCGCCACGGCCCCAGGAGACTCGGAATTGTATCGAGGTCGACACAGATATACCCTCTTGGAGACGCAGTCGAACTCTATGCCGTCACAACCACGAGACATTACATCTGGCTCGTCTTCACAGGCGAGTCTAGAGCCCGGTAACGTCGAGGGATTCCGTCACCTAGCGCACAGCATTGTTTCGAGAACGTTGGCACTTGAGTGCGAGTACGACCGAATGGGGCGACCGGATCAGGACGAACACGCATGGAAGATGCTAAAAACACACAACCATCTTCGTGTCTACAAGCGTAAGGTCCAGCAGTGCTTCAAACTGAGTCAGAGTCGGGTTGGAGAATCGTTTAAGAAAGCTCCAATGGTCATCTGTGTTGGCTCTGTTGAAGGGACGGTGGAGGACATTCTCTACGGAATTCACGCCAAGACTCGTTGTGAGATGAGAGCAACCATGAATTTCATGGGTAGAAACCCTCTCGACTGCGACGTATTAGCTATGCTCGACTGTGGCTCCAAGAAAGACCCGTATCGTCAATTGTCTATCAAATACCTCCTGGCCGAGACATTCGGAGATGCACGAGTAGTGAACGATCGCGACGTCTGCTCACTTGAGTCTATGGGTTTTGGCCACGATTCAAGAGGTAAGCGCTACGGCTATTACCTTCTGCGAAGCGTAGACGTGCCGGAGTGTTCTTCATTACCCAAAGACAGCGGCGTGGTGCGTGCTAGCGTTACCATGTGCTGCATTTACCGGCAAGTACAAGGCGCTGTAAAGGTGTACAGTAAAGCGGTGCTTGATCTGGGTGGGTCTCTTCCAGAATTTCTGGCTTATGATGCCGCGACGGAATTACTGCTTTCCAATGCCGAGGCGATTACAAGTGCTACAGCCAAACGCCTTACCGTTCTAGCTCTTCAGAGGGTTCAGGCACAAAAGTCTGAAGAATCTCAAGACCTCACGTCCTCTTCAGAATCGGAAGTGCTTTTGAGTAGCTCACGATACGCCAAATCGTACAATTTCCGTAGTACCCAGAGTCTGTTGATCACAACGCCGTCTTCCACAAATGCCGTGCAGTTGACAGCGGCCCAGAAAACTCCAATTCAGCCCTGCGGTTTGTGTGACAAGATGCCAAAGATGGCAAAGTTTGTTCGTTCAACACACCGCAATTGCGGTGTATGTAACCGATGCGTTTGCATGAAATGCAGCGTTAAGCAGAGATTGTACGCCCGTTCGGAATCAGTAATCATTACTTGCTGTAAAGGCTGTATTCTGACAGCCAAGAAGCTAAAAGTGGACCCTCGCGACCCGTTCCCAATGCTGCCATGATCGCTTGAATCTATAGCGTCCCTTAGTATCGGTCTTTGTTGTTAATATAAGTCGCTGTATTGCTTGTATACTTTCCAAACGTCCTGCTTGTGCTAACCTAGAAGATGCATGACAAATGAAATGCTGTCAAAGGTTCAAATTGAGTGCTGCATGCCAATACATGTAAGATTGAAGCGAAGGTAACACCACAATCGGTTCGGTAGGACTTGTGTATTGTTTCAAGGCAAGAGCTCTACAACTGTTCGAGTTAAATTATTCATCAAGTTTGGAGCCATGACAACCACATTTTGTTTCTCAACTCACTAACATTTGCGTCGGGTGGAAGAAGTTCTAAGATGCTAACTATCTAGGCTCAATACTGTTGCGAAGACTGGGATTACGTCACCTTACGTTTGCCATGAAATATTTCGTAGGCACGCCAAACTTGCTTCAGCAGCTCGTCGGCGGCGTTGGCTTTACTCTTTGACTTGACGTCGTCCGGCTGTTTGCCCTCTATCAGCCACAGCTTGAATTGTTTCGTTCGCCATTCCGCCATCAGTTCAGCTCCAGGCTTAACAATTCCCGCGGCAATCTGCTTTGCAACAATCGTGTCGCCGAGGTTGTCCTCTAACATTTTGATCACGACCATATCCGACTTGCTACCGAAGGCCGATCTCATGTAGCTTTCATACTTTTCGAACAGCTGGTTCTTGAAAAGTGTATCGACTATCTTTATCTTTTCGAGCCCAAACTCTTTTAGCTTTTCAGTAGCTTTTTTCATCTTATCCATGAACTCTTTCAGTTCATCAGCGACGGACTTCATGTTGGGAATCTTTTTTCCTTCTTCAACAATACGGGTTAAACCATCTTCTTTAAGATGAACTTTCAGCGCAAAATAGACCAGGAACATATCTGGCAACTCTTCGATGCCTGACTTGAAGAAAGTGATCCACTTGGAAAAGGCGACGTTTTCAAAAAGCGGAGTACCTATCTTGTGTAGCTTCCAAAGCTCAAATATCCTTTCCGGAGTTTGACTTGTCTCAGGATCTCGCCACCTCTTGAGCTGGAGGTCAAGCAGCTCTCCAGCAAATAGTTTCATGCTTTCGTCTTGAACCTTCGTTCCTGCAATAAGAATATTGGCCAACTTAGCGTCGTCGGGGTAGTACTTCACCAAGATCGAGAACATAATCTTTGCCGGTGATTCCACGTCCCTTGACATGGAAGTGACCAGAACAGCAAAGGCTCTGCTTCCAAAAAGCGAAGTGTCTTTTTTGTGGAGCTCCCAAAGTAGAAACTTCTTTTCAAAAGACTTATATGCCTTAGGAACTTGCAATTGCTTAATTTGAGCGGATAGCAGGGCTGTAGCAAGAGTGTTCATATTCATAACATTTGTTCCGGCAACAAGAATTTGGGACAACTCAGCGTCGTCGGGGTAGTGCTCATTTAACAGCAAGTACACATACTCCACATTCGGCAATTCCTCGTTGGCAGGTGTGATGGACTTTATCCACTTAGAAAAGGCAATGCTTTCGAAAAGCGGAGTACCTATCTTGTGTAGCTCCCACAGCACAAAACTCTTTTCCGGAGACTTTTTTGTTGCAGGATCTTGCCACCTCTTGAGCTGAAGGTCTAGCAGGTCTCCAGCAAATAGTTTCATGCTTTCGTCTTGAACCTTCGTTCCTGCAATAAGAATATTGGCCAACTTAGCGTCGTCGGGGTAGTACTTCACCAAGATCGAGAACATAATCTTTGCCGGTGATTCCACGTTCCTTGACATGGAAGTGACCAGAACAGCAAAGGCGTTGCTTTCAAAAAGCTGAGTGTCCATCAGATGAAGATTTTTGCTTAAAAATTCTCTTCCGGAGTCTTGTCTTTTTCATGATTTTTTTGCCAGCTGTTGAACTGTCGGTCTTGCAGCTTCGTAGCGAAATCTTTCCACTTTTCAACCTTTGTCCCTGCATCAAGAATACGGTTCAGCTCGGCGTTGTTGGGGTAGTATTTAGTCAAGATCGACAACACCTCCTTTTCCCAGTTCTCTCGTGTTTTGACATGACGAAAGTGATCCACGTATCAAAGGACCCGCTTTCAAATAGCTGAGTCCCTATTTCATGGAGCCTCCAAAACACGAACATCTCTTCTGGAGCGTTGTCTTGCTTAGGTTCATGTTTCGAGTTTCGAATGTCTAGAAGGGCTGTAGCGAGAGCTTTCTGTTCGTCGACCTTTGTTCCGGCAACAAGAATACGGGACAACTCAGCGTCGTCGGGGTAGTGCTCATTTAACAGCAAGTACACATGCTCCACATTCGGCAATTGCTCGTTGGCAGGTGTGATGGACTTTATCCACTTAGAAAAAGCAATGCTTTCGAAAAGCGGAGTACCTATCTTGTGTAGCTCCCACAGCACAAAACTATTTTCCGGAGACTTTTTTGTTGCAGGATCTTGCCACCTCTTGAGCTGAAGGTCTAGCAGGTCTCCAGCAAATAGTTTCATGCTTTCGTCTTGAACCTTCGTTCCTGCAATAAGAATATTGGCCAACTTAGCGTCGTCGGGGTAGTACTTCACCAAGATCGAGAACATAATCTTTGCCGGTGATTCCACGTTCCTTGACATGGAAGTGACCAGAACAGCAAAGGCGTTGCTTTCAAAAAGCTGAGTGTCCATCAGATGAAGATTTTTGCTTAAAAACTTCTCTTCCAAAGTTTTTTTCTCTCTCAAAAGCTTGCCCTCCCATATGCTGTTGATGTTGCAGCTTCGTAGCAAAATCTTTCCACTTTTCAACCTTTGTCCCTGCATCAAGAATACGGTTCAGCTCGGCGTCGTTGGGGTAGTATTTAGTCAAGATCGACAACACCTCGTTTTCCCAGTCTCTCTCGTGTTTTGACATGACGAAAGTGATCCACGTATCAAAGGACCCGCTTTCAAATAGCTGAGTCCCTATTTGATGGAGCCTCCAAAGCGCGAACATCTCTCCTGGAGCGTTGTCTTGCTTAGGTTTATGTTTCGAGTTTCGAATGTCTAGAAGGGCTGTAGCGAGAGCTTTCTGTTTGTCGACCTTTGTTCCGGCAACAAGAATTTGGGACAACTCAGCGTCGTCGGGGTAGTGCTCATTTAACAGCAAGTACACATGCTCCACATTCGGCAATTGCTCGTTGGCAGGTGTGATGGACTTTATCCACTTAGAAAAAGCAATGCTTTCGAAAAGCGGAGTACCTATCTTGTGTAGCTCCCACAGCACAAAACTATTTTCCGGAGACTTTTTTGTTGCAGGATCTTGCCACCTCTTGAGCTGAAGGTCTAGCAGGTCTCCAGCAAATAGTTTCATGCTTTCGTCTTGAACCTTCGTTCCTGCAATAAGAATATTGGCCAACTTAGCGTCGTCGGGGTAGTACTTCACCAAGATCGAGAACATAATCTTTGCCGGTGATTCCACGTTCCTTGACATGGAAGTGACCAGAACAGCAAAGGCGTTGCTTTCAAAAAGCTGAGTGTCCATCAGATGAAGATTTTCGCTTAAAAACTTCTCTTCCAAAGTTTTTTCTCTCTCAAAAGCTTGCCCTCCCATATGCTGTTGATGTTGCAGCTTCGTAGCGAAATCTTTCCACTTTTCAACCTTTGTCCCTGCATCAAGAATACGGTTCAGCTCGGCGTCGTTGGGGTAGTATTTAGTCAAGATCGACAACACCTCGTTTTCCCAGTCTCTCTCGTGTTTTGACATGACGAAAGTGATCCACGTATCAAAGGACCCGCTTTCAAATAGCTGAGTCCCTATTTGATGGAGCCTCCAAAGCGCGAACATCTCTCCTGGAGCGTTGTCTTGCTTAGGTTTATGTTTCGAGTTTCGAATGTCTAGAAGGGCTGTAGCGAGAGCTTTCTGTTTGTCGACCTTTGTTCCGGCAACAAGAATACGGGACAACTCAGCGTCGTCGGGGTAGTGCTCATTTAACAGCAAGTACACATGCTCCACATTCGGCAATTGCTCGTTGGCAGGTGTGATGGACTTTATCCACTTAGAAAAAGCAATGCTTTCGAAAAGCGGAGTACCTATCTTGTGTAGCTCCCACAGCACAAAACTCTTTTCCGGAGACTTTTTTGTTGCAGGATCTTGCCACCTCTTGAGCTGAAGGTCTAGCAGGTCTCCAGCAAATAGTTTCATGCTTTCGTCATGAACCTTCGTTCCTGCAATAAGAATATTGGCCAACTTAGCGTCGTCGGGGTAGTACTTCACCAAGATCGAGAACATAATCTTTGCCGGTGATTCCACGTTCCTTGACATGGAAGTGACCAGAACAGCAAAGGCGTTGCTTTCAAAAAGCTGAGTGTCCATCAGATGAAGATTTTCGCTTAAAAACTTCTCTTCCAAAGTATTTTCTCTCTCAAAAGCTTGCCCTCCCATATGCTGTTGATGTTGCAGCTTCGTAGCGAAATCTTTCCACTTTTCAACCTTTGTCCCTGCATCAAGAATACGGTTCAGCTCGGCGTCGTTGGGGTAGTATTTAGTCAAGATCGACAACACCTCGTTTTCCCAGTCTCTCTCGTGTTTTGACATGACGAAAGTGATCCACGTATCAAAGGACCCGCTTTCAAATAGCTGAGTCCCTATTTGATGGAGCCTCCAAAGCGCGAACATCTCTCCTGGAGCGTTGTCTTGCTTAGGTTTATGTTTCGAGTTTCGAATGTCTAGAAGGGCTGTAGCGAGAGCTTTCTGTTTGTCGACCTTTGTTCCGGCAACAAGAATACGGGCCAAATCAGCGTCGCTGTAGTGTTGAGCTAAGATCGAGAACATTAACTTTTCCGGGAATTTTTCCTTGCTTGACTTGACGAAAGCAACCCACTTAGCAAAGCCTTTGCTTTCGAAAAGACGATTATACTTCAGATGAAGATTCTGATTAAGAAACACTTTCAATGCGGATTTCTTCGTCAGCCGCCACCACCACAATTGAAACTTCTGGATGTGGTTCCGCAGTTTTCCTTTCAGCATGGTAGCAAATTTAGGGATTTCAAAACCTTCAAAGGAAAACAGTCTCTCCTCGAAGTCATTCGTTTGATCGCTTGTTGCTATGCCCACGTTGGAACTCGAGTCTTGCTCGATCGAGGCGCTCTCCTTGGCCGCATTGAGCGTACTCCCAGCGTCTAAGCGGCGGATGACCGCCTTAGACGACGATTCTGCGGTGGACATGGTCATAGTTGACCATGCAAGCAGCGTGAAAAGAAGCAGCACCTTTGCGTGAGAAGGCTGGAGTGTGCTTGGCTTGATCACAGCCATTCTTCAACTTACTCGCACACGGTGAGTTTGACAGCAAATTCGAGATTGACGAGGCTCCATGACCAGATCTATCTAGTCCGAGATCAGGTGCACATCCCCTTGCTCAAGGTGACTGACTGGTTTATGCAGACCTCCTTTTCCTACGCATCTATGATGTTGCAGCTCTACCATTCTAAATACTGCTCTTGTCGCCAAACTTGGCATCCCTGTACGCGTGGTTGAATGTATCTTGTTACACGTCATTCAATCATGTATTACAGTCTCATAGCGTAATGAGTGATCGTGCAAGGTGCTGGCTGACATGTCCTCAAAGATATTTCCATACTAAACCAATCCTGGTACAAAAGCCCTTTGGTGACGCCCCCCATAGGTTTTTTGCATCGCTAGTCTGTCCACTTCGGCCACAAACGAGTAGTGCATGAACATAGCACCGCTATGTCATTGAGTTTATAGTACGTCATATACCTATTTCACTTTTTCGATGCTTTTGCCTCATTTGTACATCAAGGTGCTTATCACGTGAAAACATTAGACAAGTTTGTTTTGATTTCGCACGATGGAAGCGGTTCTAAAGTCCATGAATCCAACTACATTTATATTCAAAACACTAACGAACGACTCAGTGTTCATTAGACGTTCTAATGAACACTGAGTCGTTCGTTAGTGATAGCACGTATTCTTGATCCCAGATAGACGTTCTAATGTCGTTCTAATGTCTATCTGGGATCAAGAATACGTGCTATTAGATACGCTTCCTGCTCGTTTCAAATCGATGTGGTGGGCTGGAAAAATCCTAGTTTACCCTAAGTGAATGTATCAAAGCTGAGAGTGAGTGAGTGAGTGAGTGAATGAGAGAGAGAGGTAGATACCTCGATTGGACATAGTTTAGACTTGCAAAATGTCTGGTTGGTCCAAAGCCTAGTTAGCAACGCCAGTTTCTCAATCAAGGCCAGTGGTTGTACGGCGGTGACGGCTATCGGTTGACGTGCTATGTATGATCTGTGGCATAGTAGCAGATGTGTACCGTTGATGGGCGTCTCTGCGCATCAGCTCTTACGCTTACCAATTGCACAAAGTTGTCGCATGCTTGTTTCCCAGCACTCCTGAACGCTGCCTTCGATGGTCAGCTCCGATGGGCGGGAACGTTGCCCATCTTCATTGTATCCAGAAGCGACCAATGTATATGTTGCTCAGGATGATCACCGCACGTCGACGTATGTGGCCGCCTGGTCGGAATAAGCTCGGTTGAGCGCTTCACGGACCACCGTGGACAGCCCTGGTGCTCGTCGGGTAGGAGCCCGGAGAGTAGTCAAAGCTGATGCATGACTAAAGAGTGCCGTAAAAAGCGGGACGGCAAGGACTGACAATTCAAAGGGATGAACGCACGTGCAATCGATTGCAACATTCAACCTGACAAGATGCCTGGAATTTCCTATGTCAATGAACAACGCGAGGGCCGACATAGATTCGAAAATTGTTCGCCACAGCGCACGCTCTTGGATGTCTCCGTCGATGCTGCTCGGCATCATACGTGCCCCTTGTGATGCCGCAGAGGCCGCTCAAGCGGCTTGTTGAGCCGAAATACTTGCTCGCCTTAGCGATGGCGCGTGTAGGTGTGGTGAAGATAGATAGATGGCTTCAAGGATTTCGCCGACGGAAATGCCAAGCCGTCATGTCGACTGTCCCAGTGAGCCATTCGCGCCGATTCAAGTTGATATTGTACGACTTGAGAGCGTTCGAGAGAAATCAAGGCGTCGCCCACACCGTTTGGCAGAAAGAAACGGCTTCTGTGTTGTCCACTTTTGGAAGATACTTGGAGAAGATCGTCACGTAGTCAACAAACTGTTTGCCGGGCGATGGAAATGTAGCGAAAGAGTTATAAGCTTATTCAAAGAGCCCTTACCTCACCTGCAAGCAGCGAATAGAACCAGGCCACGCACGACGACGGTATGGTTCAGGCAGCTGAAAGACTTATCGAGTGTGCAGACGACAAAGGCTTACGCTACTGGTTGATCGCACAATTCCCGAGTCCACGTCCGAGAACTTCGACTCGACTGCCACCTATACTAAGTGAGCTGTAGGTGTCGTGTGCATCAACGACGGATGCAGATTATACTCTGTTACCTGCCTGCGCAGTTGTCGAGTGTTTTTGGTATGTTGGTCAGCTACAAGGTCAAGTCAAGAGTAACAGTCAATGAAGATGTGGACGTTCGTCACATCTTGTGCCGTGCAATCCAATGAGCGCACTAAAAATTTATTTTATGACAGGCCTGCATCCGTATGCGCTCAAATTCTCCAACGTCGCCGACTATTTCGTCAAGATGAACTCCAAAGCATATTTGTAATGTCTCTGGTAGGTCTTCTCTTCCGACAGCTTGTAGCTGAACAAATGGCAACTGGTATCAGAGAAAGCCGTAAGGAGAATGAAGCCTACGGAAGTGTAGTGTCATACCTCAATACTGCAAAGATGCCTGACCACAACGCAGCCAGAAGACAGAAGAGATTTACCCCGAATTCGATTTGAACGGTTCTGATTCATCGACGCGAGTTTCAATCTGCCCCGGGTGCTAATTCGAGCGACATAACGATCGATGATCGAGCCATGTGGACGCATGCGTCATAGATACCGGCAGCTAAAGACTGAAGAATATCCGACTGTGATGGGGAGCTATTGAGAGTACCATCCAAGTCGATTGCCCATGGTCGCAAGTCGATTTTGCAAACTGCTCCGTGCAGATTCAAGACGATACATCATCGATATCATTTTGAACGACTAGTATTGCCATTAGGAGGAAAGTAGCCGAGATGTGGTGGATGGATAACAAGAGAAAAATGATAGTGACAATTGCTTGAAAAGATTCTCACGTTCTAGGTCGCAATCACAAAGATCTGACTGCACACTTACTACAAAAATTGGCATCTAGGGCAAACCAGGCTGACGGAGTAGCACATCGTTTTTTCACTATTGACAAGCTAAAGCTAACGAAAAAGGCATTTATTGATATTTATATGAGCATTTTAAAACTCGATGAGCGGCACGCGAGACATGGTCATGTACGTGTAAACGTGCCTTTTGACACATACTTTTGCACTGATTCTGTACAGTAGCTTCGTACTAACTTTAGAGATTTCCATTTAATGGTCAAGACTTGGAATTGCTGACATTGTCGATCACATCTCAGTCAAAAACATTCTCTTGTTGTCGATTGTCTATCATCAATCAACTCAATGTCGTGTTTTCTCGAGGCCGAGAGGATTAAAGGCCGTGTCTAGCACGTCGATCGTCGCGTATAACTGACGTTGTACGATTGTAACGTCGTCAGATCGTCGTGCACAGATAGCCAGAGAAATAGACAAAGACAGGCTGTCTTCGCTCGTTTCTGTACTGCCACTAGCATTCGTTCGCAACGCACGTCAGGCAACTTGGCGGCACAATAGATTTGCACGCGTCCAGTCGCGGACAAGGCACTTCTGCCACATTGCTGTGGTCTTGTTAATTATGAAATCATACATAACATGTCACGGATATGTACGAGACGAAAGGTATCAAAGTATAGACATTAAATTTCCTCCAGCTTGTTAGTTTCAAAAAGACCTTACTATCCAGTAGATAAGCAGCAAAGTAAGCACAAATACTATCCTTTTTTTTACTTATAGCTTTGAATAATAAATGCTTGGCAAAAAGTTGGTGAGCAGTGATTGGTCAAGGGGTGGACTACAACAACAACTGCTTTTACTACTAATATGTTGTGTCTGTTTGACTTCATCAAGATGACTTTTGCTATTTGCAGAGTCAATAATGGTCTGAAAAAATTTCTGACGAGGGTAGGGTATACGCAAGCTCTTTGCTGGTATTTTGATTGGACAGTATAAGCGAGTCAGAACAAGTTGAAAAAAAAGAGCACTTCCCCGCACTGACCCTCACAATCAAACTCTATTCCAGTGCGGAAAAGGGAAAGGCAACCTTTGTTGACCATCACTCTTGATCTCTCCTAGTTCATTGCACACTAGACAGTCAGTTAGTCGTCAGTCGGTTGACTTGAAGAAAGTAAGAGAGAGAGAGAGAGGAAAGAAAATGGCTACGACGCCAAGCGGTAAGATGGACCGAAGGCGCGCTGGTTCGAATTACTTTCAGCTGGATGCAGACCGCAAGCGCAACACGTCGACTAATCGTAGCCATTTGAACCATGGTGATACTCGTGGTACATTTGGTGATCGTCTTAGTATGATGGAGGTACTACCACCTAATACTCAAGGAGGTAATCAAATGCGTGGTGGTGGTCTTGAAGGAGACTTTGCGGATGAAGTGTCGGTGGACTTTTGCTGTGAGGTGCTCTACAATAAGTTTGGTTTCCAGTCTGGTTCAGTGGATAACCAGCGAGAACACGTGTTGCTACTATTGGCTAATTCCAAGGCACGGGCTAAGCCTCAGGATCCTCCTGGTCATCACATTGTGACACTTCATAAGAAGCTCTTGGGTAATTATACGGAGTGGTGCCAATTCCTAGGCGTCTCTAGTATCACGTACACGGCTCAGCCCCAAGGTGATTTGAAGAGTTCTTTGCACATGGACATTTTGCTCTTTCTATTGCTTTGGGGGAGGCTGGTAATTTGAGACACATGCCCGAGTGTTTGTGTTATCTTTACCATCAGTCACTCAATATGCTGAATCACGACTTTCTTGGCCAACAGAAAGTATCTGAAGGCTGGTACTTGAGACAGGTGGTTCGACCAATTTGGAAGGAGGCTAGCAACATGCAGAGGAAAAACCGTCGAGGTAAAAACTTGGAACACACCCAAGTACGAAACTATGATGATATTAACGAGTACTTTTGGAAAAAGTACTGTCTTAATGTTGACATCACGCATATTGGCGACGAGTTGACAAAGAAACACACCAAGACGTATTACGAACATCGCAGTATATTCACACTTGTGTTGAATTACTACCGAATCTTCCAGTTCAATATGATGTTTATGATGGTGCTTATGGCAATTGGCTTCATCACAGCCATTTCACCTAGTGGTGGGCAGCAGTGGTTTGCTCAGTTTGAATCCATGGGCGAAGTGGTTGCGCCCTACAAGCAGCAGGATGTCAAGCTCACGTACGTGGGCATTGTGTTTGCACTTTCGTCATTGGGATTTTGCAAGACTGTTCTTGAAGCGTGCCATGGCTGGCACTTGCTGACTGCTAGTGAGTCATCCGAAACATCATCACGTTCATTCAATTACGGTGGTGCGCTGGTGGTTCGCATGCTCTGGAATGGCGCATTTGCAGGCATCTTTGGTTTGATGATTTATACCCCACTGATCACGAATAGTAACACTGAGCTGCTGGATAAGGCTGCGCAGGCGGCTGGTATCTACATTTTGCCGGGTGCGCTGATCATTGTCGTGCAAGCGTTTTCACCGTCGATGGTTACCAATAGCTTTGCAGCCAAGTTCATTCGTGAGGGAGAAAGCTGCTATGTTGGTCGCAACATGGCGCCTCCCTTGAGCTACCAGATGAAGTACATTACCTTTTGGGTTATTCTGTGGTCACTGAAGGCGTTTGTGTCATATTTCATTCTGGTCCGTCCATTGGTGCTTCCGTCGTTGGCCATTTACGAGATGGAACTTGAGTACGGTAGCAATGTGGTGTCTTTCCATAACTTTGGTGTCATTGCTGCGTTGTGGTTGCCAGTAATTTTTATCTTCAACTACGACACTCAGATTTACTTTACCGTGTTTCAAGCTTCGCTTGGTGGTATACAAGGTCTAATCATGAAGACCGGTGAAATTCACGGCATTAAGGATATCACGAAGGCTTTTCGTGTGGCTCCTCAGCTCTTTGATCAAAAGGTAGTAACAAACCTCGCTCGCTCAAACGATGCTGCTGCCGACGGCTCTGCTGCTGCGTACCAGTCACAGATGATGCTGCGTTTTGTGGTTGTTTGGAATGAGATTGTGAACTCGTTCCGTGAGGGAGACCTAGTAGATGATAAAGAAGCTGCCATTCTGCAGTACGATATCCAGAGCTCTGGCGATGTATTCGAGCCAGTATTTCTTTCCGCTGGTAAACTTGTGGAAGCTCTTGAATACACGGTAAAGCTTGGCAAGGAAGGCAAAGGCGACTCGCAGCTTCAGATGTACATGGTACAGAAGGATTGTTTGTCGGCCGTGCGTAGTTTCTTCACGGCTAGTATGTACGTGATGGAAGCTCTTTTGGGTAGTGACGATGCGGATATTCTTGATGCTCTTCGCCAAATGGAGATGATTGCTGCTAACGGTAGCTTTATGAGCACATTTGACGCGAAGAGCCTGGTGCAGCTTCGTACTGTATCAATGGAGTTTTTGGAGGCTGTGATGGATCTTCCAGACCCTGACGCTCAGTCGCACTTGACTACATCTAGAGTGCACACTATGGGCATTGTTCGCAACTTTGTGACAAAGATGGAGAACTTGCTGAATGCCATTCGTATCTTTGCAAACCGTCCTGAGCTTGCTGCCAAGTTCAGCAATTCCAAGTTCTGCTCGAGCGCGAATGGCTACGTGTTTGCTGCTCGTGGTCTGGTAAACCTGTTTTACAACGACACAGCCATGGGTGCTGCTACCCGTGCGTACCTACTGATGTCGCTTGAGAAGGCTGATGCCATGCCTCGCGTTCCTGAGGCTCAGCGCCGTCTTGGTTTTTTCATGAAGTCACTTTTAATGGACATTCCACAACTTACGTCGGTAAAGGAGATGCATTCGTTTTCTGTCGTTACGCCGTTCTACAGCGAGAGTGTTTTGATTTCTCTGTCGGAGCTGAACGACCCTTTGGTAAACCACCCGGTCTTTGAAAGGGTTGAAGAGAAGGGCAAGAACATTACAATTCTAAAGTATCTCATCACGATTCACCCCGAGGAATGGGAAAACTTTTTGGAGCGTATCGATGTGAGCTCTGCAGAGGAAGCGCAAGCAAATTATCCGCTAGAAATTCGTTTGTGGGCCTCGTACCGTGGTCAGACTCTGGCGCGGACTGTTCAGGGTATGATGCTTTACGAGGACGCTATCAAGATTTTACACTGGCTGGAGATTGGGTCGAGCCCTGGCAAGTCGGCTGAGCAGAAGCAGGCTCAGCTGGAGGATATGGTGCGCTTGAAATTCTCGTATATATGTGCTTGTCAAGTGTATGGTAAGCATCGCGCGGAGAATAAGGCTCAAGCTGATGACATTGATTATCTGCTGAAGACATATCCGAACTTGCGTGTGGCGTATGTGGATACGATTGCGACCGATGCAGGCAAGCAGTTTGACACAGTGCTTATCAAGAGCGAAGGAAATGAGATTGCGGAAGTGTATCGGTACGAGTTACCCGGTGATCCGATTCTTGGCGAAGGCAAACCTGAAAACCAGAACAACGCTCTTCCGTTCACGCGCGGCGAGTATCTTCAGACTATTGATATGAACCAGCAGCACTACTTTGAAGAGTGTCTGAAGATGCCTCAGCTTTTGGTGACTGCTGACCTGCACCCTTCAAAGAAACCGGTGTCAATTATTGGTATGCGTGAGCACATTTTTACGGGCAATGCTTCGTCGCTTTCAAAGTTCAAGTCATGGCAGGAATTGGTGTTTGTGACGCTCTCCCAGCGTGTGCTGGCCGATCCGCTTTACGTTCGTATGCACTACGGTCACCCTGATATTTTCGATAAGGTCATTGCGATGCCTCGCGGTGGTGTGTCCAAAGCTAGTAAGGGTATTAATTTGTCTGAAGATGTATTTGCTGGCTTTAATTCTACGCTACGTGGTGGTGTGGTGACGCACGTAGAATTTATGCAGTGTGGTAAGGGTCGTGATGTGGCTCTTTCGCAGATCTCAATGTTCGAGGGCAAGCTAGCTAACGGTGCTGGTGAAACATCTCTCGCCCGCGAGGCTCACCGCATGGGCCAATTTATGGATTTTTTCCGTCTGAACTCGATGTACTACTCGCACACGGGTTTTTACTTCGCCACGTGGATGACGATTGTGACGACTTTTGTGTACATGTACTGCAAGGTGTACCTAGCCCTGACTGGTGTACAGCAGCAGATTGTGTACGACATGAACTCAACCGCTGTGATTACGGACAACATTGCTAACAACTTTGACGCGCGTGTGTTTAGGGACTTGAAGTCTGTGCTCAATACTCAGTTCTACATCCAAGCCGGTTTTTTTCTGATGCTACCGCTGATGTGTGTGTACTTTGGCGAAGGTGGTTTTGTTCGTGGCTTGACGCGTTTTTTCGATATGATCATTACGCTTGGTCCTGCGTTTTTCGTGTTCCAAGTGGGTACGACGATGCACTACTTTGATAACAACATTGTGCACGGTGGTGCCAAGTACCAGGCTACGGGTCGTGGTTTTAAGATTTCTCGTGAAACATTGGTGCTATTGTATAAAGCGTACGCAAGTTCACATTATCGAAAAGCATGGGAGCTAATGGGTTTGTGTCTCGTGTACGGAGTTTTTGGCAACTTTTATATCTGTCAGACGGATGCATCCGCAAACGATAATACTTTTGCGTCCGATTATTGTGATACTGCTCAGGCCTACGGTGTACAGACGTTTTCAGTGTGGTTTATTTCCATTCTGTGGGTAATTGGTCCGTTCCTATTCAACAGTGATGGTCTTGATTTGAAGAAGACTAAAGTAGATATCCGGCAGTGGTGCATGTGGATGTTTGCCGAGGAGGACTACAAAGACGACGATCCGGCCAACAAGGGTGGCTGGATAGGCTGGTGGAAGGGAGATTTGGAGCAGTTTCATAGTTCAAACATGATTGCGCGTGTTACCGTCGTCCTTCGTGAATGCCGGCACTTTTTGTTAATGTTTTACGTGGCCACACTTGAAACTTCCGATGTGATGTACGTTGCATATTCGTTCGGCGCGGCTATAGCGACCGTTGCCTTCTTGGGCGTTTTCCATTGTCTAGGCATGGGCATGCGGTCTATGAGCCCGGTCACTCGCGCACTACTCTACTTTGTCACTTTGGTCATCGTGAACACCGTATACTTTCTTGCCACGTGGATCATTGCAGACTGGACCTTTCAATACTCTATTTCGCTCTGGTTTGCATATGTGGCTGCTCTTTACGGCATCAACGAATGCTTCCGCATGTGGAGTTTCCCGCACTCTTCAATTGCTGGCATACCGGTGTTCCAACAGCTCCAGTTTCTATTTGACTTCATTTTTTGCACGGGTATGATCATTCCGCTGGTGGTCATGTCGTTCATTCCGTTCTTGAACATTATTCAGACGCGCATGATGTACAATGAAGGTTTCTCGAAGGTTATGTCCGCATCGTCGCAGTACGCCTTCTCGCTGGCGGCTTTTATGGGTGTTTTGGGCGGCATTGGCGTCGGCTGGCTCTTCAACTTGCTGTCGACGCTAGAGCAGTCGGCCAGCTTTGCAAGTTATGTGGTTACGTACGATGACGTGTTCGATGGCAACGTCGGCGACGGCACGACTACTTACCTGCTGTACGTCTCGTGTGTAGTGGGGACGATCATCGCTGGTTTCTTGAATATCTTTCTTGGTCGTCGTCTGGCCATTGTTGCTGGTGGTCTCTTTAGCACGCTAGGTATGGTAGCTGTGAGTGCGAACGATGACCTTCGTGCGACTTTGCTGATGCCTGGTATCGGCTTGCTTGGCGCTGCATGCGGTATTCTGCTACCGTCTTTGGCTATTTACATCTACGAGATTTCCACGAAAGAAATGCGTGGCAAGGCCATGTTGCTGCTGGGTCTGGGGTTTGTTTCTGGTAGCATGTTGAGCGGCATTTTCGCAACCGTGAACCAGTTGGGATGGATCTGGCAAACGTTTGCGGCTTGCGTTGTCATTGCGTTGGTCACGCCAGTAGTAAACGTGTTTTCTGAAAGTCCATACTGGGTGCTTGATCGCAAAGGCTGGGACGCATGCGAAGCTTGTCTGGTGATTCTGCGACGCAAGCCTGATGTGCAAGAGGAGCTCAAGATCATGCGCGAAGAGGAGACGCCTGATGAGGGTGGTGCCGGCGCGTTCAAGTTCTTGATTGGTTTGTTCCTGATGCTTGTATCATCTCTGACCACAGGCTTTCTCAACGCCTTTGTCAGCTACAAGGGAGCTAGTCAGTACACTGATCAAGACCAGTTGTACGTGAATGCCACGGCATTGCAGACGGCGGGTGTCGTGATTGCCTTTTTTTTCATTGACAAGCTGGACCACAAGTCTATTTTGTTTGGAACGCTCATTCCAGTGGGCATTTGCGCGGGTGTGTTGGGTTTTAACGAGACATCCAATTTTCTCGGCGACCCTGACGGTTCAGGCTTGTACATCAGTCTGGTCATTATGCTCATGTACTTTTTCATGGGACTGGGCACGAGTTCTGCACTGTGGTCGGCCTGCGTCGGCATGTTTAACACGCGCGGTCGTGCCTCGACAACAACGGTTTTGTTTTCCATCTTTTACTTGGCGAACTTTGGTTACGCCTACATGCACGCTCACGACTCGCTCACGACGAAAGAGCACCTGTATTTGTACGCAATTGCAATTTTCAGCGTCGTTTCGCTAGTGCTATTGTTAAATGCGGGTACGTTCAAGAACGGCGTCATTTGCACAAAGATGGAAGCTCAGCGTGAGCGTGATTGTATCGCTCGTATGCGTGCCGGACGTGCAAGTCGTAACACGCGGACTCCCGGAACTGCTCGTCAGCGGAATCTCAGCCGCGTGCGCTCCAAGTCCAATGCAGGAGGTAACCAGCGAAGCAACGCAACGTCTGGTGGCTACCAGACATACGAAACACCACATGCCGCGCCGCCACTCATACACGCGCGCGCCTAGCTGTCTTCAGGCTAGTTGTACTGTCATGAAGCTTGTTTGTGTTTTTTGTACATACATATATATACATATTTTCGCCTCGATACAGTGTTATTATATGTAACCATCACTCATCAGGTGTTGAGTTACACTTCTTATGTTGCACGACTGCAACATTTGCCCCCATTTGGAAGCTGCTAAAGTTGATACAACCCAAAACATCCGCGACGGGTGCACAGCTTTAGAAAACAATCCGTGGCTTTTCAGACAACGATTTGGATAACGTACAATCAACCATTCGTCATTTCTACTGCCATGATGACGTGTTTTCGGTTATTCCAGATGTACCAAAGAGTAATCAAAATGGCTTCATCCCGTTGCTACTTGAAGACAAGATCCTCAACAAATTGTGACTGTCTTTCTCACATTTCTGCATCAGAAAGTTCAGATACATCCTAATTACCGGTATTCTACTGAGATTGGAAAATCTACAATCCTTGAACTAGATTCATGTCACATGGATACATTTATGACGAACATGGCTACATTTGACCGTAACATAGCTACATTCGATCATGAAAAGGCACTTGAGGACGATTTTCCGCAGTTAATTCCGATCAATGGACAAAACAAGACAACTAAGCGTAGAATTACGACAACTCTATTAACGTCCAAGGACTCAACGGTTGTGGCTCGTCCGGTGCTTGCAGCCATTGCATTTCCGTCATTGGAGAAATCTGAGAGCACTGTGAAGCCATCAGTTTGAACAACGAGATCTCTACTGGAAAAACGTATGGGTAGCTCAAATACAACTATGCTGAATGACGAGTCAACTATGAGGATGAACAAGTCAACGGCATAGGGTATCACGAAGGTCGAAAGGGCTACATCTGATACAGAGATAGCTACATTGGAAACAGAGATATCTACACTGATGATAAAGAAGGAGAGAAGAGAAAAGACAGAGAATGATATGGTACTCAAGAAAACGAAAAATGTTAACGTGTCACGACCACAGCAAGTTTAAGTGAAGAAGCAGTCGTCGTCGCCGGAAGTGACAAATTCGCTGCATACGATAAAGCAGGTGTTGTCCTCAAGCTGTAACGACAAAGAAGGTTATGCAAAGGTTGCAAGTAAGAAATTTGCAGTCTTGTCGACTGATTTTTTCAGTGAACAATTAGGCTGCCAAGCTATACGGATTCCTCATTAAGGGAAGGTTTGTCAAACAGACGTGTGCGGAGCTGCAAGTTCTCATCGGTTTGATGTACCGGACTGACTGTACCGTTTGCAACAACGTAAGCTGCAAGCTGGAGCATGTTGAAACTAATGCCTTCAAGTATTTTCCTGTAGAGGCATCCGAGTTCTGCTCGCGAACACACTGTCTTGACTTTGCTGAGATCGTGCTTCGTGAGATTGAACCGGTGCTCGTGCATCTGGGTGGAGATATGCTTGCTCTACTAAAGCACAGCTTGCTCGATGCAGAAGGAAGGTGCTTGGATACGCTGGAACGACTGGATCAAGTGCTCGCCGACGTGAGGAGCTACGTGTAGCTGAAAGTGCGCGAGTTGTGTGCCAGTTGCCTGTGGAAATGATGGTGAGTACTGTACAGGACTTCACTCTTCCATTCAACGAAGAGACCGACTCACGCTTGCATTACCAGACACATGCGGAATTGCTTTTGTATGCAAACCGTGAGAAGATCCGGGATGGTTTTTGAGCTTACTGCGCCAGTTTCAGCAAAAGCAGCACACTTTAGTGGGTACCGAAAATGCAAGAGTGGCGGCAGCAGCTATAGCAGCAGCACAAAAGTTACTGGCGGAGGTGGCATCGGATAACATGTGGTGGTTTGCTAAGTTTTTCATCCAGGAGCTGGCCCCGTTCGGTCAGAGCGACAAAGATCTTGTGCTAAAGATCATGGAGGATAAGCTTGTGGTAAGGAATCCGGACCGGCTGCGCAAGCTGTATCGGCGTTTTTCGAGTCAAAAGCCGTCAACTAAGTCGCCACAACAACACATGCAAGGCAGCCGTAGTGGCTCAAACGGCGCGAACAGCAGCAACGACAGGACCAACGGAAAAGGAAGTAACAGCTCTCAAGAGAAGAATCGACCAGATACTCGAAGTAGTAGCGACGAGAACAATGAGACTAAAAACTTCACAGCGATACTGGAACGCATGAAGAGCTTTTTCACGGAGAACCAGCTTTTTTTCTTCCACTTCCTGCACAGCTGTGACAGCTACGAGTTCTCGGAGATCGTGAAGCACCAGTTGGAACAACAATTACACGATCTCTGAAACTAGTGTTGCTTCAGCTATGCTCGCAAAGACTTTACGGAAGTGGTGCTAAGACTCAAGGTAGTGGCAAAGTTTCTTGGGTATCTTCGCTTTTCACCGCAGTGGCAAGTTACATCCTCGCTTCGTCAGCTCTCTGAGCATAATGCTGCGCTTTATGCTATCGAGCGTGAGAGGATTGACACGCTGGAGGTGACTCGTGACTCAAGTTTGGATGTCAAAAAGTTGCTGGAGAACAGTGTTCTGCAAGCATCAATGTCTAAGTGTATTCCATGGCTCTGTGACTACCTATCGATGCTTTTGCTCGACAGGCTGTCATCCGGCACGACATCTTTTAAACAGCTTGTGGCATTATTGCAGCTCTTATATCGGTCACCGCGTTTGGACTATCTAGGTGAGACTGGGTTTTACATTGCCATGCAGATTGAGCGCGTTTTTCATGTATTACACATGGGTGGTTGCCTTTTGCACAGCGACAGCTATCAATCTCAAGAACTGCTCCCGTCCTTGCAAGTCCGCAAGGCACTTGCACGTGGGCATGAAGTTTCGTCCAAGGAGTCGAACGATGGTGCAGGAGAAGACTATATACCATTCTTGCACAGCCAAGTGTTTGTTCAAAGCTGTGTAAGTAAACTTGATGACTTGCGTGGATTCATCCAAACTCGCGCACAGTCGTTGCCGCGCAGAAACCTCTCGATTGGCTTGCGCAAAATGTCATCAAAACAAACGGTAGCACCTATCCGCAAACTTCGACCGTTGCAGGTCGGAATTGAAAACGATAGCTGCGTAGACGCAATTTCTTTGTCTGCTGTCAAGCCTGATGCTGCGCATGCTACCCCTCCAGGGATGGCGGCCGCGACAGCATTGCTCAGCAGATGTTGGCCACTGCAAGATGAGAACGACAAGTTGTCCGATGCCGTTTTTATGGTGCACCCAAAGTTAGAATCTGTTGTGGATTTTGTGGTGAGAGTTGTAACGACGGATGTGTGTGAACATGTCATCGAGCATGTCGTTACGCCACGGGCCGACATTTTCGTGGATCGGTGCGCTTCTGAGAGCGGTCTGCTGAGTGTCGGAAAAACTGCGGCAGCATCAGCTACATTAGGTGAAGAATCTGTTTCTGCTGCATGAGATTCATTTCAGATGCTAGCAACGTCAAAGACTTGCCATGAGGCGAGCTCGGCTGTTGAGGCAGCTTTACATACAGCTTTCTGTTTGGGAGAAGAGCGTGTAAACACAGCAATTCCTCCATTGATGCCTCCGTCTTCACATCCTACGCTGACAAACTCGATCGTGTTGGTTGCGCTCCAGCGAACTCTGTCCATCTTGAAAACACTGGTGCCGAAAAGCTCCCAGACGGAGTTTGTGAAACGGATAGCCTTTCGGAGCAAGCGTCTTTTAAAAGACTACGGAGTCAAATCTATGGTGGCAGCCACTGCTCTTCCTGTCTCTGTAACACTATCGGAACCAAGTTGGAGACCAGACCAATTGCAGCGCAAAACACTGTAGAAAGCGTTGAAAGACAAGCAGTGCAGCCAGTTGAGAAAGAGAAGCGGTATAGAGAACTGAGGCGACGCGCTGCTGCCATTGAGACAAACACGAGTCACAATAAATCGAAAAAGTCAAGTCCTGCTGAGTGGGAACTTCAAGCCGCAACACTTTCACAGTCTTTGTTGCTTTTCACCACCTCGCTGAATAATTGTTCCGTAGCTGGTGATTTGACGCGTGATCTCGCGTCTCCGTTAAGTGCTTCGGCGCTCGTGCTCTGGGACATCATTTTGCGTGGCACCACAGCATGCCTGAAATTTCTTGGGTTATCACTGAATTTGTTTGCTGCATATGAGCTGTTGTCAATGAACGAAGGAGCGGGTGGCGAGAGTGGAAAAGGCGTTCATCAAATTTGCTACCGATTTTTTATCGATGCTTGAAGTGATTGTGCGCTGTGGTGAGACTTTAGAAACCGACATTGCCATATTGCGTTTACAGTCCATGCTTATAGTTGTAGTGGACGGTGTGATGGAGCTGCCGTCCTTGGCCTCTGAACATAAGGAGTTGATCAGACGATTTGTTGTCCAGGCTAGCTCGCTGGTCGTGGCAAAAATGCATGTGGTGATGTCGTCCATGCCAGGAGGTGATAACAACGATCGGCTACTCAACCTGAACTGGAATCGGTGGGTTGGACCTCAAGCCATGTTTGCGACTGAGGGTCAAATTTCAGTGCATGCGGCTCAATTTTGCCTGAATGTGTGGAATACTGCTATGTCGGTAGCAAGATGACCACAGAAGGAGACGCTTTGGAAGGTTGCAGCAATCAAGCTGATGTCATGACGAGCATGTGACGGCTACGGTACAAGTTTAGTCTTTAACGGCGGTGGGGCTTTCTAATGATCAAGCGGAGATTCTATCATTCCTTTACCTTAATCTAACGAGGCAGTGTACTCTTGCAGCAACCGAGCCCGCAATTGCAATATCTTGCGCTCTGACACCACGCAGTATTGTGGACATCGTTTCTGGAGCATATTTTTCAGTCTTGTTAAATAAAGAAGCCCGTCCGTAAATCGTGCTTTTTCAGTTGTAGTTCTTCAAAAAGTGCTGAGGACTCATGGAATGCTGCTTACTGTCAAAGTTTGTAGTCTGCTTCTGACAATGAGTGATCCTGTCGTATTGACGAAAAGACCCGTTGAGTTGGCCCGATCAAGTTTTATTACGCCACAAAGTCATGGTAAAACCTGTACAGTTGTTGTCTCATGTCGCCAACGGATGCCGAGACCTTCGCAGTCACTACCACGAAAAGCGATAGTTGTCCTGACAATGATCGCCATCCACTGGCTGCATCGAGGTCGACCTTCGTAAAAAAAACTGCAAAATACAATCCATTGGGCAGCTTTTCAACTGAATCAACCTCCGTTTATAATCCTCAAACGACCCTTGCAACAGCACTTAGTATGAAACAGTAATCCGACTTGTGAACTGACACGGTACAGCTTCAAGTAAACGCAGAACCAATGATCCTATCGGCGCGGAGCAATGGTCGCAGACGCCCTACTGTCAGCATTTGGTCCGCTGAGGCCCATGTCTTCCAAAAACTTATCCATGCGCGCAGACTCCTTCGCCTTCCAACATCACACGATAACACGGCATCCTAATTTAGCAATTCGCAATACCAGCTTTTCTGCAATAACGTACCTTCAACTCGCCCAGTTTTTTTCTCCTGCTCTTCCTGCTTTCGACGTCGAGCCAAGTTACGGTAAGCAATTTGTCGTTTTAAATTGTCGACACCATCTCCGCTTCCACCCATCAAAAAGTCTTCACTCAGATCAAGCCCATCACGTGCATCTTCTCGATCTCTTGCTGGACCATGCAGTCTTGCTCCAACTTGACGTCGTTTTTCAATCTGAGCCTCTCTTCCAGTTGCTTTTGGCAACAGTTCATCAAGCACTGTATCACAGTACTCTCGTTCTCTTTGATGACCCACTTTACGCCGTTTTGTCTTGTATTGATCCTGATCCTGATTCTCCTCATGCAATTCAGAGTTTTTCTCATGATTTCTGTACTTGTTCCTCTTCTCTCCTCCTTCTCCTCCTCTCATTGCTGCATCCTTGTTATCTCCTCGTTTCTCATCATGAAACGTCAGTAAATCCTCCTTCTTCGTTGCTACATTCACTGAATCCTTCGCCGTCGCTACTTCTAATTTCTCCTTTTCTCCCAGTTTTGCCACAAATCCCCAACAATGCCGTGTCCGTTTTGTTTGTTCCACGACAGCTTCCGGCAATCCATGATAAAACATTCGAGCTAATTTGCCATGATTCCATTTCTTCATAAAGTCCGTCGTAAACAATTTGATTGCTTCATTTGTAGATAAATCATCGAGATATTTGTTCCTAGAAAAAAATAGAACGCAATTAGAAATTTCGAAATTCGCGAAAACGACAAAGTAGAAATGCAGCTTTCAATTTCTAAAAATACACTAAAAACACAGTTTTTCACTTTGTTTGCGCAAGCCAGACCCGAAATTCCGGCTGACGTCGAAAATAGTCCTCATCTGTGATCTTTTTTGTATCGGTCTCAAATTTGAACGTCTCCTTTTCTGTGTGATAATTGTCAACTCTCGAGGACCGTTCGTCCTTTGATCGGTGGCTGGATTTATGATGAGAATTCGACGATGCTTTTTTTCGAGAGTGTTTTTTCTCGTTGCGATCCGTTTTACCTAGGAAAATGTAGCGGTTAGTGGTGGAAGGCATAGAGAGAGAGCGAACGTGTAGCGCGTACGGGACATAATGGGTAAAAGGAGCTTATTTTTAGATAATATTTTTGAAAAAAGAGCAGACGTTTTGGTCTTTTTTGAAAAAAGGTTTGGAGCAAAAGACCAAACAGATTGACTCAAATATTTGGGTACATGATGCACAGAACGGAGCAAATTGTGCCGCTATCGCAGTGGCGCTCACTCTGGAAGTGTTCTGTGGTAAATGCATTCCATCCGCGCACCATTCTGCTCGCCCACACACGGGGCAAATGCTCGTGGCATCGCGTATTCGCACTCTGCTCCGTGCCGACAACCCGTCGGAATTGTTCCGGAGTCACAACTATGACGGCAAAGTCCAGGACGCTTACACACTGCGCTGTGCTCCACAGGTACACGGTATTGTACACGACACCACTAAGTTCGTGCGTGATGTGCTAAACGTTGACATGAACAGTGCTACCGACAATCCGATGGTGTTCACTGGCAGTGCTGAGGTGACAACAGAATTGTCTCCTACCGTTGAGACGAACGACATGATAATCAATTACCAAGCAGCCCAAGGATGACCATGACATCGACCAAGCTAAGCAAGCGATCAAGCGTCTCAAGGCTCTTCTCGAGCACAAGAATAAACTGACGGAGCATCCGGCAGCTGGCATGAAGCGCACATCGGACACTTTCTACCGTGGCCGCGATGGATTCGTCATCTCAGGTGGCAACTTCCACGGCGAGTATCCGGCTACCTGGCGATTGGCATTCACGAGATTGCAAGCGTCAGTGAGCGTCGTATCGAGCGTCTTGTGAACCCAACACTGAGCAACTTAACGGCGTTCCTTGTATCTGAAGGTGGTCTTAACTCGGGCTTCATGATCGCACACTGTACTGCGGCAGCTCTGGTCTCGGAGAACAAGGTCCTTACGCACCCATCGTCGGTAGACTCGATCTCGACTAGTGGGTCAAAGGAAGATCACGTGTCGATGCGCAAGGCCCTTACAGTCGTGGAGCACGTCGAGACTGTTGTCGCGATTGAAATTCTAGCGGCATGCCACGCTCTTGATCTACTTCGTCCACTGCGCACGACAGATGCACTAGAGGTCATTCACGCACTTGTGCGCACCCGCGTGCCCAAATTTGACAAGGATCGTGTGATGAAGCCAGATATTGATGCTGTGTTGGACCTCGTCCGCAGTGGAGCAATTTGCGAAGTGGCTGCACCCTTCTTAACAAAGCTGCATGTGACTGAGCTTTAGAGAAACTAGAATGAACATCCGTATGACCAGTCGAGAGCCATGTATGAAGATGTGATTCAAAGAAGCCCAAAGGAAGCTGCAGCTCTTGTTCAGTGTCTTGAATATGTATCAAGTTGTACACAAGCATTAATCTCCCATGAATTGCCGTTGGCGTAGCAATGCTTCTGCATGTGTGCTAAATTCGGGCTTCGAGTAGACACAAGCTCTTGTCAGTACCATTGTTTTTTGCGTCTATGATGCTGCAGCTCGGCAAACTGGTCACGAATGCGGTGCTGACGAATTGAACAGTGACAATCAATCTCTTGTCCATCATTGTCTCACCTTTTCCATCTATACTTGCATACAACTGAGTGATGCATGGAAGATTGCTGAATACACTACAGTATTCAGCAAGAAGTTGACATGCTGTCATCACTTCAGTCATGTAGCTAGGAAACAACCGGACCCCTTATGATGTCTCGAGGAGATCACGTCGCTTGTTGCTGAGCAACAACACAATCAACTAGTTTAAAAACTGTCTACTAGCACATTTGCCAAGTATGAACAGTCTTGCCGACTACGTCAGGTCATAACCATTCTGTGTGTTCATCGAAATGCATATCATGGCCGTACGATATAACACGGCATCACTGTTGACATGACCTCACTCCGAGACGTACGAGTAGCCTATGCTGATCAAAGGCAAGTGCGTACAGCGGGTAGTCTCTTGCATGGTACAGCTTGTGGCCGGTCTCTTTATGATCTGACAAAGCTTTTGCCTGTTGCAATGACTCAAGTGCACGTGCAATCACCTGCTTTGTAGGTGGCCTGATTCGAATGCCATGCACCGTTGATCGTACCTCGTCTACCTCGATCGATGTCAGTGTCGAACTGCAAGCTATGAAAGCACGCAACGAGTATCAGTCAGATCGTCGTGTCTCGTCAACTCTTGCATCGTCAACGTACATGGATAGTATACTCACCTAATCTCGTCAGTTATATGGTCGATAACTCTGTTGTCATGGCCGAGTGTGTTGTTGACGCTTGATGTCGTCCAAGACAGAAGGTGTTGCAGGTAATAACACCGTAAGCCTGAGCCAGGACACGTTCATGATCTGGAATAATCTCCACGCTCTTCCCAATGGTTTATTCCAACGAAAGTTCTCGAACTCCTTCTTCTTCTTCTTCGTCTCGAGAGGGTTCTTCTGCTTGGTTCATTCCAACAAGTTCCTCCTAAGAACAAGAAAACAATCGTTCAATAACCATGTTAACCTTTTCACGTACGCTACGTCTATCATCATCTTCATCTTCATCTTTCTGCCTCTATCGTCGGTCTTTTGCCTCCATGGGTCAACAATCCCAGCCTTGGATCAATCCACAAAATGTGCCACAGGGTGAAAGTCTCAAGAAATACGGCCGAGACTTGACGGACATTGCCAAAAGCGGTAATTTGGACCCAGTGATCGGTCGGGAAGACACGATTCGGCGTGCAACTCAAATTCTTTCACGACGTACCAAGAACAATCCACTTCTTATTGGAGAACCGGGTGTAGGGAAAACGGCAGTCGCTGAAGGACTGGCTCAACGGATTGCATTAGGTGAAGTACCTGATAGTCTCAAGGATAAACAAGTGGTGGCATTGGATTTGGCAGCGTTAGTCGCTGGAGCGAAGTTTCGAGGAGAGTTTGAAGAGAGATTGAAGGCTGTACTAAAAGATGTTGACGAGAGTCAAGGCAAGATCATTCTCTTCATTGATGAGCTTCATACGTTAGTAGGAGCAGGTGGGAATGAAGGATCAACTGATGCTGCTAATATGCTCAAACCAGCCTTGGCACGTGGTGCTTTGCACTGCATGGGAGCTACAACGCTGGATGAATACCGAAAATACATTGAAAAGGATGCAGCCCTAGCAAGACGGTTCCAACCGGTTCTTATCTCGGAACCAAGTGTCGAGGACACGGTGACGATTTTGCGTGGACTCAAGGAAAAGTACGAAGTTCATCACGGCGTGAGAATTGCCGATAGTGCTCTTGTAGCAGCTGCTACTCTTGCAAACAGGTACTTGACAGAGCGAAAGCTGCCTGATAAAGCGATTGATTTGATGGACGAGGCAGCGTCGCGCCTTCGATTGCAGCAGGAGAGTAAACCAGAACCGATTGAAAAGCTCAACCGTGAGATTATCCTGCGTCGCATTGAGATTGAGGCTCTACGCAAAGAAAAAGATGCAGCATCGAAGAAACGCATGGCTGCGTTGGAAGAAGAAGTGAAAAAGGCTTCTGACGAGCTGCAAAAGTTGATGGATGAGTGGAATGCTGAGAAGCACAAATTGGAAGAGATGCAACAGGCAAAGCGAAAGCTAGAAGAAGCGCGTCGTGACTTGGTTGCTGCACAAAATGCAGGCAATTACGCACGTGCTGGGGAGCTAATGCACTCTGTCATTCCAGAGCTGGAGGCAGAAGTGGCTCATGAAGAGCAAGAGGAAGAGGAAATGAAGAAAGCAGGAAAGAGCAGAACCGCTCTGGGTGATGCCGTGACTGGTGACCACGTAGCTGAGGTCGTAGCACAGACCACAGGGATTCCCGCGTCGACGCTTATGGAAGGAGAGAAGCAGCGACTGCTTAAGATGGAGGACCACATCAATCAGCATGTGATCGGCCAGGAGGAAGCTGTCAAGGCCGTAAGCAATTGTATTCGCCTTGCACGCGCTGGACTTCACGCACACAACCGGCCGCTTGGTGTGTTCATGTTCTTAGGCCCTACTGGTGTCGGCAAGACAGAGTTGACCAAGTCGCTATCTGAATTTTTGTTTCAAACCCCTCAAGCGCTTACTCGCATTGATATGTCCGAGTATATGGAGAAGTTTAACGTAAGCCGTCTCATCGGTGCACCTGCAGGGTATGTTGGCTACGAGGAAGGTGGTCAACTGACAGAGGCTGTGCGTCGCCGGCCCTACCAGGTTGTCCTCTTTGACGAATTTGAGAAGGCACACCATGAAGTCAGCAATATTCTACTACAAGTGCTGGATGAAGGTCGTCTGACTGATTCACATGGTCGTCTTATTGACTTCCGTAACACTGTAATTATCCTCACGAGCAACCTGGGCTCTGAGATTCTTGCTGGACTACCAGAGGGTTCTCCAAGCTCTATGGCTGAAGCTGGTGTCATGAATGTTGTACGCTCTCACTACTCACCGGAGTTTCTTAATCGCATCGACGAACTCGTCCTGTTCAACCGGTTGAAACGCGACGATATCCACTCGATTGTCGATTTGCAGCTGCGTCAAGTGGATGGTATGCTAGAAGAAAAGGAGTTGGCTATGAAGGTAGATCCAGAAGCTAAGGACTGGTTGGCCGATGTTGGTTACAGTGCTCTCTACGGTGCTCGACCGCTAAAACGTCTGATCCAGCAACATGTCTTGAATCCTATGGCTGTAAAACTTCTGGAAGGTGCCGTTGCTCCAGGTCAAGTGCTGCACGTCAAAGTGAATCCCAATTACGATGACGAACTACAGAAGAACGCGAAAACAGCGAAGCCATTGCTTATCACAGTGGAGTAAGTCGAGTATGTAAGTAGCTCAGCTGCAATATCTGTTGCATGCACAACCATTGCACACGAAATATATGTCAAAAGTCCATGAATTAAACTGAGATAGATTCGTCATGTCCGCCTTTTATCAAGTATGTAATATCCTGGTATTTCAATGTACGTGGTTGCATGTTTTGCACTTCTTGTTCCACACCTGGGTTGTATGCGGTTGAAACATGGGGCAATTGCAGAGTCGGCATGGTCCCAGAACCGACGATCGGCGCTGCTGCTCCTCCTTGTGGTCCTCAATGCCTCGCATTGCGTTATCAATTGCCTCATACAGTGGCCGCGCTGCTACTGGTTGTTCCACATAGCCACTAAGTAACTCACTCGGCTGCAAATCACGACCATAAAACTTTCGGTTCAGGTCCGTGCGCGCAGCCAGGATAGCTCCCTGAAGTGAAATGCCAGCAAAGAGTCCTCTGCTCTGTGAATAACTGTAATTGGCATTCAGACCGCTTGTGCTCGCTGCAGCTGCTGCCTGTGCTGATCGGCCATACGGACCCACGGCAAGGTCTAGCCCTGCACCAAGGTTTACTTGCGGCTTGTGAAACACCTTTACAGCTCTTTCGGACCCCAGAATAATCATCACTTCCACCATTTCACCGCCAACTTCAAATCCACCACTAAGTCCAAACGTTCCAATAGCAGAGGGAGCCGACCAAGATCCGTCAGGCAGTTTAGCGACAACAAGTCCCGTGCCAATCTTACCAGATACAAGGAATCCAGCTTTAATAACGGTCATTACTGCAAGCCCGTGAGCCTTCTGCAAGAACGCCACAGGAATTGCACGATCTGCAGATGATCCCCAGTCATTGCGAAAAAAGTTACCAATAATATCTGCCGCGTTGCAGCACTCCTTATTCAGTGAGTTCGTGTACGGAACGTGGAAACGCGTGCGAGCTTCATGGATGTTATCCGTCTGTGATTGGGCATATGTGGCCACTAATTCGTCTTGAAGCGGGTGAAGCTGCGGAGCACACTGGATGCACACACGCTGTGGAATTGACGCATCATAACTTTTAGCACCTTCAGCCTGCCTTCCAGGAGGCACAAGTAATCGAACAGGAGAGCAAGAACTGCAAATAAATAGACCACATTTACGACTACAACATGGACAAGGCAAGCAGAGTACGACAAATTAATACATATTTGTCAGTACACATAATCTCTCGCTTAAAATCACATTTTGACCCTTACCATTGATGTCGTCGTTTTGTCACATCAAAACGTACATTGCACACGTCACAGTTCGGGTGATCAGCGTATCGATTGTTGAGAATTCCCTTCCCCATGGCTCCATCCTTGCTACTCACGGTCGAATCACTACGCAACGTCTCTGTCCTGCTCGAGTTTGTATTAGCAAGCACCAACTGTCTTTCATCCGTATGTCCATTGGTCACAAGTCCATTTGTATTCTCCACGCTCAACGCTCGTTGTTGTGCGTTATAGTCCACAAGCTCTTTCCGTCTTTCATCATCTGGTACTAGTCGTGCCAAGGTTGCAATAAAAGTCCTTGTTCTCTCAGCCCCTAATTGTGCCACAAGTGACGTATAAAAGACCTGTACATCCATCTTCTTGAGACCAAATTTACGACAATTGTGTTTGAATTCCTTGACACCTTGTTCATTATTTCCACCTTTACAAGCACGAATGGTATTCACACAATGTTCATATAACTGTTGTGCTTCAATGCCCGTTGCTGCTAATGGTACTGGATCGGAACTATCACCACGACCACAACTTTCTCCAGTAGAACAAGCTAATGGGACAGGAATTGGTTTCATATCGTCATTGTGGCTTAAACTACTGCCTCGATTCCGAAAAGCACTAGTAATGGTCTTGTGTATAGAAGAAGACTGTGATTTTAGACCATCTACAGGTGGAATAGCAGTCGAAGTAGTAGCAGTAGAAGTAGCACTAGTAGCAGCACTTGACTCGGATCCATTAAATGTCTTGAACGGTGTGTGCTGATACGTTTTGCCACCGTAAAATGAATTCTCACTTCGAAATGCAGACGAAATCACAGGAACAGCTCCTTGATACTTGGATGCCATCGAATTAGAAGAAGAAGAAGAAGAGGTAGGATGAGGAGGAAGAGGTGGAGTAGCTGAAGTAGTAGTAGTAGTATACCGTTGACCACATTCCGAGCAAAAGTTGCCACCAGTATTTAACGCCCCACATTGCGCACAAAACTTGACCATAAGGAGAGGTTGATGGGTTTTTTGAATAATAAATGGATGATGGGTGGGTTTTTTTCTTTTTCAGGGAGGTGGGCTCAGGTAACGTCGTGTCCACTATTTTGGGCACAAAAAAATCAAGATGATGGATTTTTTTACTGTCAAACAACACGACGTTGTATTGATGTTTTCGACTTGAACCGGTATAGAAGAATGCAGTTTCTTCAGCTTTAGGATTTAGGACGTATGATAGCAAGCGACAATTGCCTTATTTGTCCATTGAAAATGCAACAATGTCGACACAAATTCACCGTAACGGGACATGCTTCAGTATAAAAGAGGTAATAGGCAAGTTATAGCCAAATTCCCCATCCAATCCAATATATAATGAAGCTGTTCCATAGCTTGTAAGCTTGTAAATACTCGCTCATTCCTATCCAGCAATGTCAAGAACTACGTGCAGTATTGTCAGAGTTGTGCTCGTAAATGCACAGGAAGATGAGCCGTTTAGCAATTTGACTCGACACACCTTTGTAATCGAAGCTGTGATGAACGGCATCAGCATAAAACCATTGTATTTTTTCAAGAGCAAAATAGTTTGAGCTTGTTTGCGTCTTGATATTGGGATAAAGCTCACTCTTACTGGTGCGTGCAGAAATAAAAGCAAGGGTGCATAGAATGCGGAGGATAGCAATACTGAAGACTTTGGTTGCAATATCTAGTCCGAATTTGCAATATGGACGTCAAAAAACTCGTGCTACAAACCTTAGCTTCTACGCCAGCAAGACAACAAGATATACATTGCAATGGCTCGGACTTATCTTTACCACAACAACATTCAGATCAACTACAACAACATGATCATCACTCTTGCAAAACGAATCGTCAAGTACCGCTGATTTAGAAATGATACTGACACCAGCTAATGTGAAGTATTCCCTTTTCTACACTGAGCGGTGACAAACATCTTATGTTGGTTATTTTCATGTAGCCAAACACCATATCATGTTTCTCTATCGTTCGTTTCCTTATTCTTTACATTATAATTCTTGCTACATGTCAATGTTCTTGCACCCCCTTCCTCATTTACTATTAGTGTCGCATTTTAGATAAATTTCTAAACGTTACATAGAATGCCTCGTATTGTCTGTACCACATTCAAACGAGCATTGCTGCTTCGTAGGTACAACCGTCTAGGGATAGGTAATAGTATTCGATTGGGTAATCGCAGCACCACATTCAACATTCAGTCATGCTATAGCCAGGCCAATTCACCTTTTAACTCGATAGCCAGTCCAAAGTCTGCCTCTTTGAGCGCGTTCCGCCGTCTCTAGAGTCAAAAAAACTGAAGTGTTTCTTACTAGAGACGACGACGACGACGACGACGATAACAAGAGCTTTGGTTGACGATATATAATACTACTAATAATTGTGTTATGTCCGACAAGAATAGCACGTCGCGTAGTTGCCGTAGTTTACGACGAGAAGACCAGGACGCGATGGATTCTAATGTCACACCAGCTATCTTATTGTCAGATCAAAGCGGTAGTGGTCTAGGCTCAAGTACTAGTGGTTATAATACGCTTGGTAGTCCAGCACTACTTCAATCGCCTCGACAAGTACGAAGCAAGAGTAAACGACGTGAGACGGAGAAGATTCTAGACGAGGATGAACTTGTGGATTATGCGTCACAAAACACACCGGCATTTTCGACTGATAGTGTTCATACAGACGACAATGTATTGCGAGAAGTGTTTTTTAATTATCCACCGGGTAATGCGGTATTTGACAAGTGTTCCAATGTCGTCGTAACGTCAAAATACTCGCTTGTGACGTTTTTGCCCAAGTTTTTAAAGGAATGTTTTACTAAAGTTGCCAACTTTTTCTTTCTCATGGTCTGCGTGTTGCAGAGTATTCCGAGCATTAGCAATACGTACGGTTATCCGACAAACGCACCAGTCTTGTTCTTTGTGACGTCTATTGATGCAGTATTTGCGGTCATGGAAGACTTGCGACGACATACATCTGATAATGAAGCCAACTCGGCAATATGTCATGTTGTTCAGGATGGACAGATTGTTGACCGGAAGTGGGCAGACATAAAGGTTGGAGACTTTTTGCAAATTCGTAATCGAGAAGTGATACCTGCAGATGTGCTTGTGCTTGCGGTGGCGGAGCTTGCAGATGAACCTGCGACCGGTATTTGTTATGTTGAGACCAAAAGTCTTGATGGAGAAACAAACCTCAAATTACGACAGGCTGTGGCTGCTACGATGGACTCATTGTCGAACACGGCAGATCTGGGACGACTGCGCGGTGTCGTCAAATGTGAACAGCCTAACCCGCACATTAACAAATTTGCAGGCAAAGTGGAAGTTACGGTGGGTGATAATGGTGGTGTCGAGGTCTTACCGCTGTCGGTCAAGAACGTGCTGCTACGAGGCTGTAATCTGCGTAATACGGACTGGGTATTTGGACTTGTGCTTAACACGGGCAAGGATACAAAGATCATGCAGAGTGCCAGTGCAGCACCGTCCAAATGGAGCGACCTTATGCTCAGCATCAACCGCATGATCGTTGTGCTGTGCTTGGGACTGTTTGTGGCTTGCGCTGTGGCTGCTACTTGCTACATCACATGGCAATACGATATTGTACGCAATACGTGGTACATTCAGCTGACGGAGGCGGAGAAAAACCGTTCGCGCCCTGTGGCGTTTGTCCAGATGATGTTTTACTATTTTTTGTTGCTCTACCAGGTGATTCCTATCTCGTTGTATGTGTCCATGACGAGTGTCAAGTTTTTGCAGTCACGATTCATGTCGTGGGATCTTGATATGTACCATGCTGAAACCGACACGCCTGCAATCGTGCGAACGATGGAATTAAACGAAGAGCTGGGTCAGATCTCATACATTTTCAGCGACAAGACGGGCACGTTAACATGCAACGTCATGGAGTTTCGCAGGTGTTCCATCAACGGCACTTCGTATGGTTCCGGTATGACGGAAATTGGACGCGCTGCGCTGGTACGAGCTGGAAAGCCAATCGAACCGGAGGCTAAGCTGGATTCGAGCATTAAGAAAATGCCGTATGTGAACTTTGTCGATAATGCACTGTTCGAAGGAATGAAGGGCCGTGCCGGTGAAGAGCAACGGGAAAAGATCTTGTTGTTTTTCGAGCACCTTGCTGTCTGCCACACAGTGATTCCCGAAAAGCTAGAGTCTGGAGAAGTTCGTTTATCAGCATCATCACCTGATGAACAGGCTCTTGTGGCTGGTGCAGCCTTTGCAGGATTCAAGTTTGAAAGCCGTAGTGTGGGAACGGCGATAGTGGAGGTCCTTGGGAAACGTGTGACCTATGAGGTGCTTGAGGTGCTTGAATTTAACAGCACTAGAAAGCGCATGTCTGTTGTCGTGCGCAAGCCAAATGGGGAGCTTCTGCTTTACACAAAGGGGGCTGACATGATGATTTATCAGCGTTTGAAGGATGACCCTGCAATGGTGAAGCTCAAGAATATCACACGAGATCACATGGAGAAATACGCTGACGATGGTTTGCGTACGCTGGCGCTTGCCATAAAGAAGCTTGATGAGAGCTGGTTCCAACAATGGAAGAAGCGTTTTGATGATGCTCAAGGTAATGTGGCAGAAATCGACCGACGCAAAGGTGGGAAGCCAAATGCTATTGATGATCTGATGGAAGAAATGGAGGAGGGACTGGAGCTGATTGGAGCAACAGCAATTGAAGATAAACTGCAGGAAGGTGTCCCGCAATGTCTGGCAAACTTGACGAGAGCAGGCATTAAAGTCTGGATGCTTACGGGAGACAAGGAAGAGACTGCTATAAACATTTCATATGCTTGTTCACTGCTGGACAACTCGATCCAGCAAGTTGTTTTGAATGCCACCACATGTCCGGATGAAGCAACGCTGCGCGCAAAATTAAATGCAGCAGCTCGTGAGTTTATGGAAAATGCCAAAATAATGGCAGGTGGAACTGAGAAGGAAACCTCGTTGATCATTGACGGTGAGGCATTGGAGATGGCTCTTCGTCCCGGAACGGCGCCGCATTTGCTGTCGTTTGCCAAGTTATGCCGCGCTGTGATCTGCAACCGTGTCTCACCAGCTCAAAAAGCAGAGATGGTGAGACTAGTTAGGGACAATATCACTACGGTACGGACTCTAGCTATTGGTGATGGGGCCAACGACGTTGCTATGATCCAAGCTGCTCATGTCGGTGTGGGTATTTCAGGACAGGAAGGTATGCAGGCAGTGAACTCGAGTGATTACGCCATTGCCCAGTTTCGCTTCCTCGAACGGCTGCTGCTGGTCCACGGACGTTGGAATTACATTCGCATTTCCAAGCTTGTGTTATACATGTTCTATAAAAACATTACACTTGTCTTAGCGCAATACTGGTACGGGTACCTATCGGGCGCTTCTGGTTCTAAGATGTACTGGGAAATTGGTGTCCAGCTGTATAACATTGCATTTACGGGTCTGCCTATTGTCGTGGTGGGTGTGCTGGACAAAGACCTGCCAGCGCCATTCAGCATCGAGTACCCAGATTTGTACCGTCGTGGTCCAGATCGCTACTTCTTCAACATGTACACGTTCTTTCGTTGGATCGCTGCAGCTTTCTATGAATCGCTTGTGATTTTTGTGGTAATGTCTTACGGATTTAATGCGTCAGACCAGGCTGCAGGCAGTGAGTCTCGAGTGGAATTCGGCATGATTGCCTTTTCGCTGACGGTGTTGATCGTGAACATCAAGATTTGGATGATTGCTGATCGCTGGACAGTCCTGTCATTTTCATTATGGTTTGGCAGTGTCATGTCATGGTTTGTTTTCGTGACCATAGGGACCCAGACTCCGTATTTTGCGACGTTTAAAGTCGGTTACGACGAGTTTGGTGCATTTATTCCCACTGCGACAAATTGGGGATACTTATTGGTGTTGATCATGGGATGCTCTTTAGCTCTCGGTCGTCACATTGCCTATAATCTTTACCAGCGAACGTTCCATCCTGATCTTGCTCAACTTCTTCAAGAATCAATGCGAAATGCAAAGTACAAGCGCCGTCTCACTATAAACCACATGGAGGAGCAAACCTTGTCCATGTCATTGGATGATGTCCATACAAACGGTTGCTTGAGCGATTTTGGCCACACGGAAACTGAAATTGTCAAAGCTCAGCACCCTCAAATCTTTTCGTCAACCATGTGCGACCAGCAGGCAAACAAGAGTCTAATGAGCACAACTGGTACATCAGCAGCATCTGCCACTTCTGGCGTCACCGAAAGCTATTCAGCCAGTGTATATAGCGAATCAATACCGGAAGAGGCGACGTGGAGTTGTGCTCCAACACGAATGTTTTCTTCAACGACTAACCGTCGTACTGCTGGCTATGCCTTTAGTTGCGACGAAGAGACGACGCTTGCTGAGTCTCAAATTGCGTCGAATTCGTTGCCACGTTCCGATGCTGCTTTAGCAGCCATGCGCATGTCAAGTACTAGCTCCATGGGAGGAGGAGGAGGATCGAGAGTACATCATGTCCTCTAGTTATCTACATGTTTGCTCTCGTGACTCACTCATTTCAAAGTGTTTTTACAATGATTACGGAACATGCTCGGTATGTTATTGTTCCCAGCAGCTACGACACGTATCAGGCCTCTTTGTCATATCTACATTGTTGTAGGGTAAACATATTGCTTTTTATATCGTCCAATACTCACTAGAGCGTTTCATAGTGTGCGCATTTTGACATGCAAGAGTGATGATCACTTCAAGTTGCTGTTGAAGTTGTTGAATCAAGTACCAGTTGCTTGATAAAAGGGATTGATGGTTGATGTTGTTATATAAACTGGTACAGGGTACCCTTAACTAGTCAGTCTTCACCATCATTCTTCTTCATTTCTATAACATTTCTATACGCTCTACGAAAATGAGTGCATGGGAGCAATGGGGAGGCAAGAAACCAACGACGAGTGGACTACAGGGTGCACAAGACGCATTGAATAGTATGCTACGATCTTCTTCACTCTCTTCTGTAGCATCTACTGCTAGTATAAATAGTGATGAAAGCCCGTTTTTCGCATTGAAAAAGGTGTGGAACTCAGCGCGAGAAGTGACAAAGACTGCAGCATCGACACCGACAGCTACGAAGGACGTAGTTGATGTTATGGAAAGTGGAAAAATAAACGAGAATGTAGATAATGTAGCGGATGTAACATGGCTACTATGGAGGAAGGATTCAAGCGCTCCGAGTCTCGTAACTTCGACGATGAGTTGGTGAGTGATGGTCATATATATATATAGAAGTGAAAGGAGAGAGAGTGATGGTCTAATGCTTATTATATGTTTATGTGTTTATGATGACGTAAAAAGGAACACTAGATTTAAATATTTTGTAGGCATGGCAATGCTTAGTATGCTATTCTTCGGCATGGCATCAATCTTTTTGCCATTGGTAGAGTGAACTTTGCAGTTGCATCGCCCCAACCATGGAGCAAGTGGTGATGATGTGCTGATTCATTGTGAATGGTCGTGTGGCTTTTATGTAGATCATGATTCGACCGTCCAAGTTTGCATTGAGCTTCACGCTTGGTAGTATGTGTTGTATGGGTGCATTTGCGATGCTTAAGGGTCCAGCAGCATACGTTTCAGGACTATTACATCTAAGTAGACTACCGCTGACTAGCGCGTATTTTGTAACGCTTGGTAAGAGCTGCTAGTTATGTGTGGATGAGTGGTGATGTCACGGTGAATAACGATAGTTATGGGCTGTTGATCCTGCAGGCTGCACGCTGTATAGCTGTTTGATCCTGGGCAACTACGTGTTTGTGGTGCTGAGCTCCGTTATGCAGTTGATGACGCTGGGGTCATTTGCACTGTCTGCTTTCCCCGGCGGTAATATAAGTCTGAAAGGTGAGGAGCAGTCAAAGCAGCAAATTGTTAGTTATACGACAGGATTCTTGCGGTGGATGTTGGTGTTAACTAATGATGTCTTGCTTGTTCGCATGCAGCTTTTGGCACGTTATTCTGGAAATCAGCGCGCGGCATGATACAAATGCTTGCCCGTCTTTTTCGGTAGATGTTGTCGATATTGTTTGACGATGGATGCGAAACAGACCCTGTAGGTACTGCACTGCAGAAAGTTTACCACAGCAATTGACCATTTGTTTCGCAGCGATCTCTTGATAATTGTAGGCTTGATGCATGATTGTTTATCTGGACGAGACTTTTCGGGCCACAACGTAACAGGCTTATCACTTGGATAACATTGATTTGAATGAATACAATTTACGCAGCAGTTTGTCTCGCTATAAAGTTGAGGCATCGAAGGAGTGTTTTTTCCGACCATGCTGTTGTCTTAACTGGCAAGAAAATCATGTGCGCTTACGGCATGATTCAGGATGTCGCAAACCCCACATCATTCTCCAACGACAGATCAATTCTAAAGGAGCTACTTTCTCAAGTCATTTTTTCTGACATCAGCTTGCTCGTCCAACTCACTCCAAGCCTGTTAGCAAATAATCAACACGTAGCCATCTTAATCATCTTGATGTGCCTCTAACACCACGTCCAGGTGTACAAAAGGTCTGTAGAAGATAGTGACGTACCAGTCCATCACTCTTGAGCTTGGTCAGGTCTTGCTGTGGCTTGTGGTCGTCCAAATACTTGATTCCAAGACCTAGTGCTATACATAGGACTGCATAACCGGCACTATATAGTAGATAAAGAAAGAGATGGACACATATATAATCGTACATATCATTGATTCGTCATATCATGGAGTAGTGATGAACAAACCTTTGTCGTGTCGAGAGCTTCTGGAAGGGCAGAAACATATAGCAAACGTTTGATTACGGGACTGATTCATGTCACAAATTTAGGAACGAAATGGAGATACAATGTAATTAAGTAAAAGATTTGTAAGCATGTTGATTGGCTACATGAGGATATATATTGTGTTACATATCATGACTATATTTGGAGTTATACAATACATATGATTCAGTTTCGTCGTCTCGTCTCGTTACGCATGACGCTTACTACTTTCTATGCAAAGCTTTAGGATATGAAGCCATTCGTCGATTCCAAGGTCCGTTTTCTATCATACAAACATCCAGATTAAATTCCTTACGTCTTGCAGCTGCAACTTGTTCTTCCCAACAGCGTATTACTTGAATCTCAAATCCATGACGTTACAGACGGGACGGGATGATGAAATAAAGTACGTTAAAATAAAACTGCCTCTCACGCCCTTGTTGTTTGTTGTTCAGCCATCACTTGCAGTAGCGCAGTCAATCAATTCTCCAATCCCTTTTTCCTATGTCGTTCACATCCTTACGTTTATAATAGTAGTAGTATTAATAGTAGTAGTATCATCACCACCACCACATATTAATTACTATTTGTACAAAAGGGTTTCTAGTGACTGACTATACGGTAGCAGTTAGTAAACCATTCATAAGTATGACGACACCATTCGTCTTTCAGATAGATAGTAGGAATCCTAGTACTACTAGTTCAAGTAGTGAAGACGACGAGGTCCCAAGACTCAAAATGACTGGTAGTATGATGTCTGAGAAACCGGTTCTAAAAGTTACATCCTCTAATATTAATTCCATGTGGCTCAATTGGAAGAATCCACACGCTGTCATGGATTTAGGCACGGAATCCGAGTCTGGCATTGCATTAGAAATGCGACGACAGAAAAATCGAGAATCCATGCGACGATCGCGTCAACGACAACGTGATCAATTGCAATGTTTACGTGATGCTGTGATGGAGTTAGAACGACAGTATCAAGTGCTTCGATTACGTTCGGATCCATCCAACACATCAACTGGACAATTGAATTGGACACCAAGTGATTCCAAATATGCTCAAGCTGTTGAATTGTCCAAGCAATTAGGTGCCGAGAATTTATACCTCAAGGCATCGATACAATCTCAAGCATCGTGGAAATTAGAGCTTCGACGAGTGATTGAAACGACCGTTGTTTTGGATGAATACATTGCATCGAAACCACCTTCTCCCTTTCCTTTTCAGCTAAAAATGATGAATGAACAAGAAGCTGCATCAGTGTTTGGATTCCACACATTTACGGAACGAGATGTAAAGGACGTGATTCTTCAAAACACAAAATCCATCAAGCGGGTACAGCATCAATTGCTAAGCAGTAGTCACTTGAACCATCGTAGTGACAATTACGACACCAACAAAACGGATGAGAAAGGATTGATGGATGAAGGTTCCGGACCGATTAATCAGTCGGAACTATTTGGATGGGACTTGCGTCGACGCGTCCGAGGTAGTGACATGGAGTTTGTCTTTACCAAGCGATTTAAAAAATTATCCGTCTCGGAGATCATGCAGAAGTCCTGGGTCAATGAAATGCACTTGGAGGGCGCGCAGATGGTCAAATATGACATTCAGAGGCTCGAAATGCTGCAAGAAGTAAACACGAATGCTTATGTACTTGGTCGAGACGTTCGATCTCCAGATGAATCACCTGTGTTTCGAACCACTTTACTAAGGTATCGAATGGAGACAAGTAGCGCCGTGTTTCCAAATGACGCGTTTCTTGCCGATGAAGAAGTTGAAACAAACTCGAATCTGCGAGCTACTGGTTTTGTCATTGGAACGCAAAGTCTAAATCCAGCAGATGACTCTGGTGCTAAACTGCTTCCGGAACGTGCTGGCATTGAACCGTCAGCGCCACTGGTGTGGGCGGAGCTAGCACACTCGATTGAAATGCTACAAGTGTTTGATTGCGTTACTGGCGAAGACAAGTACGTGCAGGTGCAATGGTCTGGTAAGAACAATTACGGCTCGACCTTTGACGCGCATCGTAACGCGGCTGATATGGTGACGACGCTCATGCGTTGGGAACTTGGCACAATTGCACCGGCCATTCAATTGATCCCAAGCTCGGATGATACTGAACCAAAGGCAAAGTAGCAGGTATTGTCTGTTTGTCTGTCTGTCTCTCATCCAATGCAGGATCTCTCGTGTCACTCTGGTGAATCATTTAACGTCGTCGTCGTCGTGTATTTTTGGTAAATGAAAACGAAGTAGAAAGTCGTAGCGAATTGACATCTACACATGAATGAATAAGGTTTTGTCTGAAGATTGTTGAGCGAAAGGATTCTTCAACCACAGACATTAGATTACTTGCTCCATAGCAAGCAGCAATCACCACCCAATGTGTTCATCTATGAACGGCCATCACTATGCAACAAATTTGTTGGTCCTTATCAGTCTATTGAGTTCAAGTACAAGACTCTTTTTACTCCTTATGATAATACTAAAAAGACATATGTTCACATCAACAATATCATGTGAGACAAGTTGGTTCTTATGGGATACGTTGAGTGGTGCAAACATTTAGAGATGATACGAGACACAGTTTTAGGATTACGTGGCTAATGCGTTGTCAAAATAGAGGTATGATGCCGTTATTTAAGGCTATTTTTATGGGCTCTTTTTATCCGTAATTTATCAGTTTAGACTTAGAATCTGCTTTTTCATCCGTTATATGATTTCAACGGTCGTATAATAGTAATACAATTTGTAGCCATTCATAACCCATATAGTATTACTTCTAATCGTACTCTCATGGTAGCCCACCCTTGTCGAAATATGCCGAAGAATACGAATTGCTACGAACCAATAAACAACCACACGATTAATCGTATTAAAATTACTAGTGATTGCAATACAATAGACGAAGCAGAACCATGTATTACTCAAGAAATTACGACATTACTCCAACCCGTATACCCTGTCGTAAGTAGTAGTATTATTTGTATTGTAGAATTACTATGAAAAGATAAAAATAGTACTATCTAGACTTTTTGTAAAAAGTATGATTTTATTTCTTGTATGATATACTATTTTTATAGGTTGTAATGTCAGCGCTTGAGTTTCTACCAGGTTTCACATGTATCATTCTAGCAGGACATATTCAGTCTCCTTATGCCCAACAATATGTGGATGCTGCTACTTTATCTACTATGGTATCAACACATACGACGACTACTATTTTTATGAAGTTCTAAATTCTTTTGATCACGTTCTAATTTTCTTGATTGTCTTGTTGTTTCTGTGTATGCTACAGTTTACCAATATTACCGCATATTCCATTGGCTGTGGATTGACATCATCACTTGATACATTATGTTCCCAAGCTTATGGTGCTAAACGATTTGGCAAGATTGGGATATACTTTCAAGCTGGAGTTCAGATTATTGGGGTCTGTCCTGGACCAATTTTCATTCTCAATTGGTATTCAGAGAGTTTTTTGCTTCGAATGGGTCAAAATCCACAAGTGGCAAAATTAGCGCAACAATTCTCACGCTGGTCGTTACTTGGTGTTCCATTTGTTTTCCTCTACGAACTCATGCGGAAGGTTTTACAAGCACAAAATATTATGAAACCACTAGTAGCTATTGCAGCTGTTGGGAATATTGTCAATATCGTATCGGGCTATTTACTGACATATCACTCCTCAATGGGATTTGAAGGCATTGCTCTATCAAGGTCGTTCGGCAACATGGTGTTGCCAATTTTATTGATCCCGTATTTCTACTATTCTCCACATCACCTAAGTCAGTGGTGGCGTGGTTGGGACATGCGAGAAGCTCTAGCACACGTCGGACTCTTTATAAAACTAGGAGTTCCTGGATTTTTGATGATGGCAACGGAATCGTGGGCTTTTGAGTTTCTAACGCTGATGGCAGGTGTGTTACCAAATGCTGTTGTAGCTGTCACTGCTCACGCAGTGTTGGTAAACATTAACAACATCCTCTATATGGTATTTGCTGGTCTTTCCGTTGCCTCCAATATCCGTATTGGCACTTGTCTTGGTGCCAACGCACCAAAACAAGCAAGACTTGCCTGTACGGTTGCAAACTACTGACCCTGGCGATCTCATTGATCTTTGCAGTTACACTGTATCTGTTCCGCGCCGTCATTCCAAGACTCTTTCTGGATGATGCTCAGGGCATCGCACGAGCAGCTGGCGTCTTGGCAGCATGGGTGCCACTGGAAGTGCTGGATGGTCTCAATGCGGTACTGCAGGGCATTTTTCGAGGAGCGGGCAAGCAAAAAGTTGCAGCTACTGTCAATGTGGTAGCCTACTACGTGTTTGGCATTCCTGTGGCTGCACTGCTGGGCTTTCACTTCTTCCTAGAAGTTGAAGGGCTCTGGATGGGTTTTGGTTGTGGCATATTTGTGGCGGTCTCGTTGCAGTTGTACATGCTACTTGACCACTGGACGTGGGTGGAGCTTGCCAGCGAAGCACAAAAGCGGACAGCGGAATGATCAGGCTCCACCATCAGAAAATGGAACGAGAGCTCACAGTCCATTAAGCTCTTCTCTAATCCAGCAACTAGTGCAAAAACTGCTTGAGGATTTTCACGTCGGGACGAGCATTGCTATCGTACTTGTATCGAAGGAAAAGAGCTCACAATCGTCACTACGCAATCGTCATGGCCGAATATGTTTCGTACAGTTTTTCTGCTCTTCTTTGAGACAATCAACACTGAGATTATGGATTTCTATAGCGGTCTCAGGTGACTCAAGAGTTCAAGATACTTTCAGATTGATGGACCAAAAGTATTTTGATCAGATGTTGCTGCAGGAATTCACAGGTCAATGAATCACGCCATTCTAACACTTTGATTGATCGATCGTAAGGAGTTGAAACTTTCAACTGACAACATTGCATGTCGCTATTGTCAGCCAGGCTGCACTGCGCCATGTGGGACAAGTAGTCGATGGTTTGTGTGATTGTCATTGAATAGGGCATCCACATTGACTAATGGGCTCATGATAGAGCAAACAGGCCGTTTTACTTTTCACGACTTACTTAGAACACCTTATATTAGGGATCATTTATTGGCTTTATTACTCTAATTTAGAGTAAAGTATTGAACAGTATTTTACAATAGATCGAGAATACGGGTCTTTAGAGTCAATACCAAACGTCCTAGGAAAATTTACATGTATTAAATGATACAGTTTTTGTCTATGACACGACGATTTCCTCATACACGCAAGACTTGCGTCAGCTTTTCTCAAATCACGCAATTAGCAAAAGCTTATTAATCTGTTCGCTCGAACTGTATTCAATACAGTGTTTTTAATCTAACGGCTAAAAAGAAGGAAAAATGTCGCAAATGGGTTTAGAGAAAGTAAGATTTTCCATACCAATTCCAAGTTCTACATACTATCTGGTTCAATCAGTAGAAAAAAAATGAAAAAACTTTACAATTTGACGCTGTAGAAAGACACGTCCTTTGTATTAAGATCCGTTTTTTTATCTACCATATTATAGAGATTTATGGCAAAGATATGATGTATTACGGCTATATAGGTTTATAGAGGTCATAAATGCTTATTCTTGGTCATTTGTGGTAGTTCGATGGACACAAATCATGTAGCATTAATTGTGTTAATTTCCTGTTAGAAGGTCGTATGATTTTAAACACCTTTAGCACGTTTTAGAGACAACAAGTGACCGCGCTGTTGTTGTTGTTGTATATTCGCACCTATTTCCGTTATTTACGACGTTTTTTTCTCATTCAAACGACCCAAAAAAAGCGTCAAATTGAAAAAAGTACAGAAAAAAAGAGGTGCAAAAATTCAATTGGTTAACTTGATTTTAGTATGACCCTCGGAGATCTCAGACAGGATAGTTGGCATGTACTATTTTACTTGTATTTAGTATGAAACAGGATGGTAGACACGTTATCCTACCACGCCAGTTCGATATCAATTCCACGTGGCTACGGCTCGTATCTCTCTCTCTCTCTGCTAAACCTCATTCTTCTTTTCTTTCAGTGAGACACACATCCTTAAGACTTGACACTCCCTCTCTCTCTCTTTTCTTTTATAATGGCTGACGAAGACGTACAAGCGTTGGTTGTAGACAATGGATCTGGTATGTGTAAAGCCGGTTTTGCTGGTGATGATGCACCACGTGCAGTGTTTCCCTCCATTGTTGGACGTCCAAAACATTTGGGCATTATGGTTGGTATGGATCAAAAAGACGCCTATGTGGGTGACGAAGCCCAGTCAAAACGTGGTGTTTTGACACTGAAATACCCCATTGAACACGGTATTGTCACAAACTGGGACGATATGGAAAAGATTTGGCATCATACGTTTTACAATGAGCTTCGTGTGGCACCAGAAGAACATCCTGTGCTACTTACTGAAGCCCCATTGAACCCCAAAGCCAATCGTGAACGTATGACACAAATTATGTTTGAAACATTTAATGTGCCAGCAATGTACGTAAACATTCAAGCAGTGTTATCACTGTATGCATCAGGTCGTACTACAGGGTGTGTGCTTGATTCGGGTGATGGTGTATCCCACACGGTGCCAATCTATGAAGGATATGCATTGCCCCATGCAATTGTCCGTTTGGATTTAGCTGGACGTGATTTGACGGATTACATGATGAAGATTTTGACGGAACGTGGTTATTCGTTTACGACAACGGCAGAACGAGAAATTGTGCGTGATATTAAAGAGAAACTCACGTACATTGCCCTTGATTTTGATCAAGAAATGAAGACTGCGGCAGAATCGTCTGGACTTGAAAAGAGTTATGAATTACCTGATGGTAATGTGATTGTCATTGGAAATGAACGATTCCGTACACCTGAAGTCTTGTTCCAACCGTCACTCATTGGTAAGGAAGCTTCGGGTATTCATGATTGCACATTCCAGACCATTATGAAGTGTGATGTTGATATTCGTAAGGATTTGTACTGCAACATTGTCTTGTCGGGTGGTACAACCATGTACCCAGGTGTTGGTGAACGTATGACGAAGGAACTGACTGCTTTGGCTCCATCTACCATGAAGATTAAGGTGGTTGCACCACCAGAGCGTAAATACTCGGTGTGGATTGGTGGATCCATTCTATCGTCGCTGTCAACGTTCCAGCAGATGTGGATCTCGAAAGCCGAGTACGACGAGTCGGGTCCGTCTATTGTGCACCGCAAGTGCTTTTAAGCGGCTTGAAATGGCTGCTACTGGTCTTAGAATCTAGAGGAGCAATGTGTTCATTATCTACAGGAAACATCTTGAGGCTTAAGTGCTTCGGTGGTATGTAGATAAATGGGTCGTTCTGTTGCTGCTCACTTGCTTTCAAACCTTTCTTTGCTTTAAATTCTCTAAACTACGAAGATGGATGTTGTGATTTACTTTAGAAGAAAAGTGTGTTGTTCTTTTTCAAGTGTCTGACTTCCTATGGAATTATTCTCTACTCTTATACTTGAAACGCGTGCAAGAAGTCGCAATGATGCTTCGTTCTCTAGCGATGTATCACAGTTGTCATTGAGACCTTATACCGTGTATATTGATACATTTTTGTAAATACTTTGTTTAGTATGACAGAGAAAATACTTAGGTAGGATTTAGTACTCAATTTCTATCTCGGGCGCATTTCTAAACATTGTCGAAATATTGTTTGAAAATTGACAAATTTTGTAATTCGGCTTCAAACTTCACCATTCGCTCCATCGATCGATCATCTATGACCCCTCCTATGGATTCTGCCGTCAATATCTCCACAACCACTACGTCTCATGCCCCTCGACCTTCATTATTATCTTCCTCTTCACCTTATCTATCGAATGTGATGCCTTTGAATACAAACAACGTCTCTGAAACTGGACAAACTATTGAATCTGATCCACTAACAGATCATGACGATTCGGAAGGTGCTAAAACTATTGCTGTACCACGTTGTAGTACGTGGTTTGCTATGGATAAGATAAATCCAATTGAGAAACGCATGTTGCCCGAGTTTTTCGTGGAAAATGGGTCCAAAACGGCCGAGATTTACCTCAAATATCGAAATTATATGGTGCACGCTTATCGTCAGCAACCAGGGGTTTATCTAACAGCTACAGCCTGTCGTCGTAATTTAACAGGTGATGCCTGTGCAATCTTAAGAGTGCATGAGTTTCTGACCCATTGGGGGCTCATTAACTTTGATGTGCCACCACATGCAATGCCACCCGCTATGCATTCAAACTATGCTCTTAAACGTGTAGAATCTACTGTTAAGTGTGAAGACAAGAGTCCCATTGCAATGCTTGTTGCTGCTAAAAAGGAGAATGCACGTCGGGTGGATGTCCCATTGGCATGTGAAGCTTGTGGCACGGCTAGAGGCGTAGAAGATGCGTTCTTTGGACTCACAAGTGAAGCCAAGAAAAAGTTGATGAGTTGTGGAGCATCGACGAATGTTGGTAATGCGAATCATTCCATAACGACTGGAGCTAATGGGAAAGCTGGTGAAGATAAGGAAATGACAGTTGGAGGGTTTGCATTGAGACCTGGCAGTGCGATTTGTGAGAAGTGCTACATTCGTGGGGCTTTTCCAGAAGGGTACGATGCATCGGATTTTGTAATGATGCCAACAGTGGCGACGAATTCTTTGGCGGCAGCAAGTTGGACTGAGGAAGAGACTAATTTGATGTTAGATGCTGTGAGCAGCACAAGATCTAACAAGACCAAGGGCATGGAGAACGAGGAAGACGATGATAGCTGCGACTGGAACTATGTCGCGTCAAGAGTTGGCTCTAAGACGGCAGAAGAATGTTTGTTACACTTTTTGGAACTACCAATGCTGGACCAGTCGGTGCCAACTCCGAAGACAAGGCTGGAAGACTCCATTCACTCATTGCGTCCGTTTACTCCTGGAGCCGCTCTGAACGCGCTTGTGTTGGATCTGGTTGCTCTTGTAGAACAGGTTGATCCGATGGTTGCAAAGGCTGCAGCTCATGCTGCAATTTGTGCAATTAAGCGGCTGCACACAATGCCAGCTACCTCAACGACTTTGCCGGGGGAGACATATGATCGTGTGGAGAATAGTGACGCAAGGGGTCCAGCTGGAAAAGTCAAGGTCGAAAGTGCGCCACCTGGGTCAGGCTTGGGCAAGACAAGTGATAGCGCAACAAGCTCGTTTGAAAGCGCAGTAGCAGCAGTTGCTACGAGCGCAGAGGTTGCAGGAATTGGAGGTACAGTCAAGTTAGAGGACGTATCCGTGGATGGCGATGTCGCCATGGGCGATGGAACCGCAACAATCGAGTGTGCATCAAAGGCGGGCGATAGTGTCAACCGTAATGCTGTATCAATCTCGAAAGAAATGATGGCGGTGACTGAAGAAGCAGCGAATGCAACAACAATTGCCTTACTAGCAACACGAGCTCAACAGACGGCCGATAACATTGCAAATGGACCCGTGCGAGATCTTGTGAATCAATTGCTGGAGAATCAGTTGCGTCAAATGGAGTTGAAAATGCAGCAGTTGGCAGTCCTGGAACAAGCAATTGATGCTGAAAAAGAACAAGTAGCCAAGGAGAAGTACCAACTTTACGTTGATCGACTGTCATTTGCCCGTGAAAAGATGAATTATCGTTCGACAAAGCTTGGACTCTAAGGTATATATTGTCAAGTGATATGAATATACATCGACACGGATGGAAACGTGGATGGATGAAGGACGTAAAGACTTGTAGGGCCCGACGTCTTCATGGTTGACAAGTAGGTTTTAGCAAGGACTATAGTACTAATTAAGGGTCAGCATTGAGGATGCTAATAATAAGCACATTAAAACTTCCAAAGGGAATTAATTTGGTACTGTAATTTGATTGCTTGATATTCTAAAAGGATTATTGACCAACCATAAAACAATACATCTCTCTACCAGTAGATTTTGGGGTTGTAATATAATGTGTGCCACATGCTACATCTTATGTAAGAAAAGTGTGCCAATTGGTGTTAAAAGTCTTGTCATTCATTCTCCATGACCGACTTAAATGAAGAATCGCCTTTAGTATTTGAACCAACTGAATGTAATGTAACGGAATTTATTCCTCCAATTATTACTCGTGGTACAAGTTTTCCTGTTGTTAGTCCGACCTATGCTGGATCCTTGGATTTAATTAAAGCTCCTCATTATGACTACGAGATGAATCAAACTGATATGCTAATACAAGAATTAACCCATGAACAAGATGAAGAACCTGATGCAATTGTAATGGTTGAATTCTGGAAAACCATGGCACTGGCGTATCCCGTCGTAATAACCTATACATTAGAATATCTTCCTGGATTAATCTGTATTATCCTCGTAGGTCATCTCGAGTCTCGTGATACAAAACGTTATGTGGCAGCAGCAACCCTTTCCACCATGTTTACAAATATATCGTCTTTATCCATAGGGTTTGGGTTAACATCAGCACTGGATACTTTATGTTCGCAAGCTTATGGTGCTGGTAAATTGGATAAACTAGGATTATATCTTCAATCAGGATTACTTGTTGTTGGATCGTGTTTACTACCGGTATTTCTACTGAATTGGCATGCTGAATACTTTTTAATCTTGACTGGACAAGATACCGAAGTTGCAAGATTAGCTGGTGAATTCTCACGAGTGACAGTATTTGGTGTACCATTTCTATTTGCCTATGAAATGGCACGAAAAATCCTTCAAGCTCAAAATATTGTGCGACCAATGGTATTATTTGCCTTGGTGGGTACATTTATTAATGTATTTGGAGGATATGTCTTGACATATTGGACACCATTGGGTTTTCATGGGGCTGCACTCTCAAGAACATTGGGTTATATGGTTCTACCTCTCTGTCTTATTCCATATTTCATCATCAGTCGTAATCATATACAATGGTGGAATGGATGGCAAATCAAAAAAGCATACGCATTAGTGCCTTTATTCTTACGATTAGGTCTTCCAGGGCTTGCAATGATTGCAATGGAATGGTGGGCATACGAATTACTGGCAGTACTAGCTGGTAATTTACCCGATGGTGTTGTTGCTGTTAGTGCTCATGCAGTACTTATGAATGTCGCGTCGTCGATTTATACAGTGTTTATGGGTGTCTCGGTCTCAAGCAATATCCGTGTTGGAAATTGTTTAGGTGCTAATCACCCCAAGAAGGCACGAGTGATCAGTCGCACTACTTTGAGCACAGTCTTTGTTCTCTCGTGTTTTTTTGCAGGACTCGTGTTTCTCCTTCGCCACCAGATTCCATTGGTTGTGCTCAATGATCCAGTTGCTATCAAGCGTGCATCTGATGCCCTTATCGTGATGGTGCCCTATGAAATCATTGACTCACTGAATTGTGTGATCCAGGGAATTTACAAAGGAGCCGGTTGGCAAGACATGGCGGCAAAAACCAATGTCCTTGCCTTTTATGTCATTGGCATTCCGCTGGGAGCTTTGCTATCCTTTTATTTTGACATTGGAATTGAAGGACTCTGGATTGGCTTTGGAATTGGTATCACTACAGCGTTTACAGTCTGTAGCACTAATCTTTATTACGCAAGCTGGGAGCAAATGGCAATAGAAGCACGTGCAAGGCTGGCTCACTGAGATAAATCCAGTATGGAAGGTCACAGAATCGTGAGAGATATCAAAGCTGCAGCGACAGGAACATCTAAACAGACACAAAGATCAGCGCAGAACGTGATTGATTGTACACAAACTGCACCGTGCGAAATGCAGTTTATGAATACATTATATACTGGATGCTTCCTAGGCATCGATGGCTGAGTCATCATACATAGTCTGGACAAGAATGCTCATCTTTTGTCACGTTTGACGACTAAGTCATTCCTATGATCGTAAGAATCCGTCGTCACTTTTTGTCGGTTCAATGCTTCTGACCTTTTAAGTCATCAACTATTCAGACTACAAGTTTCGTTAGGCATGCTCGCATAGAGCTGTAACTCCGATAATTATCAACCGAGGCATGACAATTGAACTAATGCTAGTCAGTTTGGAAATGCTTGAAAGGTCAAAGCTTACATGCTTGCATCATTCAAGCAAACCGAAGTATTTCTCAACGAGACCATGTCAAATTGGCACTAAAAGCGCAGCATTCGGGAGAGACCTGATTTCGATAATGGTCAGGTGCCTGACAGCATTCCAGACTTGTAACAGCGTTTCAGACGAACATTTTGAAGGTCATAAAACCTAGGACTTGAATGTGCCAGGATTACCAGCTCTCAGGTTTACTCTGGACAAATTGAGCGTCTCTCATCGTAGCTCGTCATTACAAAAAGTACTTGACTTTGAAAAGTTGGTACGAGTAATTGTTATTGGTTTGATCCATGGACGCATTGGTTTCGCGTTAGGCAGAAGCCAAGAATGGTTTGCTGAATCTGATGCATTCAAGCTAACAAAGTTTTGTATCAGGATGTTGTCCGAAAGCCCATCAAACCTCTACCTCATGATAACGAAGAAATGACACACCCGCATCGCCATATTATTTTACATAGCTCAATGCAGTTGCCTCGAAGATGACAATGTCCATTCATTGACTTTGAAAAGTGTTCTTCTACCAAGAAACCGAATAACGTCACCCAAATCTGTCACGTACGCTTCATCATGATGCATACCATCCCTCTTTACTTGTGAATAACATTCATACTGATCTTGTTTCTCTCGTGCGTAAATGTTAACGAGTGATTGCATTGCTTGCAAGTAAACATCCGAACGTGAACCTTATAAAGCTGCGGCAAAGTACAAAGCACTACAAGCAAAATGTTTGTACCCATACGTTTGGCGACATTATACGCGTCTTTGGGTTGTAGTGACAAGATATTGATCCATGCCTTCATCAAGTAACCAACTAACTACTGGAAGACAAGCATTTCTCCTTCACTCTCAAATTTCCAGACTTTAGCTCAATGACCACTCGCAATACGCGATACTGGCGCAAGTTTCTGTCAAATCTACTAACTTCTTCTAATGTCTTGAATGAGATCACTCAACGATCCTCCGCATACGATGGTGTGTGCGTTCTTACACTTTCAGGCCGTGTCGTTTACCGTGACGGCTGCTTTCATGCTGCGTCCTTGTCGTCGGATTCTTTGGATATAGTAGATCCTTTGCAAATCTTGGCTCTATTTGATCACGTCACGCGTCAGGCCATTCAGAAGGAAAGACATGTGGAAAGTGTCACACCCGCTCTACGAATAGGTCTCCATGTCTTCCATATTGTCTCCACTACCTGCTCAAGTATTTGCGCTGTCACGTGTGGCAAAACTCGTGGTCTTGTGGTAGAAAAGCTTCCGTTTGGCGTCTTGGTCGTGGCCTTTTCGGCTCCATTGCGGCTTGAGACGGTCTTTCGTCATTTAGATGATGCATGTGCTGCTCTGCGACTCTAGTTCCATTTCAAACCAATCAATAAAACATTCATCATCATTTTACGTTGAGTGTCATGTCTTTCTGCGCTGTATACATCAAGGGCTCGAGCGTTGTATAGCATGACAAGACATCGATTCATGTACTGTCCAGTTCCAAAGGCGTCACAGTTCGAAAAGATGTGGGATTGTTGAGTTTGTTGTGTAAGGAACTAGTGAGGTCAAGTGATAGAGGAATGCTCCTTGCCGTCTCACTCTTGTTTGCTTGTAGTGTGGCTACCCGAGTCAAATCGAGGCTATCAGATACTTATGTCCATGGAATGGCAAGAAACTAATGAACTTGGACCTTCAGGTGATGGAAAGTGACGCCTATAGAAACGACATGGAAGACTGATAGAGCGGGAGTCAAAGGCAAGGCTAGAGCTAAGCAGACGAGAGTCACACACACTTCCTGCCACATGACGAGCAGTAGGCGAGGATCAGCAGATGGACGTAGTGACGCACAGCAAATACAGGACAGACTTGCCTGTAAGCGGATGCACGGCGAGCAACATATCGAAGGCCCAGAGGAAGCTTCAAAAGCAAAAGGAGCAGCGGCGAGACAATGCTATCGGCAAGGAGTTATACTTGGAAGGCTTGGAAGGGTATGACGATTTCGTGCGATAAGATTCACGGAAAAAGAATGTCATTGATCAAGAGAAAGTGTAGCAACTAGTTTGCCGTACTTCATGAGTTTCCATGTTATCCACTCCATGTTATAGTTTCGATGCGAGCGGTCGTGGTGATGATGGAATTGGCGAGCAGAAACCTGTTGTTTCTGCGGTACATACAGGTGCGAAAAGGATCCACTTCAGCAACTTAATTATATCTTCACGGCAGTCTACGGGGTCTCCCATCATTGCAAAAGCCATATCCTCGTGTGTGCAATTGGGTACTTCGCAGTAGACAGCAATTTGACCTGCTTTTCTCTAAGCATGCAAGATGACACACGTGATGGTTGGCAACAAGAGTTGACAAATTGCAGCGATAGTGCAATGTTTCGTACCAAATTGACAGCAAACTTCTTTGAAGCGCTTGAAGGAACCACCTGCAATCATAGGTAAATCATACTGCTCATCAACAAATTCAATATAGTGTGGCAAAAGCTATGTACCATGTCGTTATCTCCATGCAGAAGATAAAACGTAGGGAGCGAAAAGGCTGAGCAAGTCACACATACCATGTCATCAATGAGTACAACTTTTGAGCTTCACTCGGAAACCCAATGAGCTTCGTACCTCTGTTTCTCGCCTCTTTAACAAGTTCTGTCGGGCTATGTTTCTCGAAATTACCCACGCCTAGCATAGCAGGCTTCATTGAAGATATCTCGTGAACTCCTATCATAATTCCGATCCTCAATTAGTCCCTACTGGCTCAAACGTTGTTTGATAAAAAGAAGACGATACCTTTAAGTGGGCCTACGATACGTTCACTCTCGAAGGTGTAATGATCCAACACGTCGTACGGTGCTGCAAGACCAATGAATCCGTGCACGTAGTTTCCAATCTCCTTTTCCTTTACAGCCTGCGAACAGGAGACACGATCAAATAGCTGTATCATCGATACTATTGTAGCTGCAATACCTTCTTATCATTGCCAGCTAGACGAAGACCAGACTTGAGCAGAGCTAACGCTGCTACATGTCCACCAGATGAATGGCCGCTCAGAAAGAGTTTGCAGGGATTTCCACCAAGCAAATGACAGTTTTCTGCAACCCAAAAGACCTACGACAGATTCACCAACGTCTGCATTAGCATCGACAAACAAGAATCAAACACTTGTGACGAGAGATTCCTTCACACACGGCGTTTTCAACGTCCTCAATCATGTCCATCACTGAGCCATTAGGAAATGTCCTGTAGTTCATGACTACGACCTGGAAGCCTTGTGTGGCTAAGTACTTTCCAACTAGAGCATACTGCCACTTATGGCCAAAGGACCAAGCTCCCCCATGCATAAAAATCAGCACTGGTTTTGCGACTCCTTCGTCAACTCCATAGACATCAAGAGTGTTGCGTTCATGACTTCCATAGCGACAATTAACACGACAGTCTTGAGGCTTCCTCAAAAGCAAATGACCGATTCTTGCTGCTAATTGGGGCTTTATGAAACACAAAAGGTACTCGGAACTGGCAATGAGTTGTCCAAGAAACGTATACTTAAGAGCTGCACAAATGTGATCGAACAAGGGAAGACGAGGCTTGTTTTGCTGCAGTAGAACGTGCTGCTGGAAAAGATTGCGGACAGTGTTGTTAGCGTATGCGATGAGAGCAAGGGCAAGCGTTACACGTCGCAACTCTGACATGCTTGGTACGTCAAAGAAGCTCATTTGATCTGAAAAAAGGGATGGCCACAAGACCTTCACAACGGTCGCAAAGTATGCGCTTAACGAATGAACTTGTATTGACTTCTCTTTCCTATGAGATCGTGCGTGCTACTGCCATTAGGACTGATAGTGGTAGGGCATGTATTCAAGCCTGCGACAATTGTGGAATGGAGCAATGTTTTGAGGAATAAATAAACTTTGTCTGAGGATCGATCGATACCAGATAAATTCTTCCCCTGGTCAAATGTAAGCTTCGTACATAGAGTAAATTTCTCTGAATCCGTATGATCAAACTCCTCCTTTGTGACACGCAGTTCAAGCTGTAGCAAACACGGCGTCTAGATGTTACTGTATCAGATACCGTTCGCTCCAATCGCGCTCCCATACCACCTTTCGCTTCTCATACCAGTGGTTAACAATGTCTTCTGACAGGTGGCTGCCGCCCACGGTAATGGATGCATCTGTCTTGTGGCTAATGGTCGTAATCGATTTCTGGCTGGTTCCAGCATTCACTCGAGTGTTTGTGCTGTGCTGGTCGAATAACGCTACTCGTTACTGGACAGGAACGCTTGCAGCGCCTCAAATTGTGTCGACACGACCACCTGCCACCTGGTCTCACTTAAGGCAAAAATGACTGGTAAAAGTAGCAAATCGGACAGATCTACGTGCATAATGAAAGTAAACTAAGGTGTTGTGGGGATCGCTCTTTGATACCAAAATCACAGCAGGATGCAGATTCATCGTCAATGTCACTGTCTCGTGCAGAACGCGGACAATCTGACAAAGAGATTACAAACTTGACGAGGAACTTGCACTTTGCAGTGGATTCGGTCAAGAAAGCGCAGATGATGCGTGACGAGATGCGTCATGCTCGTGCTCTTGACGGAGAGAAGGAAGCATACGCATTCTCCTCTATGGAAGATGTCCACCACCAGCAGTTGGTGACAGTGTGCTTGGAGCAACAGCGGTGACTTTTTCAGGTGTTGCAGTTGCCAAAGTCTGTGTATCACCAGTGGAAACAAGATGCTAAACGTAGCTTTGTCTTCAGCGTAGTTTATATGCTTAGTACGCTAATGAGGTCTCTTGAATGCATTCATGGCATAGAACGACGAGAATAAACCCCAATGTGTGTTTGAGAATAAAACCTAATATGTGTTTGGATGAAAGCCCTATATCGGACAAACCACATCACCTCATCCGTAAAATAAGGTAGAGCTAAAATAAAGACGTTGTTTTCGAATCCACTGACGAATATTTGTTAGAATTACGTCCTTATGAGTGTTGTTTTCTCTATATAGACGCTTGTAATGATTAATCTTATAAATCATCAGCTCCTTGATAAATTCTGCTTTGAAATAATGTACTGTATTCTCAATTATGTGCAGTTCTTAGCTTTATTTTGCTTGGAATAGAAGATAAAGGCGACACAGCCACAGATATCAATGGAGCAGGCTCAGCAGAAGCAGATAAAGCAGCAGTAAGAGGCAAAAATACTTCATTTATCTACTGTGATGCTACAGTTTGCTAAATATTTTGTATGGTGTCGAAATTAGGGAACAGGAGCAAATGCGTCAGTCTGTGATGCAATAGGTGATGCTGTCAGACGCGCGCGAGCGACGTAAGTGATTACGTAGTTTTAATACTGCAGTTTTTATAGCAAGAATCCCATCTGACGGCGGTGATGCTGGTTGTAGTGGCTAGAATAGCGATGGTAAAGCCAGAAAAGGCGCGCGCAATCGAGGATATGGTGATTGAGATGGCTCAGCGAGGGCAGTTGACGGTCAAGATCGACAAGGATAAGCTCATTGATCGACTGAACCAAGTGGGCATTACAGAAGAAAAGTAGCGCACTAGAGTCACGGTATAGCGTCGATTGTGTTTGGCAGCTTGTTTGTCATGTAGTGTCAATATTCATGAGATGGTATTATTTGGTGACGTACTTGCAGATTAAGCAACGGAAGTGCTTCAGTGACAAAGAAGGAGACAACAATGATGCTGACTTTTAGGTTCAATGATGACGAGCTGTTTTGTAGTCGCGTAGCAACAGAGAATTGAACGTTTGTGCAAGATTAGCGGTATACTGACAATAAGCTTGAGGGATGATGTTTGTCCTCTGTGTTACCATTTATCGTTGGCGTTTTGATGAATAAGGCACTCTGCAAGTTCAGTATCTAAGACACACCTAGGCATACGTCCTTGTCATCTCTGTATCGTCCATTTGTGTATGGTGTATGCTATCCGCAGGACTAAGTGATTGTTTGGTGCTTCCCGCCATGTCAAGGGTCGTCGGCGGACACGGCGGCGTCTAATCGCGAGTCGCGCGTTTGCTTGTATTGCCCCTTTTGTTACGCTTCATGTCTTCCTAGTGCTCGCTGGATGCTCCCCACGATGTCCTGCATCGGCCAGCACAGTAGCATCCTGCTTGCTTGGCTCGATGACATTGTAGCTTGACTTAGCAATCTATTGATTGCTTCTTCTACTACAGATGTAATCTCATTATTTTGAATTCAACAGGAGAAACAACAATGATGCTTGCTAGAAAGAGGCTACTGGCTCACGTGCAGTCGATCAATTTAGAGTCTGATATGACCGAAACGTAAATGCATGGCATGTAAAACGACATCAAGACGCTTAATTTGATGGCTGAAGGTGTTGATGTAGATCACGACAGCATAATTCGTTCAGCTACGCTGCAATCTAGACTTGGATACACTGCGGTACTCAACAACGAGAGGAAGATGCAGAATTGGCTGACGATGACCTGTCGGCTGGGTGATATTTAAATGGAGGATCGTAGGACGATGGTCAACACGTATGAAACCTCACCGAGATGGTTTTGAGAGTACTTGGTCCGTGATACGACTATCGAAGTGACCATCACTGGGAGTAACAAGTCAAGCGATGATAAGAATTCAAGATGGTTTTTTCGCTGAGTACTTGATCCGTGATACGACCATTGAGTGACCATTACTAGCAGTTACAAGTTAAGCGATGGTAAACATTCGAGTGCGGCCTAACAAATTGGTATCGATGCATTTGAAGGGCACTGACAGAAAGAGCATTCGAATGTTAGATTTTTCCACATACCTGAACTGTTCATCGACTGCTTTTAGTCGGCAGACTTGCATCACGTGGGTTAATGTCGAGTAGAAGATTCGTGTGCACCATTTAGAACACACAAACGTGGCAGCTACAAGCAAGGCATCGATGCCGGAGGTACAGAAGTGAGGGTTTCAAAGCTACACTGCGCTCTCTTGAAGCTTTCCGCTTTGTCGTCACCGGTTTGTCGCAAGGTCAAACTCACTGACGACGTTTTCTTGTGTTGACACGCTGCACTAAGAACTACCATAATGCCCAATGCATCAGTTTTGCGGCGTCAAGCATGACGTGGGATATGCCATCATAGCAGTACACACCGATCCGTCTAATGAGATACAATAAGAGTGGCCTCGCAGCCTTTACTTCATCCTGCATACTAAGACATTCCGTATCAGTGTATAGAAAACATACTTCAGTTTCCTCAACAAGTTCTCGTTCGAGTATTTGGTTTTGTACTCCAGTACATATGAACGCTGCAATCGTGCAGCAGGTGCTGAGCATCGGATATAGCGCTGATGTATTTCGTAAACTGCAGCCAGGTGCTAGAAGTATGTGTAGGAATTGGGGCAACTAAAGTGTTGTGATAACACAAACTGCAGAAGAGGCGAGTCATTGGACATCTGCAGCGAGAGGGAGATGGATAGCACAAAGTACAGTATAGCGCTAAGATAGCAGCACAAAATTAGACAACAGCACATGTACGCCAAACCTTTCCGCATACATTTGCCATCTCCGTCGGCAAACAAGACACTGCAAAATCTTTCTGTTTTCTCGAGCCTGTGACTTGCGAACGTTTCCGGGCTCATGCGTCGGTCAAATACGGCGTTGGTACCTTAAAAGAGATGCTTGATCCATGTAACCTTCTTAGTTTCATCAGGTAAAGAGACGGACGTAATGGATACTCCAGGACAGCGACATGTTTGTTGTTGAATACTGTGCCATGACTTGTCTAGCAAGTTCTAGCACCTTCTCAAGGATGCAGTCGAGCTAACGACGACACCCAAGAATCCGTCGGACTTTTTTTCTGGTCCGAGAAAGAGCATAAGGCGAGCAGTATCATTGCGTTCAGTCACCATACCAACACATCAAACGGCAGCTGACTGTTAAATAGTATAAAAGACCACTTTTAATTGTTTTGCAAATCTTCAATTGCACTATAATGACACGTCTATGTAGTATATAGTGTATGTCGTTACGACAATAAATGTAGCTAATATGATGGTTTCTTTGTTAGTATAACTTTATGTGCTGCTAATATGATGGTTTCATTGTTAGTATAACTTTGTGTGCTGCTAATATGATAGTTTCATTGTTAGTATAACCTTTGCAGGTGTCCGTTTAAGTCTTTGTCGAGCCTTGCAATTCAATCAACATAGGAATTAAATCATCACATGCTTGAATGGCAAATCTTCAGACCAGTATTTGGCTCTGCTTTGCTCTCTCCTGGTATAAGTTTGCTGATTGTCTTCTTGCATAGTATTTGTTATACACGTCTTAGGTCATCCGGCAACTAACTGGCCTGATCAAACATTTAATAAGTACCGTATCTCCAGCAGTTTGAGAAACTGATTCTCACTTTCATTCAAAAAGTTTGCCCTCACTGCACAAGCATATTTACTGACCGAACCATGCGCCTTCCGTCCGCCCTTATGTGTGGGGCTCTTGCTGCAAGCCTATTGCGTGATGGTTCTTGTGCAGAACCACCAGATGTCGTCAGATCACCCGCCGATCAAACTGAAACCTTAACTAAAAGGCGCTTGAAGGGACAGAAGCCCTTGCAAGTCAACAAAGAAGAGAGGATGGAGTTTCCTGCTCGGTTTGGGATTTCCGAAGCGTTGGAATCAAGTATCACCTCATCGCAGACAACTTACCAATGGAAAAACTTCCAGTGGACCGTATCTTCGAGCACCGTCAAAGAAGAGTTTTTTGACCACCTTGACCTGAAAAGTTTGGACCATTTAAATCCGAAAAGTTTGGACCACCTAAATTCGAAAAGTTTGGACCACCTAAATTCGAAAAGTTTGGACCACCTCCGTTAACCTGGAAAGAGCGAACGAACTGGAACGTTTGGGCGGGCGTACTCTGGAAAGATTGAATGACTTCATTAACGCCATCAAGTCATTGTCCGCTGATAGCCGAGTCTCGCTCCCGGAGACGTTTTTAGCCAATTGCAAGTACACAGAGCTTCATTGCTGTTGGCATTAAGGTTTAGGCTGGTGAGATAAAGGCCACTACCCCAGAACAGGAGGGCATTGCTCGTAGTGTTAAAGAAACAGTGGGGACAGATTTTGGTCTTTCGACATCTACGATTGAAGTTATTTACCGGAAGGATGCTTTAAATGGGAAAGCGGACAGTGGCGTACTGTTGCTTTCACATTAACAGCTTCTATCGACAGCGTATGCTTTAGAAGTAACCGGAGGCTGAAATAGCACTAACGTACATTTAACTTCTATGTACTTAATCACTTGGAGCCCATTAGTAGTGCGCAAGCACGAAAATGTGGATCACACAATCGAGCACAAAAATATTACAATTATGAGAGCAAAGAAGAGCTTGTTCTGACTGCAAAACTTGGCTTAGTGAAGGTTATGGTGCAAAGAAGAACGAGGGAAATAGCAGACACGACGAGCTGTGTCATTCTCAGCATATCCTTGAGTCACGCAGTCCTTGAAATTTATTACCACGTGGAGAAAAACAAAGCAAAATGGATTCAGTTTTTGGTATTGAGAAGACAGAGCTGGCATCTGGTACGGTTAGCGATAAGCAAGTGGGGGACACGAAGTGCAAAAAGGCCAGTTACTGCTCACATAAGATCAATTGATGAGGCTCACTTCTCCGATTGTGTCTCATACTCATATTTCGCCAACTCAGGATGTAATAGGGTTACACGAAGGTGTGTATTTTACATACACACCTGCCACACCAATGTGGTGTGGCTGTATTTTGGATACAAGAGTAGGTGATGTGAGCGTACCTGTAATACGAAGGGTCGCATCGTGGCAAAGAGCCACGTGGTCACTATACTTATTTAAAGTACACTGACTATGCATGTTTGCATAATAATAACAGGCTGAAGAGCCAGTAAATAATGACTAGCACTAAGTATAGAGTAGGTGCTTCTATATTTCGTGTTAGAAGATAAACATAAATATGAATCAGCTTCAAACCTGCTCTATAAGCATCACTGCTTGATCGTACTATTCCTCGTGAGGAATTTGTATCTTTGATACTAGTCTCTCTGAGACTCGGTTGTTAATACCGATAGGCACAAGCTTACAAGCTAGCCTAGGAGGGTTAAGCACCCTAAGACGTAGAAGCTCTCTGAGCTTGTCTTCATCTGCACAAAGTGCATAAGTAGCTTGGCTCCAGTAGCTCGGCTACACCTGGTAGCACTTTTAGTCAGTACCGCACCTGGGTTTGCGCCCTTTTTTCTCTGTGTGAGAATGGACATCGATGAGATGTCAGCGGTTGGACTGTCACAGGCACAACAGGAAGGGTTGCAGAAGCTGCTCCTTATCCTTGACCCTAAAGGCGTGTAGTACCTCATCGCCCAGGGCGAAGAAGAGGCTAACAAGCGTATTTATATGCTTGATGAATATAA